ATTTACAACTGTTAGAAGAAGACACATACATGAAAACACAAGTGAACTGTTCATGGGAATGCTACATTTTGAGAAAACTCCATGCTCTACTGTTGATGAATTGTATAACTCTGTCACCACCAGTGTTCTGACTGTTCTGGACGCCATTGCTCCTGTGACGGTTAAAATAGTTACCAGTAAGAAAAAGGCCCCATGGACTAAGGCAGACTCGGTTAGGGCACAGAAGCAAGAGTGCCGGAGGGCCGAACGGAAGTGGCGAAAGTCCAATTTCCAGGGCGATTATGAAATCTTTAAAGATGAGTTGGGTGAATTTAACCGGGTTCTACGTAGAACAAGAGAAATGTATTTTTCTGACATTATTGGAGGTTGCAGTAACAATTTTCGTGTTATGTTTTCAACAGTTGGTAGATTAACGAACCCCCCTGTAAAGTTGCCCCTAGAATTTTCCTCTAAATCTAGGTGTAATGAGTTCGCACAGTTTTTCGATGACAAAGTACAAGGAATCAAAAACACTATCACCTCCACAGCACGTATAACAATGCAACAGCCAGAGAAGCTTTCTGAGCTAACTCACTTTGCACCTGTGGATACTGAAACTGTCAAAAAGATAATCATGAGTCTGAGCTCCTCCACATGTAGCCTGGATATATTGCCCTCTAAATTTCTGAAGTCCGTCCTGAGCAGTTTGTTACCTTCACTGACACAAATAGTAAACATGTCTCTGTCGTCAGGAACATTTCCTATGGCCCTAAAAACAGCAGTCATAAGACCTCTCCTAAAAAAGAGCAGTCTGGATCCTGCGGGACTTCAAAATTATCGCCCCATATCGAATCTGCCATTTATTGGAAAAATTCTTGAAAAAGTGGCCTCCCAACAACTTACTGAATTTTTAACAATGAATAATTCTTTTGATATGTTCCAGTCTGGGTTTAGACCCCACCACAGCACTGAGACCGCTCTAGTGAAGGTAACAAACGACATTCGACTTCACACTGATGCAGGTAAAGTCACAGTTTTGGTCATGTTAGATCTTAGTGCCGCGTTCGACACTGTCGACCATGAGATCCTCATGCAGAGACTGGAGGACTGGGCTGGTGTCACTGGCACAGCCCTAGACTGGTTTAGGTCTTACCTGGAGGATAGGAAGTACTCTGTGGAGGATAGGAAGTACTCTGTGGAGATTGGAGACTGCGTCTCAGATGATGTGGCCCTGACCTGTGGTGTACCACAGGGGTCGATCCTGGGACCTCTCCTATTTAATCTCTACATGCTGCCGTTAGGTCAGTTAATACAAAGAAACAAAGTGTCCTACCACAATTACGCTGACGACACTCAGATCTATGTCTCACTGACTGCAGGAGAACATGGACCACTGGATTTGCTCCTTCACTGTATCCAACAGATCAGTGACTGGATGCAAAATAATTTCCTCCAGCTAAATACAGACAAAACCGAAATCATTGTCTTTGGTCCCCAGAAACAAAGAGAGGGCGTCATTTGTCAACTTCAGTCTCTCTCCCTACTTCCTTCAGACAAGGTCAGAAATTTGGGGGTAATACTGGACTCAGACCTAAATTTCAATAGCCACATAAAATCAATAACATCAACAGCTTTTTACCATCTGAAGAACATTGCCAAAGTTAGAAATATAGTGTCCAGGGCAGACTTGGAGATTCTTGTCCATGCATTTGTCTCCAGCAGGCTAGACTACTGCAATGGCCTGCTTACAGGTCTGTCCAAACAGACCTGTAAGCAGCTGCAGTACATCCAAAATGCAGCAGCTAGAGTCCTGACAGGAACCAGGAAGTATGACCATATTAGTCCGGTCCTCAGGTCTCTGCACTGGCTTCCTGTGGCTCAAAGAATAGATTTTAAAACGGCTCTGCTTGTGTACAAGTCTCTCCATGGCCTTGCACCAGAATACATTAGTGACATGTTGGTGTCATATGAACCAGCCCGGACTCTGAGGAGCACAGGGACTGGCCTCCTGCTGGTGCCCAGAGTGAGAACCAAACATGGGGAGGCTGCGTTTCAGATCCATGCAGCTAAGATCTGGAACAATCTCCCTGAAAATGTGAGGGAGGCGTCTACTCTGTCAATGTTCAAATCCAGGTTAAAGACTGTTCTGTTTGCCTGTGCATACAACTGAAGGATTTTATCTCCATTTTTAATGCACTGCTGTCATTTATTTATTTTTTTAAATTTCTTGTGTAATTTTGAAAGTTTTAATGGTTTTATTCTTTTGTGTGATTTTAATGTTTTAATTGTGTTTTAATCTTTTGTGTGATTTTAATGTTTTAATTGTGATTCTGGTGTTTGTTTTATGTGATGATTTGTGATGTGGACTGTGAAGCGCTTTGTGTTGCCATGTGTATGAAAGGCGCTCTACAAATAAACTTTGATTGATTGATTGATATTTTTAGTGGTAGGGGAAACCGGAGTACCCGGAGGAAACCTACGCAGACACAGGGAGAACATGCAAACTCCACTCAGAAAGGCCCTGGTCCGGCCGGGATTCGAACCCAGGACCTTCTTGCTGAGAGGCGGGAGTGCTATCCACTCAGCCACCGTGCCGCCCGGTGGCTGAGTGGCACGGTCGCTATATTTTCAGAACTACTATTTTTTAACTGACTGCCACCCAATAGTTAAAATGTAAATACATAAATACACCAAATGTAACATTCGAATTCAACTTTTTTATCACCTCAAGAATTATGACAAACATTCGATCATAGATGCCATTTTGATTGCACCTGCAAGAGTCCAAATTCTCAGCCAAATGTTGTGTGTGTAAAGTGCTTGCAGAGATACAGAGGCGCAAAACAGATGTGGGGGTCATTACTGTAATCGCTCCATTTACTTCTACCCTGAGAGGGACGGCTGGTCAGCACCATCTGGACATGCAAGCACCAGTGTCTACACATGCCAGTGCCAGCGCTACAGGGCTTCAGGACTCATCATCCAGCTATTGAAGGGAATACTGAAAATGATCATGTAAAAACGAGCAAGTCCATCCACTCGTCTATCCCTTCTCTCTTTCATCAATTTCCCCACACATTCCCACAAAACCTTCCACATTGAGAATACAGGAGCATTGTTTTTGCTTAAGGCTAAAAAAAAATTGAAAGACGGCCGTGATGAATGAGAGCACAAGGAAGGTTTTCTGTCAGTCTGTTGAGAATATGGCCTCTCTGGTACGTGTGGTTAAAAGATAAAGTCTGTGAGCTCATCTGCGTGTAATTTCCTGCTATGGCTGAGGAGGTGGTGGAAAGTGATGAGCAGAGGAGTGGCTGACACAGGGTGAGCTCGGCTGAAGCGCTGGAGTCAAGAACGTGTCTAGTGATTGTCAAGCAACATGTTGTCATGGAAACGACACACGTCTAGACTGAGACAAGAGAAAGACACAGAGGAAAAATAATTAAGGGAGAGGATCCAGGTTTAATATAATATTGGGAAAATTAAATATAAGTAATGTCAAATCGAAATTCATGTAATATTGGATTTCAGTTACAGAGACAGGCAATATGTTTTAATAATTCTGATATAAACAGAGCAGAACAGTATTATAAAACACAACATAACTACAAATGACGGGAACATCTACAATAGACTTTAAAACTGAGTTCATGTGTTCCTCTGAGATAATTTTTTCTTGTTTTTAACATGGCTTTTATTTCTGGCATTAACATGTATATGAATTATGTGTCTGTACTGTATGTAATATTTTATGAGTGAGTACTGTGTTTCCTGTATTGGTTCACAGGCCATGTTGTCATTGTAAGTGAGAATTTGTTCTCAATTGTCTGACCTAGTTAAATAATAAAAACATCTATTAAAGAAAACAATATATAAACATGTTGTGCTATCATGTACTTCATGTTGGAATAGCAAATAGCCCATTTTCAGGATAAAACTACTCAACTTGTCTGTAGCCTTTGTCGCAACATTGTGTGTTTATTGTGTTCATCCAATGTCTTTTATTATTATATTTTCTTTTTGTCTTTCATTTGGCTCCATCTCCATTTCCTCTTATCCTCTTTGCTCAAGCATTTTTTTCTCTGGCCTCACTCTATCCCCACAGAGCCAGGCTGACATTGGGCATGAGGTCAGTGAGATGGGCAGACTTGCTGGTGCTGTCAGTGGGCTCAAATGGGCTTAGATAAAGTGTGCAGAGATACCCATGGGACACTCACCACCATCCCTCCACCTCACACATAGATGCATTTAAAAAGACAAAAGTATTTGTGATAGCCAATACACATAGGCACAACAAAGCTGGTCAATTTTCTGAACATTATAAAAAAGCTCTAATCCTATATGAAAAAGGTTAGCAATATTCTGAAATGTCAACTCAGTAAACAAAGGACTGGCTTTACTTAGCATACAATCTATGCAAGGAAATTAAACTTTTTAAAGGGCAATCAGTGAAGTGATATTTGAACAAACACAGTTAGGGTAATGTCCCATTTTTCCATGTTATTTTACATAACCAGCAGAACATCTGTAAAAGGATGTCATGGATAGGGTCACTTTGGATTACTGTTGAAAAATGTAGCTACTAAAACTATGTCGCACTGCCCCCATGTGGTTATGGGCAACATTGCAAAGGAAACCACCAAAAGCAAACTTGTTGCATTTAAACGTTTTTTTTTTTCATACTAGTTCTGCACTCAATCATACTCAGCAATAATGTAGGCACCTACCTGTCCACATGTTGCCTCCTCTAATCCAGCCGACAGATCTGCTTACAGTATTAGGTTCCAGGTTCCAGGTCATGTGAGCTCTGTCAGACAGGAACCGTATCACTTCCAGACCCAGTTTGCAGTGGCCTGTGCAGAGTACAGATGTACGTTTCCTGGAATTATTAATTCAGTTTTTCCAGTTTTCAATGAGAGAAAGTAATCAGGTAAGATATGTAATTCTAATAAACTTGTAATAACTTTTGACTTTTCAACAATCACCTGAAATATCCACTTTTTCCCCACAGTGGCGTATTCATAATGGCAGAGGCTCCACGGCCGAGCACTGGCAAAAACAGTGCACGTCTGGGTAGCAGTGGGACTGGGGGTGTGCGTGTACCCCAGGAGCCCTCTCTCAAAGTTGGTGTGGTGTTAGATGAAAGGGTGGACTTCCTTCGGGAACAGGCTTTCTGTGTGCTACGGGTTAAGACGGATAAATGGAACCGCTTCATTGGAGCAGAGGAAAACCAGAAGATTATACTGGATTTTCTAGACCACATCTGGACCAACCGCCTGCTGCTCTTCACTGGACCTGGAGGAACTCTGCATGCAGGGGATGCTCAAGTAAGAAATCATGACAGTGAAGATTTTTTTATTATGGTCTTTCTATTTGTATTAATCCTATTAATGTTAATACAAATTGAATTTATAATATAAAGAAAGCAAACATAGTATCATGGTAAAATGTTTGTGGCTTAATAACATTTGATTTGTCAACATGGGTGCTACATAATGAATATACAACTTTAGTGCACATATCTGCACCTTTACTAATGTACTTGTTTTGAAATAAGTCATTGCTTATTTCCGGTGCTTTCAATGCTGTTGAAAGCATTCCTACTGTATTTTCATCTGTGAAGATGTCTCCTCCCTGGAAGACAAAAATACTATGTGTGATAAAAAGAGGAGTGAAAAGGGTCAGTCGTGAGGAGTTTAAAAACCAGCTGAGACTGGGCGAAGTGCCAGGGTACCCGATGGAGCACCTTCCACTGGTCATCTCAGAGGTACAGTAAGATCGTATTTAACTGCACGAATAGACAAACTTACCAAGATGTGTGATACATTCAGGTGCTTGTGTCAGTGCTGTCCAATGGCCTGAACCACGAGGATTGGCCCCGAGTGGTATCCGAGGACACGCACAGACACCTGGAGAAGCTGCGGAGCAACGTAGTGACGCTGCGAGGGCGCGCGGAGGGACGCACGCTGCTGCCGCTGCCGCTGTGCGTGGAGAGGGCCCAGACCCGCGACATCGCCGTGAGGTGAGTTATACCAACTAAACGAATCCACAAAAGTTCAAACATGTGGCATAGACGCACTATCTCCGAGACGAGGAAATAAATTAGGCATAGATACTACTGACTTAAAGAGTAAATGGGGGACTGCCTGCATTTGACATTACTGCACGTGGTGTTTGCCGCGAAAAACCTATACGCCGGATGCATAAACAAGTTGACCGGATGTATGTTTTCTAAGCGACTAAACATAATATATACAGTCTATGGACTAAACCAAGAAACTCTTCGTGACTGATCAAATGTCTTAATTGGATAATAGTTGAATAAGAGCATTTTGGTGAGTCACTTGAGATTAAAAAATATGGCAATGAATTAGCTTTTTTATATTTACCATATAATTATATTTACCACTAGCCAGAGCCACTTTTTATTAGTGCATATTGTTTTGATTGGGGATAAATTGGTTTTTTCACTTTTCCAACCATTATGCCGTCAACAGCCCGACTGGTTGGCCCGTGGATAGTGGATTGTTATACTCTATAGAGACTCTGATTATTCAGTGGTCTGGCCAGATATGGACAGTGCTTCAGAAAAGCTCTGCTGCGATGTTACAAGGGGGAGACCACCCTGTCCCCAGCCTGGAACTCCACTTCTGGTCTGCTCAACGAGAAAACCTTCGAGGCATCCAGGCTCAAGTAAAGATATTCTGGTCAAATTTCTTAAGATAAACAAGTAAAATGATTAGTGCTGTCAAATGATTCAAATATTTAATCGCATTAATGTCATAGTCAACTCAAGATTAATCACCAGTAAATCGCACATTTCTTCCCTATTCCAAATGCTTTGATTTTATTTGACACATACTGTAATGTATTATTATTTTAGATTCAAAGTCCGAAAGTGCAGAAAATTATGGACATCTTGAAGAGGGTTGAAAGCAGTTACTACTATGCTTTCCAGGATATCTGCACCAAAATTGATGATGGTATTCTGTCTAAATAGATGCACCTCATACGTACATGCCATAATATTCAACCATTTGAATTATGTGTTGTTTTAGCGGTGCTGGAGGCAGATGACATTGACCTTTATCTTCGGCCTCTGAGGAGGATGATCAGTAACTTAGAAGAGAGGAGTTTCCCACACACTGAGAGTTTGCTGCATCCTCTTTATCACACACTCTGTCTCATCTGGAGCCGCTCCAAATACTATTGCACTCCACAGCGCATGGTAGTGCTGCTGCAGGAATTCTGCAACTTGATAATTGAAAAGGTAATCTTATTGTCAGAAAGAAAAGTTACATGAAGCTTAAAAAGACTTTAATGTACAATATGTTGATAAACTTTACACAGGCAATTGCATACTTGATTCCTGAGGAGCTTTTTAAGATGGAGCTGGAAGAGGGCATGGAGCGAGTTCAGATTACAATCTCAGTGCTTCAAACCTTCAAGCAGCTATTCCAAACATACAGGCAGCAGGTGCCCCAATACTACAAATACAGCCACCAAGTTAAGCTATGGGACTTTCCAGCTTCATTAGTTTTTAAGCGCACAGATCGCATCATGGAGAGACTGCATATGGTTGAGGTCAAGGTTCTTTGTTGAGAAAAAAATATTTTTAAAATGTTGATTTCATGTGCATAATATGTTACTGTTCTCTCATTTACAGGGGTTATTTGCAACTGCTTTGGACTTTCTAAAGTTAGAAAAAGTTGAACTTGGTGGATCTAGAGGGAAAGTATTAAATGAAATGGTTTTCACTCTGAATGAGGAGTTTCACGACCAATGGAGAGGCCTCAGAGAAAGCAAATATGACCCTTTAGACTACACCAAAGATGTGAGAATCTGCTACAATACTATTTGACACATTTTATTCAATGAAAAGACCTGGGTTGGGATTAGTTGACAATGATAACATGGAATCATAATGTAATAAAATACTTGACAAACAAATGCACAGAGTTTGCTATGCAACATAGTTGCTTAGCAACAAAGCTAAGGGAGTGGCTGAAAGGTTTTTTTTTCTTGCAATCTTGCAAACATGATATTGATTATGAAAAATTATAAACTTTTATAATGAACAGTTTTATATTGTTCTGTACCCTGTTATTTGTTTTATTATTTTATACAGGGATTTGTGCAGCATTACAAAAGGTTTATGGAGCAGACCAAAGATTTTGACCAGAGGTTGGGAACGGTTCTCAATCTAGCTTTCCAGCACTCCAGAAACCTCAAATCCACCTTCAAGGTTCTTCTCAATCCCTGATGTGGCGGTTTTGTATCACCCTCACTGAACATTAAATGAATGTATTTATTTATATCTTTCTCCCACATTTAGTTGTTGAATATATTTGGAACATTACTTGACAGACCCAGGATCCACCAGCTGTTTTCTCCAAACTATAATGTGGTGTTATCCTTGTTCAGTGAAGAGATAGATCAGTGTCAATTTATTCTGGATCAACACAAAGACCAAGTAAGACATCTAATACTCCAAAAATCATATATGTCGTCTGGTCATTGTAATCTATTTTCAGTTGCAGTCTGACACAGTCATTGTTGGGAAAAACATGCCACCTGTGGCTGGAAACCTTGAGTGGTCTCAAGAACTTCGGAAACGCATTCTCACAAACAGGCGCAGCCTTTGCCAGCTCGCACAAATGTATGACTTTTTAAAACTTCTAGAATCTAAAGGCATATTTAATTATAAATAGATTGATTGTTTTATTATTATTGATATATTGTGATATACACATAATTAGATATTTCTCTCAAACTATATACAAAATCTATCTATATTAGTAGAATAATACTGTGCTATTAATTTATCAGGCCTTTAGGAAGTGCAGAAGCTGATGAAGTACTACAGCGCTGTGAGCGTATACTTAGGGTCTTAGACAAACACGACGATGAACTCTTCCAGGAGTGGACTGTGGGACTGGAGGAAATGTGTCAAAAACATCTGCATGACCCACTGCTAACTTTAGACAGGGATACAGGAATGTTCCAGGTCAACTTTAGTCCTGTGGTGAGTTTGTAAAATTACAATCAATCTACTGTGCTAAGACTTACTTATTATTTTTTTCTCACAAGTTAACCTCTGTGTTGAGAGAGGTGAAGTACCTAAGAATCCTAAAAAAACAGAACATTCCTAAAGCAGCGCTGCATCTTTACTCCAATCGTGAGCGTCTCCACATGGTGAGTAGCCCTCCCTGGTGCCCAGCTGAATAGTTTACCACCACTTATCGGTCATTTTCAATCCCACAGTATATGCAGACACTGACGTTTGTAACTCAGTGGTCCAACCATTTGCACAGCACCATCCTCGCTGTAGAGCTGGGCTTGGTCAAAGATGAGATGAACAGGTCAACGCAGAAGCTGGAGCCCGCTGTGCGAGAACTAACCTGGGCTCAGGATGATTTGTGGCCCTACATTGAGAGCACACGAGACCTTTTCAAAGTGAGTTTTTTATCCACCATTGGCAAATATCAGAACAGTAGACATATTCTGTAGATAAAAAGTTAAAACGATTAAATATTTCGGACGAATCAAAAGAACTGCTTTTAATGACGAAAAAATACTACAAAAGGGAACTTCCATTATAAGCCCGTACTCGCTGAAGTGTAACAAACATGCTTCTTGCTGTAATTAGAATCTCTCCAGTCGGGTCCAGAAGAGCAAAGCTAATGTGGAGGCCATCCAAGCTCTCATGGGCAGATTTAGTCACCGTGCTTTTATCACACGAAAAAGCCGCACATCAACTCTGCTCAGCTTCTCTGACATCGAAGACAGTGTTACCAAGCAGCACACACTGATCCGCAATACCGGAGAGGAAATACACAAACTATTGCAGGTTGATGTTCACATCTCTATTTTTGTATCACTGTAAATAGGTTGACAAACATACTCATGTATATTTGCAGGAGAACCAGTCTCTGCTGGGAGTGGAAGCCTTGGAGAGCTCTGAATGGCAGGCGTATACAGACTACGTGGACAGCATGATACTATCAGGTGTCTCTAGTGCAGTGCGCTGTTCCCTGCACTACCTTATTGATAACACAGACTCAGATCAAAACATCAAAGTATTGTTTGGTCTCCAGCTGGTTCTCAGTAACAATGAAATGACCTTTGAGCCATGTCTCGACTTTGGACAGACTGGAAACTTTTATGACATTGTGGATAAGATGGTTACGAACATCACCAAAATGGCATCCTTTATTCCTCGTCTGGCTAAGCATAAAATGTGTGATAATTATCAGGTAGTGTTCTTCTTCACTTTCATGAAGTGTTTTTTTCTCTGAAGGACATAAGTGTCATCTATATTTTGTAGAGGGACATTCATGAAATGGAGGATTTGTCTGAGATGTGCCGCACCATCCGTTCAAGGACCAGAGCTGCTATTACCAAAGTGAAGAGATCTTCAAGTGTCTGTTTTGTGGTTCAGGCTTTTTTGTTATACTTTTATTTCTATTTTAAGGTGAAAGAGTACCAAGGATCATTTTCTAGTTACCGTTACCTTTGGAATGATGATAGGTAAGATTATGTTACATTTGAAACTTGAATTACACTCTTGTAAACATGTAATATTATCATATTCAGGTCTGAATTTATGAGTCAGTTCTTGCTTTATGGCCATGTGCTAAGTACTGAGGAAGCTGAACTTTATGCAGACTATGAATTGAAGAAAAATCCACCCTCACTGGAGAATTTTAAAGAACAAGTAGGTACAGTATGTTTACCAAGGCTTAGACCCTTCATTTTTATAGTATCTTTGTTTTTGTTGTGCAGATAAATATGTTTGAGTCTCTGTATGAGCGAGTCAGTAAGATGGAGGATTGCCGGGTGTTTTGTGGATGGCTACAGCTGGACATTTCACCGTTCAAACACACACTGATGAATGTAATCAAGAGGTGGAGCTGGATGTTCAAGGAGCATTTGCTTAACCATGTGAATCAGAGGTAAGACTAATACCTCCGGAAGCTATTAGTATCTAATATACTGATACACAAACTGCCAAAAGACATGATTTCTTGGTTCTCACTTTGATTTTATTGTTCTCACAAATAAATTAAACTTCTGTAAGTTTATGCTCAAGAATTAGGATCAATGCAATATTGTTGCACAATTTGTTGCACAATTTGAAGCACTGAAATGTGTACCAACACATTTCAGTGCTTCAAATTCTTGTGGAAGTTATAAGACCAATCTTAAACCTTTGAGCGTAATTGTTTAAAATTAATGTTTTCTGCTTTCAGTGTGAGGGAACTCTCCGCTTTCGTCCATGACACGGCCCGAGGCCTCTCTAAAAAAGTGTCGGATGGTGACTATGCTGGACTTGTGGACATCATGGGACACCTAATGGCAATGAGGGACAGACAGATAAGCAATGATCAGCAGTTCAAACCTTTAAAGTCCACTGCTGAGCTCTTGAAAACCTATGGACAGCAGCTACCAGACAGTGTATACATTCAGCTTGAGGTATGGAGGCTTTCAGATCACACGACTTATCTTAATGATTCAATCAAATGCGGTTTTTCCTCATAGGAACTCCCAGAGAAGTGGAAAAGTCTGAAAAAGATTGCATTCACAGTCAAACATGAAGTGGCTCCTTTGCAGTCTAATGAGGTTTCAGTTATACGCAGGAAGTGTGTCCGGTTTGAGGTGAGTTTGTGTGTGACCTGTATAGGGTGTCACTGCTGCTGCCCCTAACAAAGAGCTCAATAGCTGACATGTAAACCCTCTCATTTTCTTTTATGCATTATGTATGACAGATAGCCCTGACCTTACTTATCATGTGAACAAATCTATTGTGTATGAGTTGTTGTTTAAATTCACTGAACCATATTTTTTCTTCTAGGTAAAACAGCATGAGTTCAGAGAACGCTTTCGAATGGAATCTGTTTTCAAAATAAGTGTAGAGGAATCATATAGAAAAATTGATACTGTAAGAAAAATTTATCCTGGAAATAACAGACACAAAATTATAAAGGCAGACATTTTACTACTTTCCAGTGTCATCGAGGTGTAGCAGTAATGGAAGAGGAAATGAAGAGGCTTCAGGACACAGCAAATCTGTTTGAGGTTAGCTTTCCAGATTATCGGCAGCTTCGACAATGCCGGTCAGACATTGTGTTGGTCAAGGCTGTTTGGGATATGGTTATCTTTGTTAAGGTAGAAATGTTTTTATTATTCAAATATGTATGTCTCAATGTTTAGTTTGCATTGTAATAAAGGTGATTCCTACTGTTCAGACAAGTATCGAAGACTGGACTAAGACTCCATGGAAGGAGATCAATGTTGAACAAATGGACATGGAACTCAGACGTTTTGCCAAAGTAAGAATTTGTTTATCAAGTTTAGAATGTCTTTGATGTCTTTGTGATCTTTCCATCTGTTTCCAGGAGATGAAGCTGTTGGATAAAGAGGTGCGTGTGTGGGATGTTTACGTAGGGCTGGAGTCCAAAGTTAAAAATATGCTCACATCTTTAAGAGCAGTGAATGAGCTGCAGAACTCTGCTGTCAGGGAGCGGCACTGGCAGCAGCTTATGAACACTACTGGGGTAAGTCCCCAGAGAACACATTTTGTAAATATTAGATATTAGTTCATAAGTCTTTTGTTTTGATACAATGATGTATGTGGTATGGTGTTATTTATCAACAGGTGACATTTGTGATGGGGAAAGGCACTACCCTTGGTGACTTGTTGGAGTTACAACTCCATCGTGTGGAAGAGGAAGTCAAAAACATTGTAGATAAGGCAGTAAAGGAAATGGCTATAGAAAAGGTAGATTTCTCTGGTTTATACAAACAACTAGAGATTTACTATTTAACTATATGTTAAAAGAAAATCATCCCCCCCTAGATCTTGGCAGAAATAACTCAAACATGGAGCATAATGTCATTGTCCTATGAGACTCATACCAGCACAGGCATGCCTCTGCTCAAAGCTGATGAAAATCTCATTGAAACATTGGAGGACAATCAAGTGAGCATGAGATACAGCTTGCCTGGACCTTGATTTGTGCTTTACAAATAGCCTAAAAGTTACTATTTCAATTCAGGTCCAGCTGCAAAACATACTGATGAGTAAGTATGTGGAGTATTTCCAGACAGACGTCAGCGGTTGGCAGAGGAAGCTTATGGTGGCAGACCTGGTCATCTCGTCCTGGATGTCAGTGCAGAGGACGTGGGCTCATCTTAACAGTATCTTCACCAACAGTGATGACATCCGCTGCCAGTTAGCAAGTGATGCTGAGCGCTTCCAGGGAATACACAATGACCTTCATGTGAGACGAACATTAATTAATGTGTAAAACATTGCCCGTGCTTATTTTTGTTCTTCTGCAGTCTTTGATGGCTACAACGATAGAGAATTCTAATGTAGTAGAGGTGACCAACTTCCCTGGCTTTTTGGAAAACCTTGAGGCCCTGCAACAAAGATTGTCTGTTTGTGAGAAAGCATTGGCTGAGTATCTGGAGACCAAGCGACTCACGTTTCCCAGATTTTATTTTGTGTCTGCCTCCGATCTTCTAGAAATAGTCTCAAAAGGAACACAACCCAAACAGGTGACATTTACGCGTATGTTTTACATATAGTAGATTAAATACTCTTTTTAATTAAATCCATACACATTCTAGGTGACAAGGCACTTGTTGAAGTTATTTGACAATATAGCAGACCTACGCTTCACAGACTCCGAGCGAGGTGGAGGCAAAGAGGAGGAGGGGGTGGCGGTGGCGATTGGCATGTACAGCCGAGAGGGAGAATATGTGCCCTTCTCAGAAGCCTGTGTGTGCGAAGGACAGGTACTGGACATGTCAGCTGACAAGCCGTCATTACAAGATATCAGCATTGACCTTTTTCTCCCCAGGCAGAGACATGGTTAGGTGCTTTGGAGAGCACCATGCGAAGTACAGTTAGGAAAGAGATCCAAGAGGCTGTGTGTGCTTATGAAGACAAACCTCGAGACCTGTGGCTTTTTGACTACCCAGCACAGGTTTAAACAATTAAACCAGTTCAGATATCAAATGTAGAGGTGTTGCTTTGGTTATTCCTACCACTGCTTAATAAAGTCTACCTGAATTGTCTTATGTGCAGGTGGGCTTGACTGGAAGTCAGGTGTGGTGGGCCACGGATGTAGAAATAGCCTTTGAGAGAGTAGAAGAAGGGTTTGAAACAGCTCTAAAAGACTACAACAAGAAACAGGTAGTGTTTGTTGCACTATCCATCTCGTATACTTTATGTACTTACATAATCTAACTTTCAGATCACACAGTTAAATTCACTAATCCATATGTTACTTGGTGAATTAACACCTGGGGACAGACAGAAGATAATGACAATCTGCACTATCGATGTTCATGCGAGAGATGTAGTGGCTTATCTGATAAGTCAGAAAGTAAGCAGCGACAATATATTGTTGAGTAAATAGTTATTGAAGGAATATGTAAATGAGCATGATTTACAATTAACAGGTTACGACAGCTCAGGCGTTTTCATGGCTTTCACAACTGCGCCACCGATGGGATGATGAAACCAGGCATTGTTTTGTGAACATTTGTGATGCTCAGTTTCAGTTCAGCTACGAGTATTTGGGAAATACCAACAGACTGGTTATCACCCCACTCACTGACAGGTGTGTCCTTGTGTTAAATTAGTGTACAAATTAAAGTAAAACAAATTAAAAAAAAAAACTTTCTATTCAGACCTGGACATATTCTTAGATCTATGTTTTGATTTTGTTTCTGATTGGTTCAAATTCTTTTTGAGGTGTTACATAACCCTGACCCAGTCCTTACACTTGACCATGAGTGGCGCCCCTTCTGGCCCAGCTGGAACTGGTAAAACAGAGACAACTAAAGATTTGGGGCGTTCTCTTGGCATCATGGTCTATGTATTCAACTGCTCTGAGCAGATGGATTACAAGGTACCATGTAATTTATTTAGTTACCTTTCTTTGATAATTTTTTATAATGTTCAATTCAGTCCATAGGCAATATTTACAAAGGATTGGCGCAAACAGGAGTGTGGGGATGCTTTGATGAATTCAACCGAATATCTGTTGAAGTGCTATCTGTTGTGGCCGTACAAGTTAAAACTATTCAGGATGCCATACGCAACAAAAAACACAGGTACGTAGATGAGCCCCATTGCGCAACGCACACAACTATAAAACATGCTACTTTGTTTCTTAGATTTTATTTTTTGGGAGAAGAGATTGAGCTGAAACCTACTGTGGGAATCTTTATCACTCTGAACCCAGGTTATGCGGGTCGAGCTGAGCTGCCAGAAAATCTTAAAGCACTATTCAGGTTCAGTGTTCAAAATTACGTCTTTTTAATAAAACGTATTACACAATAGAATTCATTTTGGATTTGACAATGATCTTGTTTTTAGGCCATGTGCAATGGTGATCCCTGACTTTGAGTTGATCTGTGAAATAATGTTGGTGGCAGAAGGATTTATAGATGCTCGTCTTTTGGCACGAAAATTTATAAGCCTGTATACCTTGTGCAAAGAGCTGTTGTCCAAACAGGTACACTTTCTGTGCAAATAAAAACATTTATACACACCATATCCAAACTTGACTGCTATTCTTTAAACAGTCAAGATAAATGTTGCATATAACAAATATTCTGCTGGTATATGTATCTGTTAGGATCACTATGACTGGGGTTTGAGGGCCATCAAATCCGTTCTAGTTGTGGCTGGATCTCTGAAGAGGGAAGACCGAACCAGGCCAGAGGAACAAGTACATTAAATAAAAATGCATATTCATCCATGGTTCATGGTCCACTAGTTCAACCTGTCACAGTGTGTGCAACAAAATGTGACAACAGTTTTTTTGTTCTTTTTCTTCCTGTAAAGGTACTTATGCGCGCCCTAAGAGACTTCAATCTCCCTAAGATTGTGACCAGTGATGTGCCAATATTCTTGGGGCTCATCAGTGACTTGTTCCCTCAGTTAGATGTGCCAAGGAAGAAGAATCCGGAGCTTGAAAAGGCTATACGGCAGTCTATTGGTGAGCTGCAACTTCAACCAGAGGAGAACTTTGTTCTTAAGGTTAGTTTATTTTGTAATATCCTATTTCATAAATATTACTTGTATTTAATATTGTTAACATATCTCATGTTTTCTCAGGTGAATCAGCTGGAGGAGCTGCTTGCTGTTCGTCATTCTGTATTTGTTGTTGGTGGGCCAGGTACCGGAAAGAGTCAGGTTTGTCATCTATAATAATAACCTACATACACATACTATATTAATAAATCATTAAATAATGGTTTGCTGAGTTCAAAATGTAAATGTACACTGTGTTATAATGCAAGTTATTTTTTGTTGTCAATACCAGCAGTTCCATGATTCATCCAAATGATAACATTTAATTTTGGTAATATCAGGGTTTCAGCTATGCCTGTGCTAAAGATGCAGTGCAGAGATATAATGCAAATTGATTTTTACTTGTGGCCTTACCTGTGTGTGAAATCCTGCTCTCAGTAGACCTGAAAAGCTAAGCAGGGCTAGACATACTTAGCTCTTTGATAGGAGGTACCCACTGGGAATACCAGGTGTTTGGGTAAAGTGCTAAACTGTCACTGTGTTCTTGGGAAAGACACTTAAACCTTCTTGCCTAGATATGACTGTGTGTGAGTGATTGGTGGGGGTCAGAGGGGCTTTCAGTCTACTCCAGTCCACCACCAGCAAGTATGGAGTGAATGTAAGAATTTTATGTGAAGCATCTGAGTTTGATCCACTCACGATTACTCCAGACACAGACATTTGTATTTCTTTCCTTAAGCTATAAAGTATTTTAAAGAGTTTTCAAATATGCCTGATATATATATATATATAATATAATGTTTAATCCACATTGGCAGTAATAACCTTCCCTATGATCTAACATCAAAGAGTAGTAATTATGTGTTTGTGTTTTTTTAGTTTAGTTACTCATATAACTTTTTTTGACTTTTACTTAGATCTTAAAGACACTTCACAGAACCTATATAAATATGAAGATGAAGCCTATTTGGACTGACATGAATCCAAAAGCAGTAACCACTGATGAGCTTTTTGGTTTCCTGCATCCTGTCACTCGGGAGTGGAAAGATGGTGAATGAATGAGTTCATGTTTGTTTAATAACATTCGTACACTGCCTTGAAAAAGTATGAACCTCTATACTGAATCTTGTTACGCCGACAAACCAGTCTATGGAATGAAAAGGCTTTATATTTAGGAAAATTATCCTGTTGAGAAATAAACCTCCACTTCTATTGCACACTCCAACAGTTTTTCTTATAAGAATGCCTTTAATTTTTCTTCATCCTCTCACCCGTCAACTCTGATACTCTTTCAGCAGGATGTTGCCGCCACCAGGTTTGACAGTGGAGATGGTGTGAGTGATGCGCAAGTGTTAGTTTTCCTCCTCAATTTTTCTATTCGAAAAATCAGGCAACCTCTAAAAGAAATTGGTTGCACTCAGAGAAAGGGGCACACCTCACGTTTCAGAAATAAAAATGAAATCATGTATAATTGGATTTTCACTTCCCAATTGTTTGTGGTCGTAAATACAAAATGTGTAAAGGATCTCTCATTTAAACATGCATGGGGTATGAATACTTTTCCAGGACACTGTAATATACTTTACTTATAATCAAAAGCATTAGTATTGTATCAATACCAATCATCAAATTGATCAAACAGGTTTGTTTTCATCTACAATGCGAGAACTTACCTCAGTGGGTCACGATGGTCCGAAATGGATTGTACTCGATGGGGATATTGACCCAATGTGGATTGAATCACTCAACACAGTCATGGATGACAACAAGGTGATTTGGTTATAACAAAAATGCTAAATATTTATTTTATGTTTGTATTACATTGAAACACAAATTTTAACTACATTTTAAGGTTCTCACCTTGGCCAGTAACGAGAGGATCAGCCTGTCCTCCTCTATGCGTCTGCTCTTTGAGATTTCCCATTTAAAAGCCGCTACACCTGCCACTGTGTCCAGAGCTGGGATTCTCTTTGTCAACCCACAGGACATAGGCTGGAGCTCGTAAGGCAAAGAAAAATATATTGTGATGTTGTATATGTATACATAATGTGATCTGTGTTTGTTTAGTTATGTTGCCAGCTGGATAGAAATGAGACAAGCCCAGTCAGAGCGGGCAAATCTCACCATCCTTTTCGACAAATATGTTCCTTATTGTTTGGAGCAAGTCCGCTGCAACCTCAAAACTATCACACCGATTCCTGAAAATAGCATGGTTCAGGTATGAATAAAGATTTTATCGCAATAAAATATACCACCCATATTTGCATAACTTGTTTTCACAGACGCTGTGTTCGTTGTTGGACTGTTTGCTGACCATTGAGAACACTCCTCCAGACTCCCCCAGAGAACTTTATGAGATCTACTTTGTCTTTGCCTGCGTCTGGGCTTTTGGAGGAGCACTATTTCAGGATCACGTAAAGTTTAATGAAATAGTGTGCATGAACTGCAGATGGTTTTGCTTCAAACGCTAATCTTATGACTTCTTTCTTCTCAGCTAAATGACCATAAGGCTGAATTTAGTCGATGGTGGAGCAAAGAGATGAGAGCAGTGAAGTTTCCATCACAGGGCACAGTTTTCGATTATTACATTGACCCAGAGACCAAAAAGTTTACTCCCTGGAGTGAAACCATAGTGCCCTTTGAACTTGAGCCTGACGTTCCACTGCAGGTCAGTTTGATGATTTGTTGCATTATTATTATTATCCCAAAGGACATTCTGTTTGTCTTTTTCTATTTTAATTTAGACAGTATTGGTCCACACTCCAGAAACCATTTGTCTTACATACTTCATGGACCTGTTGCTCCAAAGAGGAAAACCCATTATGTTAGTGGGAAATGCTGGAGTGGGTAAAACTATTCTAGTAACTGATAAAGTGTCCAAGCTTAAAGAGGAATTCATGGTGGCTAAAGTGCCCTTCAACTACTACACTACCTCTGCTATGCTTCAACGTACGTTTGTCAAAATAAGAATATTTCCGAATGATTTGGTTATAACACAGTTTTGTCACATTCATTGCGTAATTGGGTTTCAGGAGTATTAGAAAAACCCCTTGAGAAAAAAGCTGGGCGTAAATTTGCTCCTCCTACTCCCAAGAGACTTATCTATTTCATAGACGACCTCAACATGCCTGAGGTGGATGTTTATGGGACTGTCCAACCGCACACACTGATTCGCCAGCATCTCGACTACAACCACTGGTGAGCAGCAGAGTCAGCCCAGAAAGCAAGCACATATATTGTCATTATAGTAATATCCAAAATTCTAATTCTAGGTATGACAGGCAGAGGATGGTTCTCAAGGAAATCCACAACTGCCAGTATATTACATGTATGAATCCAACAGCAGGAAGCTTTTCAATAAACTCCAGACTTCAGGTAGATTGCATTTGAAGATAGAAGGCTGTTCGCTGCTGTTGCATACAGACTTACAACACATGCTCTCATTTGTAGAGGCATTTTGCTGTGTTTGCAGTACATTTCCCAGGGGTCGATGCATTAGCCACTATCTTCTCCAACATATTGTCCGCTCATTTTCTCCAAGGAGGATTTAGTTATGGAGTTTCTCGTTCAGTGGGGACGCTAATACAGGTGATGTTTATTGGAAATCTACACTGTGATAATCTGCCATATTCAAAACTATTACATTTATTTCAATGGCCATTTTGCTTTTAAGGCCGCCATATGTCTGCATCAGAAAATTAGCCAGAACTTTCTTCCCACTGCAATACGTTTTCATTACATATTCAACCTGCGAGACCTCTCCAATATCTTTCAGGTAACATGTTTTCACTTTCACTCATTATATTCATGCACAGTTGCTTTTCTTGGGGATTTCATCACCTGCTTGTCTCCATGGAAATCTTGTCTTTTTCATAGATTACAGAAACTAGATTTTTCATCTGATTTCAATAAAAGTAGATGGTCTGAATCTAAAAAGTAGATTTTTTTTTAATTATTTGTGAGACTTTTAATGGGGGTTACAGCAGTTTATCATGTGCAACAGTTTATTTTGTCAGAGAGGAAAGGCTTTCACAGCATGTATAGCAACGGGGCTGATTTGATGGCCGTTGGAGAAGCCTAGAGCACTGAGCCCAGTTGCTGATGAGCGCCATACATGGCTTTCAGTCAAAATACATTGGAACTATGCATGTGCTAATGGGCTTTGATGATTAATTCAGCTTCCAAAACATTTTTCTTTGATTAGATATTAGAAGGAGGGCTGGCTGTGATTCTGGACATATTTTCTTTCATCAAGTCTTGCATCTGGCTAAACCAGCCCACAGAGACTATGAGGACAGATACAAAGACTTTTGCTGCTATATAGCAGCCCTCTGGGCTGTTTTGTCCTCTACACTTCTCCATAGACTTTCATACATGCCATCAGCCTACTCTCTGCGCTTGCGATGTGTGTACGTAAAACATTTTGGTAAATTTCACTATTGATGCAAACCTGGCTGATATCCATAGTAACTGTCTTTCTTTCTGAGCTTTATCGCATTTTTAGTTAGTGGAAAACTTTTTACCAGAAAAGCTACAAAGGGCATCCTTAACATAAATTATATGAATATTATGTATACATTTTATATAGTGAATTTGTATATCTTTATTTTTATGTTTTTTCCATCTCAAGCTTATCTTGACAACCGTAATGTTACTGCTTTCTATACTGTGCAATTTATTTATGTTTGTGTTATGATATGATATCTTTATCTGATGATTTTTTTATCTGTGAGTTTGAAAAGTATTGTATACATTAGTATGGTATATTGTAATGTTCGATCATGACATAACTTGTGTTTTACAGGGCATACTATTCGCCCTGCCTGAGTGTATTCGTTACCCCATGGAGCTGGTTCACCTGTGGTTGCACGAGAGCTCCAGAGTTTACTCTGACAAACTGATGGAAGAGAAAGATGTGGAATTGTTTAAAAAGATACTCCTTGATACTGGCAAAAGATACTTTGAGGTGCATTACTTTTTGTTTTCAGAGGCTGGTACATAATGGTGCGATCGGCCCTATGGCTTTAACTAAATACTGTTGTTGGTGTCATCATTGTGGTGCCTCCAGGGAATAGATGAATCCATGTTCATCCACCAGCCACTGGTGTACTGTCATTTTGCACAAGGACTTGGGGAGGCTCGTTATCACCAGGTTTGACATAAGCTAGTTAAATCTTTCCTACTCTAGCTCATAATGTTTTCCTCTGGCAGCCATTTATATTCTTAATTTGCTGCAGTAATAAAGACAAAGCTGTTTAATTGTGTTACACTTCAGTCAATTATCTGTGTGTATTATCTGAAGTGCACATATTCAAAGACGTCACGGTTTGGACTCTGTTGTCAACTCTAATCTGTCGGTGCAGAAATGAGGATGAATGGACTCATTAGAAATATAATAACCATTTGTTGGGGATTTACGTGAAAATTAATGAGTATCCCTTCTGATAGGAGCTTTATTCCATTCCATTATCACTTAATATTTTCTCACATTCTTAGGCGTCAGACTGGGAGAAACTCCAGAAGACCCTGGCCGAGGCTCTTGAGCACTATAATGAGCTGTATGCAGTCATGGACCTCGTTTTGTTTGAAGAAGCGATCCAGCATGTGTAAGAGAGCCACACACCTTAGGGATACAGTGACTGCTGATTTTTGATCGGACAAGGGTTTATACAGACTAGGCTAAATTAATGCTGTTGCTCTTTTTCTAAAGGTGTCGTATTAGCCGAATTCTGGAGGCCCCATATGGTAATGCCCTTTTGATGGGCGTCGGAGGAAGTGGAAAACAGAGTCTATGTCGGCTGGCGGCCTTCCTCAGTTCTTTGGAAGTTTTCCAAATCACATTGCGTAAAGGCTATGGCATCAGTGATCTCAAGGTTATTGACCGACTATAGACTTTTCTTTCAATTTACCAGATGCAGAGTCAATGCTGCTTGATTTTATCCTCAATATACAGGGTGATATTGCTTCCTTGTACATCAAAGTGGGAGTGAAGAATATTGGAACAGTATTCCTTCACACAGATGCCCAGATTCCAGATGAGCGGTTCCTGGTGCTCATCAATGATATGTTAGCTTCAGGTAACATTTTAATTTACCAAAGTGATATTGTATAAACAGAATTGTTGCAGCAGCATTGAATGTTGTTCTATTGTAGGCGATATCCCAGATCTGTTCAGTGATGATGAAGTGGATATGATCGTGACGTCAATTCGAATGGAGTTGAGAGGCTTAGGTCTAATAGACAGTAGAGACAACTGCTGGAACTTTTTTATCGAGAGAATAAGGAGGCAGCTGAAGGTATGAACAGATTTCATATCTGTGCAACCTAGGGTTTTACCTCATGCTCTGTCATTCAGGTCGTACTGTGTTTCTCCCCTGTTGGATTTACCCTTCGTACACGAGCTCGCAAGTTTCCAGCGTTGGTCAATTGTACCGCTATAGACTGGTTTCATCCTTGGCCTCAGCTTGCTTTGCAGTCTGTAAGCTCTACTTTTATTGAGAAGATACCTGCACTAGAGGTAAAAAATAACATGCCATATGATGTTTTCTTTTTGTATAGTTTGCATACTGTAGAATAACACTTTTTTTTTTTCAGCCAAACATACGGTCTTCCATCAGTGAATTTATTTCATTTGCGCACACAAGTGTTAATGAGGTAGGAGTTATTTTTGTCCTGGTAAAGTCTAGACACTAGGTCAAGACTCGGTTTTATTATTATGTGCCTTGTTTAATGCAACAGGTAAGCGTGAAATACCAGCAGAATGAAAAGCACTTTAACTACACCACACCTAAGAGTTTTCTTGAGTTTATGAAACTCTATGGCAACCTGCTGGGGAAGAAACGCACAGAGCTGACGCAGAAGATGGAGAGGTTGGAGAACGGCCTTCAGAAGCTTAAATCTACTGCGGCACAGGTCAAATAACAAGAACTCTTAATTTTAGTAAAACATTTTCAATACATCTCTTTTTATTCACGACGTTATTAGGTAGAAGATTTAAAGGCAAAGTTAGCTGTCCAAGAGGTAGAGCTGTGGCAAAGAAACAATGACATTGAGGCTCTTATTGCTAAAATCGGACAACAGAAGGATAAGCTAAATCAAGAAAGGATTGTGGCAGATGGAGAAGAACAAAAGGTGGATGTTTATTATTTTTGTGAATAAAATAAACAAAATATTTTCTTGGACTTTCTGTATTGAGAAACTGTTACTTTAGGTTGCTGCCATCCAAGCTAAAGTTACTAAACAACAACAAGAGACTGAGGATGACCTGGCCAAAGCTGAGCCAGCACTTCAAGCAGCCAATGCCGCCCTTAATACTCTGAACAGGGTAAAAACTTTTCCCCTATAAACATATTGTTTCATAAAATATTAATGTATCCTGCTGTGTGTGTCTGGTTGTGATGTAGTTAAACCTGACAGAACTGAGGACATTTCCCAACCCTCCAGTCATCGTCACCAATGTCTCAGCAGCTGTTCTGGTTCTGATGGCTCCCCAGGGACGAATACCCAAAGATCGCAGCTGGAAGGCATGCAAGATCATCATGAGCAAGGTGATCATGCCCCTGACTTTTTAAGACCGCAATTTATTATTGAATTTATGGAATACTATTAAATAAATATGTAACTTTATTGTAGTTAAACATTAAATTCACTGCTTCGCTTCGCTTTAATGCGTTGCAGGTGGATGATTTCCTGCAGTCTCTTGTGAACTTTGATAAAGAGCACATCCCAGACGCCACAGTCAGGTGTATAAAAGACGACTACCTCAGTGACCCAGAGTTCAACCCAGACTTTGTGAAGCACAAGTCCTCTGCTGCTGCGGGTCTTTGTGCGTGGGTCATTAACATCATACGCTTCCATGAGGTTCACAATACACATTTACACATTTCATTTCACATAGATGACACTGACTTCATGTTTTTTCTTTGATTGCGCTGCTGTGTAGATTTTCGTAAGTACATATTTATTGCATTTGTTGCAGTTGAAACCTTTGAGTGAACAACCCTGTGTCTCTCTAGGTTTTCTGTGAAGTTGAAATGAAGAGGATCTGTCTCGCTCAGGCTAATGCGGATTTAACAGAGGCTGCTGAAAAATTAGAGGTCATTCGAAGAAAACTTGCTGTGGGTCCATTGTTTTGACATATCAATTGTTTAGAAGTCCGAGTCGATAGAACAATAAACAATAAATGTGTTGCCTGTTTCTTCTCCTCAGGAGTTGGATGGTAATCTGGAAAGTTTGACCACAGCCTACAAGACTGCCACATTAGAGAAAGTGCGCTTCCAAGAAGAAGTCAATAACACAAACAAGACAATAGAACTAGCTAATCGTTTGGTAAAAGGTCTAGAGGTGAGAATTTACTGAATATTAAAACCTTTAAATTCTAAATTCACACAGAGCTTTTTAAAAAACCTAGAGTGAGAATGTGCGTTGGGCCCATTCTGTGGCCCAGTACCGGGAACAAGAGGAAACTCTCTGTGGGGACGTGCTCCTTACTGCAGCATTTATCTCTTATGCCGGATCATTTTCTAAGAAGTACAGAAGAGAACTGCTGGAGAATATGTGGATGCCATTTTTAAAAGAACAAAAGGTGACACTTTAGCATATTTCTGTTTTATTCTCTTCAACATTAAAATAAATTATAAAACAATATTTTAATTTGGACAGACAACCATTCCCATGTCACAAGGCTTAGATCCGGTGTCCATGCTGACGGATGGCGCAACGGTAGCCCAGTGGAACAATGAAGGCTTACCTGGAGACAAGATGTCTACTCAAAATGCAACCATTCTTACAAACTGTCAGTTTCAAAATTTGATAATTATGATTATATTGTATCACAATTATTTATATTTACTAGCCCAAAAGCATGTGTGTACATTCTCTCAGGTGAGCGCTGGCCTCTTCTCATTGACCCCCAACTACAGGGAATAAAGTGGCTAAAGAGCCGTTTTGGCAACGCGCTTAAAGTTGTGAGTCTTGGACAGAGAGGGTGAGTGTCAACCTTATGTTCAATTAATTCATTGAATTCACATCTCTTAAAAAAATGTTGGGTATGTTCTATATGTATTGAAGTTATGTAGATGTTATTGAGCAAGCTGTTGTGGCTGGAGAAACTGTCCTCATTGAAAATCTGGAAGAGACTATAGACCCTGTTATTGACCCTCTACTGGGGCGGCACACTATCAAAAAGGGGAGGTAACTGCAAAGTTTTACTATTTGATTTTGGGAACCTATGATATCCATTGTATTTTTCATTATTATTATGTTATTCTTTCTGTTTTGAAGTTGTATAAAGGTCGGTGATAAGGAGTGCTATTTCAATCCAAGTTTCAAATTGATTCTTCATACAAAATTGGCCAATCCTCACTATAAACCAGAGATTCAAGCTCAGACAACTCTCATTAATTTCACTGTGACTAGAGACGGGCTGGAGGACCAGCTTCTGGCTCAGGTGGTCAATCAGGAGAGACCGGACCTTGAGCACTTGAAGGTGGGCTTTTGGCTAAAATACGTAACTCTGTTCAGAACAGGTTTGTGTTATTATGTGTCTGTGTCCTCCAGAGCGAACTGACCAAACAACAAAACATGTTTAAGATTGAGCTGAAGCTCCTGGAGGACGAGCTGCTCACGCGGCTCTCGGCTGCAGAGAGCCATTTCTTGGGTGACAATGTTTTGGTGGAAAAGCTGGAGACCACCAAACACACCGCTGCTGAAATTGAGATGAAGGTGCCTGTGGCAGGAATAAAATTCCCCACACAATGTGTTCTTCATTTGAACGTGGCACTTCTTTTCTTAGGTTCAGGAAGCTAAAGTTAATGAGGTTAAGATAAATGAAGCTAGGGAACACTATCGACCGGTTGCTGTCAGAGCCTCTCTTCTCTATTTCATCATGAATGACCTGAACAAGATTAACGCCATGTATCAATTCAGCCTTAAGGTACAGTACATCACTCTTTACAGATAAGTCTTAATAAAGGTGTGAACCTTGTTATTGTAATATTAGTTCACTGCATTGAATTTCTTTTCAGGCCTTTAATGTAGTGTTCCATAAGGCAGTGGAGACAGCAGAGAAGAGTGAAGATGTAACGAGCCGTGTGAACACACTCATAGACTGTGTAACTTACTCTACTTTTAACTACATCAGCAGAGGGCTGTTTGAGAGGGACAAACTCACCTTCACTGCCCAGCTGGCTTTCCAGGTGCCCCATTGTGTGAGCGGTCATATAAAAAACAATTCAATTGTGACTTTTATTTAAATTTTTATTTTTATTTTAGCTCCTCCTGTTGAGCAAAGAAATAGATGTACGAGAGCTAGACTTCCTGTTACGCTTCAACATTGACCATATTTATGCCAGCCCGCTAGAATTCCTCTCCAATTCAGCATGGAGCGCTATTAAGGTTTGCAAGTTTGACCAACGTGTAAACATTTCATTATGTGTTTGAGGTAATACTGGTGATTTTTGGGTCAAGGTCATGAGTTTTACTGATGAGTTCCGAGGTTTGGATCGAGATATTGAAGGTTCACCTAAACGATGGAAGAAGATCGTAGAGTCTGAGTGCCCAGAGAAGGAGAAGTTTCCTCAGGAGTGGAAAGGCAAAAGTGCTTTGCAGAAACTGATCATCATAAGAGCTATACGCCCAGATCGCATGACTTATGCCTTGAAGTAAACCGCTGTTTTTTCTATATTTAATTGTTTTTATTCATGAGTGAAACTGTTATTTTTAATCTTACATTATTTACACGGACACTGTAGGAATTTTGTTGAGGAGAAACTTGGTATGAAGTATACAGAGGGCCGGAAGACAGAACTCGTAAAGTCTTTCAGAGAAAGTGAACCGGCCTCACCTGTTTTCTTTATCCTCTCTCCTGGTGTGGATCCACTTAAGGATGTGGAGTCACTTGGTATGGGTTTTATCTTGATGTTGAAGCACAAGAAAAATATTTAAAGTTTTTTGGTCAACAGGAAAGAAACTGGGTTTCACTATTGACCATGGGAAACTTCACAATGTGTCTTTGGGTCAAGGCCAAGAGGCTGTTGCTGAGATTGCCATGGAACAAGCTGCAAAGGAGGGACACTGGGTTATACTACAGGTAAAGTCATTTGGTTTATCTTTTATATTTGTAGATACAATGTCATGTTAACGACAGTAAATTTTTCCTTGTAGAACATCCACTTGGTTGGGCGCTGGCTAGGCTCCCTGGAGAAACTGTTGGAACGCTGCTGTGAGGGCAGTCATCCTGACTATAGAGTTTTTATGAGTGCAGAGCCAGCACCATTGCCCCAAGAGCATATAATTCCTCAGGTATAGTAAATATACTCTAGCCTAACATAATGCAAGTGTTGGACACACAATTCATGATCTAAGTATAGCTACTGTAATATGCTATAACGTCCATCTCTATTGCTTTTTTAGGGAATTCTAGAAAATGCTATAAAGATCACCAATGAACCTCCCACAGGGATGCATGCAAATTTACATGCTGCTCTTGATAACTTTGACCAGGCAAGGTTTTTAACATTCTTTGACGACAGAGATATATATGTTACAAGTTGTATTATCATAATAGGATATCTTGGACCAGTGCAGTCGGGAACAGGAGTTCAAGACTATCCTCTTCTCCCTGTGTTACTTTCATGCCTGTGTGGCGGAGAGGAGGAAATTTGGACCCCAGGGCTGGAACAGAAAGTACCCTTTTAACACTGGAGACTTGACCATATCAGTAAATGTCCTCTATAACTATTTAGAGGCTAATGCACAGGTGCCATGTTTCATCTTTATATTATATCCGTGTTGGTTTAATTAAATTGTGCAATAATTGTGCCGTTTTATGACGGCAGGTGCCCTGGGAAGACTTGAGATATCTCTTTGGAGAGATTATGTATGGTGGACACATCACAGATGACTGGGACAGGCGGCTTTGCAGAACTTACTTGGAAGAATACATGCAGCCCAACCAGGTTTATCTTCATGAAAGGAGTTCTTTTGTATTTAATGCTGTCTAATAATGAAAAATAGCTGGTGTACATGTGATTTTGTTAGCAATAGGCGAGCTTCTATTCAGGCAGGCTTTTGGACAACAGAACATTATATAAATAATATTTGACACCGTTACCATTATACAGTACATGTTTTTTTCATTTTTATTCAGTTTGACAGAAAGCTTTCTTTAGCGCCGGGATTTGTTGTACCTTCTAATTTAGACTACCAGGTAAAAATATATTTGCTATATTTTAAACGTGAGTATGCTAGATGTAATACTGTTCCCACATCCATCCTCCAGGGCTATCACGATTTTATTGATGAGATGCTGCCCCATGAGAGCCCAGCGCATTATGGGTTACATCCAAATGCAGAAATAGATTTTCTAACTGTGACATCAGATGCCCTTTTCCACACTCTCCTGGAGCTCCAGTCTCCTGATGCAGTGATGGGCGAAGGAGTCTCACAGACCTTGGAGGAGAAGGTGACTGCTTTTAAATTGTGCAACAAACATGCATTTACAATGGACAAGTTTTCAGTAATCAGTGTGATTTTTCTAATTTAAAAAAGATAATGGGGAATGTCAAATAAAAGTGTTTGCTGCAGGTCAAATCTATCCTAGACGAAGTGTTGGAGAAGCTCCCAGAGGAATACAATATGTCTGACATTACATCAAAGACAGCCGAGCGCTCCCCGTACATTCTGGTGTGTTTTCAAGAGTGTGAGCGCATGAACTCTTTGATCTCAGAGATCCGCCGTTCACTAAAAGAGCTTGACTTGGGACTCAAGGTAAACATTTTTTGTAAGTGTGTGATTTTCTATCCTACTTTCTCACAATCACTCACTATAAAAGGGGGAGCTTGCAATTTCCTCTGAAATGGAGAAGCTCCAGACTGCTTTATTCTTTGACAAGGTCCCTGATACATGGACCAAGCTTGCATATCCTTCTATCTACAGCCTCTCAGTTTGGTGCGTATGATTCCATTAAGACAAGATTGTAGTTATTTTCGATTATTTATATTAAGTATATGTATTAGGTTCAATGATGTGCTACAACGTTGTAAGGAACTCGACAGCTGGACTCAGGACCTGTCTCTGCCCAGTGTCGTGTGGCTCTCTGGACTCTTTAACCCACAGTCATTCCTCACAGGTAACAGTGCATTAAAAGGATCTTCATTATTCCTCCAAAATATTCTTATATACTATGAATGCTTTCTTTTCTGTAGCTGTCATGCAATCCCTGGCTCGGAAGAATGAGTGGCCACTAGACAAAGTGAATTTAACAGTGGACGTGACCAAGAAATTTAAGGAAGAGTTCAACCAGCCTGCCAGAGAGGGAGCTTATGTCTATGGACTGTACATGGAAGGTACTGTCCAACACCAAGCATACAATTATCACAGTGTGACTTCACAGTTTTAAATCTCACTTGCTTGGCTGTAGGAGCCAGGTGGGACACTCAGGCTGGAGTGATCACAGAAGCTCGATTAAAGGAACTGACTCCAGCGATGCCTGTAATTTCTGTTCGAGCCGTTCCCAATGACCGCCATGAGACCAGGAATATCTATGAGTGTCCTCTCTATAAGACTAAGATCAGAGGCCCTACCTATGTGTGGACTTTTAGTTTGAAAACAAGGGAACGACCTGCCAAGTGGGTCCTGGCTGGAGTCGCTCTTCTTCTCAGTGTGTAATATACTATGAGTGGCTGTAACAAGAGAAGGTTATTTGTAGATTTGTATCTATTTATTGAAAAAATGTCAAAACACCAAATATTTGAAATTAAATCAAGTCAAAACATGTTGAACAAAACTAAACATAATATACTATAATTCTACAGTAAAAGCGAACAGTGCTGCCTCATAAGAGACATTAAAGTGTGTTTTTACAAACACTTGTAATTCTCACAATATGGTATGCAGCAGGAATTAAATTACATTACAATGGTGAAGTAAATATTATATGACAGCCTTGTTGTCTTTTGTATGATTTCTACTTCACAGTCAGGACATAGTATTCAGCGCATGAATAAAAAAATAACAAATAAAATGTGTTTAGACCAGCTTTTTCCTCCTGGAGACTGTAATGCAGGTGTGTGTCTACAAGTCAATCTGTGCTTGTATTGTTGAGTGTATTCAGTCACTGTCAGACCAGTCAAGCTCCATCATGTCCATTGCTGTAGAAGCCATCTTAATCTTTGTTCCTTGAAGCATGCTACAACTTTTGACAGAGTTCTGGTTGGATGCAGAATGCATGCTCACCTTGACACCCATTTCCCCTCTGATCTTTTGGCTTCTGGCTTCACTGAGGTCCCCCCGTACTCCCTGTACAACAACTCCCATATCTCTGCGCCCTCTTACGCCCAGCTCAGTCCTGACTCCACGACCTGTGACTTTCATTATACCTAAGTCACCCATGTTCATATTCATGTCCATGTCACCCAGACGGTCCATGTCTCCTATGTCCTCCATGTCCAAGGACAACATGTCCCCAAAGCCCCCTATACCAGCTCCCAGCCCTTTTAACATTGTAGGGAGTTTTGATACTTCTACCACTCCCTCCATCCCTCTGTCCTCAGGTCTGTTCTCAGCTCTGTCCACCTCCCACTCGGCCTCCCTGTCTCGCCCTGAATCGCCCTCTCCAAAACTCCCAGAGTACCCCTTCCACATAGTCACCCTGCTCCGCTGCAATCCACCTGTGTCAGTGTCCCTCCCCTCCCAAGTCCTCTCCTGTCTCTCTACCACCCCTCCTGGAAAGCTCCTCAGTGTTACCTGCACCCTCCCTCCTTCCTGGCTACCTTCATCCTTCTTCTGCACCCAACTGCTGTCATTTAGGGTACCCTCCTCTTCTTCGTCATCTCCAAATCTCCCAGACAATCCGCGCAGCATCGCGTGCAGTCTTCCCCCTTCCATAGAAGACATTCCCCGATCCAGTGTGGTACTACTGCTCCTCTCAGTGTCTCCATTACTGAGGGTCCGAAACAGAGAACTGACTCCAGCACTGCTGACGCCGGCGCTGCTGTTGGAGTCCTGTGAGTGTGAGCGGAAGAAGGAACCAGACGAGCTGATTGACAGTGGTGTGAAAAACTGCAGGAGAAGCAAAGAAAGACATAAATACACTTAAATATTTTGTTTATTACAAAGTGGCGCTTACAGGTGAGATGTTTGAGTCCATCAGAAGGGAAGTGGGGCTGGGACTCATGGTAGACCTTTGCATGAGCCTCTCCTCCCACAGTTTTAGTCTCCTTTCCCTTTCTTCAAGCTCTTTTTCCTTGGAGTAAAGTTCTCTTTCAAGCTTCCGTAGGCGCTCAAGAGTAGACTCAATTTCACACCTATGTTAAAAAGAACATTTGAAATCGATTACTTTGATTTGACATTAGACAATTCCAGATTGCAGGTGTTGCAGATACAGATAGTTTCCACAAGATGGCCCTATTGTTTGGTATTATCAGGCAGACATAAAGAGCTCTTTATTGAGTAGTGTTGTTAATTCCCTTCTCCCAAACTCCACCTCTTCACCTCTCTCACACAGCACAATCCTCACCGCCCTGTGTCTGTCCAACTTTCCACCCTGACCAAAACTGCACTCACAATTGAGTCATCACTGTGGTAAATATGTTAAGAATGTTACACCACAGTTCAGTAGCATTCACATACATTCAACATCCAGTGCATTTGTGTTGCTGTTTCCTGTGTTTACATTTTAATTTTTAGTCTTCCCATCGCCCACCCCCACAACTTTTTGCAATGCAGTGAAGTGGACCAGCAGTGGAATCTCTACTGTGGACACTTTCCAGAGCTTATTATAGACCAGAGTAGAGCACAGGGTCACACATTCAACTTCTCTCAGGGGGAATTGTGCTGTTTATTTTGTGATTATTTTGCTATTATCTTAATATGTATCAACAATATACAGCATTATATTCTGAACGTATACCTCCACTTTTCTTTGTTATGGAGAAAAGAGTTACACTGATCTGGGAGCCTGCTGTCATTTGCCATTGTCTCCAGGGTTAGCATGACTTGTTTAAAAAGTGGCCGCTCCTAAAGAGATGCATAGGAAGCGAATAAAGTTAGAAGTCACAATGAGATTAAAACACTGATTTAACAAACATCAATAACCACTTACTTTAGGGTCAGCTTGCCAGCATTTCTGCATTAGTTCTGCAAAACTTGCAGGACAACTAGTGGGGATAGTCAGCCTCTAGGAAATCAAAAAAGGCAAATGTTATGCAAGTAAATTTTTTAATTCTGTAGAAAAAAAAAAATTGTTTTGCTTTTGTGGGAAGATCATTCTGTGCATTGCAATCACATGCAGTGCTGCTGCAATGAAGATCTGAATGAGTGCAGGCAAAGCTGTAGTGCAGGCAGAAATGGAAACAGCTCTCTCCAGGGATTAATCCTAAAATATGAACAAGCGGAGAATGCATGCAGAGGGTTCAGTGGAGAAGCATAGTGCTGGTGAAGACTGTGAAACACAAAAAAGAGACACAGAGAGGGAGGCAGTTATTTAGGGAGAGTATTTGGAGATTAGCCAAGAGCTACGCAGGAATCATGTTCTGGGAGTTGTTTGTTGGCCGCACAATGTGGCTGTGAGTGTTCAAGGTGATCCTCACAGACTGGATGGAAATCAGCCCAATAAAACGCTATAATCGGGACACCAATAACAGAGTCCATTCTTCCCTGTGTTTGTGTCTCGTAAAGGTTTTGGCTGGGGGCAATCTGGCCCAGCTCCATTGCTGTGTATCCAGGCCTTACAAGAGCAGAGAAGTGACATCAGGACTAAAAATACTCAGCAGTCCACCTCGCAGTGGAAATCATGAGAGCATTGCATTGTTCCTCCTGCTTTCAAAGTTTAGCGGGTGCAGATGCTACACATTTGAAGATACATTTTTGTGTATCTTCTTGTTTAGTTTAATGTACCTCTTGCTTTTCAACTACTAGCCACGCAACCTGCAGCCCTTCAAAGCCTTTGAATGGAATCTCTCGAGTCAGCATCTCCCATAAAACCTAGGGGAAACATAGATCAATTAAGACAAAAAGAGCCTTGAAAAAGTTCATACTCCATGAACCTTTCCATTTTGTTTTGTTATAACCAGAAACTATATGTGAAAGAACAACATGACGTGACCAACAATTATAAAGTGAAAGCAAAATTATACATTACTTTGAAAAGTGAAAATAGATCACTGAAAAGTGTGCAAACGTACATTTGTGTTACATTTTGCTATTTGTATGACCCCATCTGTCAATACATTGTGGAACCCTCTGTGCCCCAGTTCTAGAAGTTTTCTGGGTATGCCTAACAACTTTGTACATCTAGATGTAAGTTTTTTATTGTCCTTATGCAAAGCTCCTTTATTGCCCAGTATGAGGGTTCCATCAAATAAGAAACTGTACTTCTTGTTTCATGCAATGTTTTTAGGGTCTTTGTTCCATTTAAACCTCATATTGAATGGCATTCATTCATCATTCTATAATGCCCCAATAGAACTGTGGGTGTCATGAAAGACACTACATAAATAACCTCATCATCAAGTACTTTTGAAGAAGAGGCAGTGTGTTGGGCCATTTATGCTTCACGTCCACATTATCACTTAAATTCGCTTTTTCAACAAGTGTTTTTCAGATAAATCGAATTATTTGCTCCTTGTCCCATTTGGAAGAATTCTTGACAGCTTTGTCCATCCATAACTTTGTTGCAAGTTATCCAACAGTTATTTAATGAGCTATTTTGCAAAGTAATAAACATAGACGCGAACATTGGCATAAATAATAATAAAGTCAGGTATATTTTCCCTTTCACTTAACAAATGCGTGTCAATTTGTGTTGGTCATGAATACCTTATCAACATTGTCATTAAAATAAAGCCTGTGGTGCTGTGTAGATGAATAATTGATGAAGAGTGTGATGTACATACGACTCCATAGGAATAAGTGTCGCAGGTCTCAGATACTGGTAGACTCTGGATGACCTCTGGGGCCATCCATGGAAACGTTCCCACTACAGTCATGTGAGTCGTGTGGGACAGAAACTTGGATGCTCCAAAGTCACAAATCTTTTGGACCAGAAGGAAAGAACAGTGTGAAGGAGGTCTATTTAAAATAACTTATTTGACACCATCAAACAAACCTTGAGAACTCTATCTGCTGATATGACCACTGGAAAAGATTTTTAAGATAAAATGTAAAAAAGGTTTAAAGTAAATAATGACTTTGTTAGCCATACCATTTCGTGACTTTAGGTCTCTATGGATTACTTTGACCGGAGCTTCTGCATGAAGGTAATGCATTCCTGTTAGAATAAAATAAGAGCATACAGTTTAATTATCAATCCCCTTATGTTAAAGATAACAGATTATATTTGCATTACCTTTTGCTATTTGTATGGCCCAGGCCATGATCTGCTCCATGTCCATCTGCTCACTCTGCTCACTGGACAGGTACTCATATAACGACCCACCACTTGCATATTCTAGGAAATAATGCAGCCGTTCCGTAAGACAGTCTTTTACAATTCTCTAACTGCCAAGTTACTAATTCCTCTTCCATATCAGTAAATTGTCCTGATGGAAGACGGATGAAATTCAAGCCCTTATGATTCAAATGTAAATGAATGCTGACAACTATAAGTTTAATGACAACTACATTCAAGCGTTCAATGTCCTGCCAATAAACACAACTGGGCCATTCAAGCAGATACAGTGACGCTTGAAAACATACACCCCTCTCACCATCATGTGTTTATAAGTCTCATGACATCACAAGAACTAAATGCTCCACAGTAAAACCATATCATGCTCAAAGAAGACATGCTGTGGTTTTTTAATTACTCTTACATTGTAGTGCCTTGAAAACGTTTTCATACACCTTGACCATTTCGCATTTTGTCTCTTTATGATCACAAACAAATTGTTTATTTCATTAGAGTGGCAGATAACTGGGAAGTAAATGTAAAATGATACTGGATTTCTCTCTTCTGTCAACAAGTTAGTCAACATCATTCTCTCTAACCAGTTGCCATTAGAAGTTGATGAGGATCTATGAAGTAAATAGAGCCTACCAGAATGAAATCTAATCTCTGTAAAAACCCAAAGTGTGGTTGGAAACTAAAGCTGCTCACCACTCCGATCACACTATCCACACTGTCAAAGCGGGTGGTGGCTGCTTGTTTCAGCGGAGACAGAGAAGGGATGGAATGGTGGATGGAGCAACAGACAGGACAATCTTGAAAGAATCAAGGATTGAAGGAAAGATTCATCAACAGCTGTTTTTAGATATTGTTACAGATTCTGAAATTGGATTTGCCTTTACCTTGGTTGACCCATTTTAATTCATGGTTTTATTAATCCATGTCTTAATCCATTCCATTGTATGACAATCTAAAGAGAAAGAGAGGGGTACTCACATAAGCAGAAGGCCAACAAAATAGGGTTCCATAATGTAGCAGGGGCTACAATGACTTCTACTGCAGGTCATAAGGGAGCCACCCCTTGTGTAATGTGATCAATATTTTCCCCATGTACTGACACCCCCAGCTGAGTTTTGGATGTCTGCAGCTCCGCAAATTACCATGGGCCTCTTGACTACATCTCTGACCAGTGTTGTCCTTGTTTGGTCAGTTTAGATGGATGGCCGTGTCTTGGGAGGTTTGCAGTTGTGCTCTTCCCATTCCCAGATAATGGATCAAATAGTGCTTTGTCCTGAGCTTGAAAAATATTTGTATAACCTAACAATGCTTTCAGAACTAAACATGGGGAGGCGGCTTTTCAGATTCATGCTGCTAAAATCTGGAACAGTCTTCCTGAGGATGTGAGACAGGCCTCCTCTCTGACAATGTTTTAAACAAGGTTGAAAACAGTTCTGTTTAGCTGTGCAAACAACTGAGGGATTTTATATTTTTATCTTTCTTTTTAATGTTCTGTGATTATTTATGATTTTAATGCTTTCTTGTTTTGTTCAGCACTTTGAGTTGCCTTGTGTATGAATTGTGCTATACAAATAAACTTGACTTGCCTACAATTCCAAAGATTGATGATAGATTCTGGCACTTAAAATGAAAAGAGAAATTTTGCAAGCCATATTTGTCAATAAAAATAATGTAATGTTCACTTTTTACCACTTTGTGTTGTTATAATATTATAAATTTAACATCTATATGTTTAAAAGTCCTTGGCCTATGACAATGTTTCCAAGGCACAATTATATTCAGACTTTTTGTTTCAACCTTAAAGATTAAGGTTAATATACTAGATCTAACAGATGTGCTTCTCACAAAGACATGAGCAGTGGCTCTAACCTGTGACAATGCCATAGTTGGGCGACTCCAGCACGGCTCCATGAAACTGAATGATGTTCTTGTGACTCAGGACACTGAGTATTTCAGCCTGTACAGTGACAAACACATAGCATACCCATTATCCAAACAAATATATGGAATAAACGTTGAATACTTGTTTGTTCTATGTAAGTGTTTTTTTTATAAATAATTGTATTTTGTTCATAATATCGGGAAGACAACCGGGGGCATCTCCACCCTGTGCTAAACTAATCTGACATATAGGTCAAAACCTCTGCATGTGAAATATGTGGCTGTTGCTAAGCAGCCATAATTTGTTTGGCATCAGGCTCCGCGGCCATCATCGTGCATTATGCTTTACAGTGCACGTGCAGTGTGTCTACAAGCACCAAACAACCTCTGGCAAACAAAAGTTTACAATACATGCAAGAATTATAATGCACACAACTTGGGCACATTTTCAAATAGGGCAATTGTTTTATGCGCATACATTTACAGTTGTTGTTGTTGTTGTTAATTCTTTCCTATTTCTTTTCCTTTGATTTACTCCTTCAAGTGACTCAATTTATTTACTCAATTTAAGAATTGCAGCCTAGTCTATGTGGAATCTCCCAGTCTATCTGCACCTGAATGATAGTAGCTTTCCTTTATGCACCAGAGGGATCATTCATAAATGGCTCCATCTACAAGGAGGTATGTTCAAGGTAAATACATGCTCACAGAAACACCTTCACATTACTGAAACAACCAGCATTATATTACAGAACATACCTCTTTGTCAATCTTTAGGAGCTTCTTTACTGCCACCTCCTTGTTCTGGGAAATCCAAAGAGCTCTGTAGACGCTTCCAAAGCTGCCGCCTCCACAGTTCTCATAGAAAACCAAGTCCTCATGTTTTATCTGCACAAACGACGATCCAGGGGACGACATGGCATACTGGCTCAGAACTCACTGACACACTCAGGCACACATACACACTCTAAACTTATACCCCCGAGAAATGTTGACAATCACAGCTCGGACAAGAAGAAAGTAGAAATTTAGAGCCCGTAAGTTTTCCTCTTAAGGATTAGACCTGGATGTTTGTCAGTCAGCAGTGTGCCAGGGAGGACTCTCTGGAAAGTACTGGAAGGATAGAGAGAGAACGTTTATGACTGTCCAACCTCCTACTGGACTTGGAGGTACCACATTGCCTGATAGTGGTGGTCCAGTGATACTACAAGAACGGTTTTTCCAAGAGGGAGGCAGGATGTGATGAGGTGAAGTGATTTGTGTTGTGAGCATGCTGTCTCCTTGCTGCAGACGCTCTGTTCAAATATGGTCACTGGCATGCGGGGCATTCCTTCTTCCCGGCTAACTGTGTCTATATAAAGATCTCTCGCACACACACACACCAAAGCTCTCCAGGCAGCTCCACGAGCCTATACAACGTGTCGACCGTTGTAAATCACTTGGCAATGATGGTGACTGCAGTGGAAGCCTAAATCTAACCTCTATCACTAGTGGCTGGGCTAAAAACACTTGAGAGGCTCTGTTACTCAACCTAACAAAAAGGACAGTGACATCATCAAGGGCCATAGCTGTGCTTACATCAGCTGCAGGGATATAGAGAACACCTCACTTGTTATAGTAAGTGTAAAACTAGACTTGTGTACACGCCACTACAAGGCAACAGGAGCCACCATCAATCATCGCTCATTTGTGTGTTGGCGAAACAAACATTGTCCCGGTGATTTTGGTATTATTAGAAGACTTTGATGGACGTGTGGCTTCAGACTGGTGAGGCAAAATGAGTAAGAGATGGTTTCTCTCTGATGTGCAAAAGGTTTCGGCAGTCAACTAAACCATCAACACAAGCACAACAAGTGGAAAGTACAGGGTTAGGTCTCTGTAGATGTCACGGTGACCATTGTCCATCACTGACTTTCTGTTTAATTATAATTTAGTAGGCAGATAGTATTAGCGTCTGTTGCCCTGAGTTTACGATTAGAATTGAGGAAAACATTCACATAAACTTTCTTATCATCCTTTGCTTATTCATTTATGTTTTTATCCTAAACCAAATCTTTGTGGCAATTAAACATAGCTACACTATTGAATTATTTTGTATTTTATTTACAAGGCAGACTACACAAACAGTACAGTCAAAACCACTAAAAAAAGTGGTTCGCAACACACACCGGTAATCACAACTAAAGTCTCTGAGGAAAAATAATGGACACTCATAATCTACTCACGTAAGTACATTGAAATACTGACTTCCCTCAATGCAAGTCTGATCTGCATCCACTTGCATTGAGTTGACGACAATATAAAGGCAAAACTTAGGTGGAAAATAACACCTCTAGGGCTTCGAACCACTAATACTCTCGTACTGGGGAGTGTCTAACTAATCGTAAGACACATTTACTCAATGATAGGACATCAAATCCTACTTTATCTATAGTTATATATAGATTAAGATGAAAATATGTACTTTAATACTGAATAGTGGAAGGGGGTAATGTTTTGAGTATGTCAGTGACTTTTAAGAAAGGCCTTTAGTGTAAACAGGCTTCACAGGCAGATACATTAAACCTTTTTTTTTCAGAGTTGCACAACATGGACAGGACACTTAGATAGAAATACAATGTATAGAACAAACAACCTGTCCGTCATGCAACATATTTCAACCAAGTTCTATCCATTACAGATCTATCTTAGCTCCAAAACAGTGACAAGTCGCACAGTCTAACAACAGAGTAGCAGCTTTTCTGACCGTCCAGGAGGAAGAGGTTTTCATGGCACATCACTGTATGAGTCCAATACGGAGAGATGCTACAGAGCGTCTGATTGTGTTCGTTAAATGTAGTTTGGATACAGGGATGATAGTGGACGACTCTCTGGTATACGGTGGTCTCACGTCCGTCTTGGCTCCAGCCTGTAGGAGAGCTGCGTCAGTGCCCTCTGGTTGTCGACCACACACAGTTTCCTGACGTAGCCCCGCACCTCGGCCTGGTTCTTGTTGGGCTGGCAGATGTCAGGGTTGAACGGTTGGCTTCTACAGTGCCGTACTTGTCGAATTGTGTTGGCAATAATGCGCTGGAGGGGATAAAGGAATTGTGGTATTAGTTTTAGCCTGCTATGATGACAACTCTAAACTGGACGGCATATTTCCTCTGCTATGTAAGTAACTACTGTACTTGACAAGTCTGTACTGTATCAGATGTTTGTCCTGGTACCAGTGTTATGCTGTGGACTTTTTGATTACTTTTCCTGGTATAATTTTGATATATTGTTTCTTCAGTGTTGCTCATGTCTGTTCTGTTTATTCCCGTCCCGCCACTTCTCTTGTGTGTCCCTGTGTGTATTTAAACCCTGTGCTCCTCTCCCCTTGTTGTTGATCCATTGTGTTTTTGTCCCTGTTTCGTCCTGGTTTGAGTTTTAAGTTCTGTAACGTGAATTTTGTTTTTGTTTATTAAATCTAATATTTTGGCAGTCCTGTTTTTTGGGTCCTTCCTCCTTGTGACAGAAGTGAGACGCCCAACACTATCCATGCACTCCCTCATTACATTCAGACCTATCATACATGTTTTTTTGTGGTAGGGGAAACCAGAGCACCCGGAGGAAAAGGGAGCATACACAGCGAGAGCAAGCAAAACATGCAAAATCTACACAGCAAGGCCAGTATGGATCTGCTAACCACTGCATGAGCGTTACCTTACTTTTAAACCCAAATTAAATCAAACATGTTTGATTAGCCATGCTTCTAAGAGATTCACTTTGTTGTGATTTGCCAGGCTTTTAAGTTCAGCTTAAATGCGACATGTTCATTGTCATATTTTCTGCATATATTTTACAACAGTATAAAAGTTATTCAAAGGCAATAGTTAAAACGTCTCAAATAAATGTAATGCCAAGTTAACAAAGGTCGCTCTCACCATTTTTTCAAAGTTGACCAGATTATCAACATATGTTCTGTTTCCTTCATGTGTAAAAGTCATATCTGTAATTGAACAAAAACATACATTATGGTAAATATAATATGAGCTACTTCATGTTCCAAGGAGCGTTACCTTTGAGAAGGAGGGGCATAAAGGGGATGATTGGTGCCTCCAGTTTAGTGACAGTGAGTCGATACGACCGGTGGTTTCTCGAGGGATCCTGAAGTGACACATAGTTATTCATATATGACACCGATGTGAACTCCAAACTGAAAACTCACCATCATGCTTTCAAACTCAGCATAGAACTTCTTAAACTTGGTTGGAAGTTTCTATCAGTAAGAAAAAGACAAAACAGATGCATCTTTAATTTACGTAACACTCTTTTTCGTGCACAAATAATATTACTGCATTTATTGCTGACTTAAGCTTTACCTCCCATGTTTGACTAAGCCTGCTGACGGCTGGGTTGCTCATCCCCATAATAATGGCGAAGAAAGAATTGAGGTTCTTGAATTCCCGACAGCTATAGATGAAAAATGATAGTTAGGATAGAAATTCAACATTTTTCGGAAATGTATCAACACTTATGAACATTGGTCAACTCCCGCTATGGACCAATACCTATTTGTTTTCTAATCTTTGTTTAGGGGCGACAACGGCTCAGTTGGTAGAGCATTGGCCTTTGAGCCTGAAGGTCGTGGGTTCGAGCCCACCACAAGACTTTCACCATCGACTCACACTGATGTATGCTGTTGTTGGGTTCTTGGCAAGACACTTCACCTCTGGGAACACCAGATGCCACAGTGGAGTGGCTGCGGCTGTAAAGTGCCAAACTGTTGTTGTGTCCTTAGGCAGCTGTGGCTACAGTAGTAGTTTATCACCACTGTGTGTTGAGTGAATGAATAATGACATGTCAAGCGTCTTTGAGTGTCCAAAAACGCGCTATACGAAACCATTTTGCTTTTTGTGTGTGTCTTAACTGTTGATTCTGTGATCTGTGTTGCCATTTTTAACGGTTTTGTTAAGTCCACTGAGATAACTACTGTTGTGAGTTAAGGCGATATAAGAATAAATTGAGTTGAATTGAACTGGATAGTCTTTTGTCTTGACAGATCAGCACCATGCCCTCTCACGACAGAATGTTTGAACTCACTGCGCTGCGATCTTGATGAACTTCTTGAGCAGCTGCACCCTCTTGCTGAGCTGTCCGCACAGACACACCTCGGTGACCACCCACAGCTGCACCTGGTTGAAGCGCCTCAGGAACAAGTCCAAGTTGGCGGTGGTCCTCCTGACGCTGGCCCGGCCAAACGTGTGATAGAGGAGCTCGTGCTGAAACGCAGAAGTGACATGTAAGTAAAAGCAGCAGAGCCTGTGTGCTGTTGTCATGTGTGGTTAGAGCCAGTGTGTCACCTCGTGTACGCAGCTGAACAGCTCCGAGTCGAACAGGGTCATCTGATAGGCCAGGTCCTTGGAGCTCATCAGCTCAAAGGTGGACATGGAGCCTGCAGTGGGGCCCTCCTGGTCTGGAAGAGGCGCCTGTACACAGAGACGGTTTATCTTATTTATTGTAATCGACATGACAGTTATATATTGGACATGCACAACTCTCCCACTCTCTCGCATACACACACATACACACACACACACACACTGCACTACATTTCTTCTCAGAAATGAGCTCTGGAGTCCTGACTAAGCACCTTTTGACCACTTTTACTCTCTTTTTACCTTAAGCTATTCATTACTTATCTGTTGTGTTTTTATTGTTATTTGCGTAATTTGATTTTTATGAGTATTTTTGTGTAGATGCCAAGTCTTGCTCTTTTTAACTGCAAAGAGAATCTACACATGGGTACAAAGGAAGTCAACTTGAAAACACACACCAAACATTTCCATTTGTTTTGTTTTTGATGTGTGTATGGTCCTATCTTGTCCGCACTGTTGTACATGCATTGTTTACTGTATTATCTTGTCTTGTAAATGTATTACACTGTTGATTTGGCTAATGCATGCATCGGTTGTATGTTGCAAGAAACAAATCAAAACTAAACAGAACTAGATGCATTTAATTGTGTAATTTTCAACACAGGTCCATAGGAGACCACTAATGGGCTAAGATGGTTGGAACTTTTGAAACAATTTAAATAATAATGGTTCTCTGGTGGAGACTGATCTTGCTAACAATACAGTATAAAACATAATATAATGTATATTAGTAGGATATGGCTATAAAATTGTCAGGCAACTCAGCTCACAGATAGAATGCATTATTTTAATATACCTTAAAGATATGTATTGGTTATTTACTACTAAGGATAATTTGTAAACATAACATTAATTGAAACAGCAGATTATAATTATTTACTAAAGAGTTGAGTTGTTCTCGTGGACTGGCGAACAGTCGTCCATTGATGCTCAGAGTGGAGAATACGGACACGTCGTTTGGCTTGAGCATTTGTTTTTCTGTAACACAAACATAGTGTATTTAATGGCACTATAAGAACAACATCCAAATATGAATATTGTCAATCTACATATGAAAAGATATATTTAGAGTAATAATTAGTTATCTCACCCCCTGCAGAGTTCAGATGGACCAGGAGGAGCTCTTCTGTTGTACCAATTTTTTCTGCCAGCGCACTGACCACTTCTCTCCCAGTGGCCGCCACAGTGACTCGAATAGTTGTGTATGTCTGATCACTGCAATACACCTTTAACAGGACTAAGGAAGGTATGAAATGTGATCAAATCAAGAATAAGAACCTATGTTTAATGTTGAATAATGAAGACTTACTGTCATCTTGATTCCTTATGGGTTGTTTCTTTTGTAATCGTTCTTCCCCATTACTGAACTGTCGTATTAGTGTTTTCTGAGAGAGGTAAAGGCATGTATTTAAGTCTGTATATAACATTATGTAACAACTGTAGATGTAAAAAGCTTGATACAAAAACCTGATGTGACTTTTACAAACACAGACAAAAACAACCTATCTATAAATGGTAGCCTTTTCAACCAATCCTACTAATGTGTTTTTAGGGAGTAGTATAAAAAAAACCCAATAATGACTAAAATATCGAACCAAAAACAACGAATTAGCTTTGTACATTTGACCCATTTTTGGGTTTTTTAAGTGTGTGTAGCCATCTGTAATCAATTTATACTATATACAGTCTAACTCTGCGTACCTTTTTGGCAGCCTTTGCTTCCTCTGAGCTGTAAAACAAAAATAGTTGTAAAGTTGTAATTGCAAAAATAGCTCGACTGTAATAGAGTTTAATAGTCTCTAAAAGAAAACATACTGAATCTTCACCACTTTCTCAAGGTCGGCAGCCAGGTCTTTCAGAGCTCTGAGCACTCGCGAATCGTTTGACACGCTCCCAAACAGTTCCTGAAAGAATTCCATGAGGCCAAATAGCAACTCGTCAAATGAAAATTATGAATGCCTGATTTTCATGTGTTTACCTCGAGAAAGGACACGGCAGCGGGCTCCTCCTCCAGCAGGTAGGAGTGCACAGTGGCCCAGCGCAGGGTCAGGATAAGGACTCTTCTCTTAGCATTCACCGCAAACTCCAGCCGCTCCTGCTCCGAGCCGGGAGGAGAGGCTGCATGGTAGGTGCACATCACGTTAAAGAAAACAAACACGGTATGTATGACATTTTCACAGTTTAAAGGGAAAAAATGAACCCCAATAGAAACACCTTTATGACCGCTAATTTGATCCATATATGTTGGTCCTGTGGCGAAAAGTAGAAAATGTGTCTGTATTTAATAATAATAATGCATTTGTTATATATAGTACTTTTTACACTCACTGACGCTTCACATGTCATTATTAATTCATTCCATACAGAGTGGTGATAAACAGCTACTGTAGCCACAGCTGCCCTCGGGCACACTGGCAGCAATAAGGCAACCACTATATGCTGTTGGCCCCTCCGATCCCAACCAACCATTCACACACACTCCAGACTCATTCTCATTCTAGGCAATGTGTTTTGCCAAAGAACACAATGGCAGTTTGGCACTTTACAGCCACTGGCGCCCCACCTGGTGTTGTCAGAGGTTAAGTGTCTTGCCCACGGCAGCCGACATCAGTTGGAGTCAGTGGAGAAAGTCTTGTGTTGGGCTCGAACCCACGACCTTTAGGCACAAAGGCCAATGCTCTACCAACTGAGCCAATGTCGCCCCAATTTGAACAATTTGCAAATCTTGCCATGAAACAAGATTTGCCAAAGCGACCAGCAAAATTATCTTGTTTTAAAAAGATACAAGAAATGTCTAACTTGGAATGAGTAAAACAAGCAACGGTTCTTGAAAAATGACTAAATGGCACAAGTTTATAAAAAATAGAAAACATATCATTGCAGTATCAAATAATTGTTGTATTTAGTTAAATTCCTGTAACTCGTTGTGAATAAACATTAATATTGTTTAAGCATGACTTGTAAAGAACAAAATTACTTTGAGAGCATCAGCAGACACTCAGATTGAAAAGCGCTGGTTATTTTGGTAGAGCCAGAGACAGACAGTATTTCATTAGTGTTCAATGACCAACTGCTGCTTCAGCTCTTGCTCAAACATGAGGAGTTCTCTCACCAATGCTTTGGAATGTAGCAAACAACATGCATTTGTGCTATAACACAAGTACATTTTCTTGTGTCAAAAAACAAGTGAAATACATTCTCCCAGAAGACACAGAAGGATATTGTGCCATGAGTAGAGGGCAGAGCTGACTGTTGGGCATAAACACACAGTGCATGAGGACAAAGTCGTCCAGAGCCGGGTCTAGCAGCAGGACAGAGAAGAAAGAAGAAATATGTCATAAAAACCAACAACAAAGTCACAAAAGGACAATGCCATGACAAGTGAAAATGTTATGCCAACCTGGTTCACTGTGATGTATGTCCATTCTCATGGTCTCCAGGAAGTGCTCAAGAATCTTCTCTGGGGTTCCTGATATCACAGTGTACCTGTACAGGGAAATAAATATTTAATATCTGTGCCATTTATTGGGTATGTTTTTTTGGAACCCATGTTGTCAGAGCTTAATTGCTAGTTTAAAACACAAGGGAAATAATAACCTGTGCACTTACTTGATACTTCCCAGAGTTGAGGCACGAGGGCTCTTTTCCAGCACCAGCACTGCTTGTTCATGTTCTTTTAAACGCACAGTATTTGCTTCAACATCCTAAAAAATATAACAAATAGTGTTTTTCTTTACACGGTCACAGAGTGTAATGCATTGCTTCAGCCAGTAGAGGGAGACAAACGTGTATGTTTTTGCAATAAAGCTGACCAATGTAATTTCAGGATAGTGATTATTCATTCATTTGTAAGTAAATGGCATATGAAGGAATGTACCCTGAGTATTCTGTTGAAGTCCTCCTTATCCACTCGTAAGAAGTGGCAGTTGTCCTCTCTGAGCACTATAGAGGCAGCGCGGGGCGAGTCTGTCACCAGGGCCAGCTTCCCAAAGTCATCTCCTTCATGCAGTGTGCACACCACACCCTACAAATGAGAAAATACATTCAAGTACTACTAAGACTACAAATGGTGTATTCTGATGGCATACCACATCTGCCAGTGTTTGCTGCTGTGTGGTGTGAATATGCGTCTGTATGCCATCCCTTAATCTCATTACTCATTGTGTTGAGTCATGGTGCTCTAAGCAGTTGCCAAAATCTACTGCTCGCGTTTCAAGCCTCTGAAGGAGTTGTGTCACTAAGGTCAGAGCAATACAGGAGCACTTTAATCTTGATCATTCTTACTTTGCCGTAGATGACCACGTTAACCGAGCCCTTCTGGATGATGTACCAGGATGTGCCCTCTTCTCCCTGGTTAAACACTTAGGGGAAAAAAACACGAATTCTTATTTAAAATAATGATGAATAAATTTTAATTAGACCGAATTGAGGTATTGGTATACATACACACGGTTCCTGCTTTTGCATGGGACTCAAAAATGACAACACTTGCCAGTTCCCTCTTCACCTGTTAACAAATATTTGGCTTATGATTAAGAAGAGACATAAGGCAACTGTAAACAACAAGCACTGTCTTTTATGACTCCTCAGTGGAGCACTTGCTCAGCTTAATATCATCATAACTCTTCATATTCATTTTACAGTGGCACAAACAAGCTTATAAAGGTGTTGTTTTTACATCTTTGGCATGGACAAAGGGGATCATTTATATATTCACTTATAAACACAATACATTGTGTTGCACATTTTGAGAGATCCTGCTTTCTTCAATATGACAAAGCGTTGCCAGATTATGGAAGTTGTTGATTTTAGCTTTTATTCATATGAAATATTCTGGCCATAGATCTACAGTAATAATAATAATAATAATAATAATAATGCATCGGTTTTATATAGCGCTTTTTTTGACACTCAAAGACGCTTCACATGTCATGATTCTTTCACTCCATACACGGTGGTGATAAACTACTACTCTAGCCACAGCTGCCCTGAGGCACACTGACAGAAGCGAGGCAACCAGTATGTGCCATCGGCCCCTCCGACCACCACCAACAATTTTCAGTAAACACAATCCAAATGTATGCTGTTCTATGCTCCAAATGAATCTTAAAATGATTTTTATTTCACATGTAGTGTCTTATGACCTGTGATTGTATGCAATTGTTGTATTATATAATGGTTTTCTTTTCTTTAGGCAGGTGCAGGTGCTGACTCACAGTGTTGGAGAGATGGGTTAAGGCCTTGATGTGCAGCAGTTCATCATAGATGATCTCAAGGTCATCCCCTGTTCTCTGCCCGGGCCTGCAGACATGTCACACTCACCGGTCACAACCCTAAACCTCGGCTCTTTTAAACCAGTGATGATTATTTATACTATCTTCAGGTTTGCATTCTACATGTTCATGCTCATGTACAATTTTTAGTGATTTCTGTTCACATGGGAAAGCTGTCCTATTATAGTCATGGTAGAAAAACAAACAGTCATACTTACGACTTTCGTAATATCATGCGCAGAAGAGCATCAGGACCAATCTGAGCGAGGAAGAGGATGGTCTCTGGCAGCTCTTCTTCACTCTCTCTCTTCTCCTCTTCGCTGGGCAATGGCGTCTCCTCATCCTCGTCGTCAAGGAAACGATAAAACAAGTATTTGTCCTGGAAGCCCAGTTCTTGGTCCACTGAGGAGCACACATCAGAAATGTAAACAGGGATAGAATATGTACTTAAGATAAAATAAACTGAAAGTTGTACATAGTCTACTCTTCCATACTGAAATATGGACTAAGAAATAAAATGTCATGTTTATCAAAATTATAGTCATATTTAATCTAACATTCACAATATGCTGATTGTCACACTTCCTTCTGTGACCTGGCCCCCACGCTCTCCTCCCCCTCCATCCCCTCTGTGTGAAGGCAGCGGTGGGGCCTGCTGACCGGGAGGAGGCAGACTACAAGGACACAGCTTCACAGCCCGTTGGTCCCAGATTGATTTCTCTGCTACTTGTTCCAAGGTTCCAGTCTGCTCCTCTAGTCTGCCACGTTGATCTTATCTTCAGACCAACCAACCTTTCCTCCTACTCAAGAAATACATTTGCTCATTTGTCCATCAGTCCTGAGTCACTTTTTGGGTCCCTTTTTGTGCCGTGACACTAATATCACAGAAGAATGAGTGGACAACACAAGTGCTGTTTGCATATTGTTTGCTTGATTCATGAGAAGCTATTAACATTAAGATTAAGCAATGCCACAGTGGGGAAATTTCAGCGTTGCATCATAGGTTACAGAACAGGAACCCGGGAGAAGGAAAGAGGAGCAAACATAAAATAAGTATAATATATGTTATTAGCATTATACTTAAAAACCTATATAGTATAATACACAAGCATCTGTAGCCCCATTTATTCAAAGCTGTGGGTATCGAAGTAACCAAAGAGCCAATCAGGAGCTGCGCCAGTCACTACCTATGGACTAACAGAAGACATCTTACTGGTCGGTCGTTAGGCCTCATATCTGGATTTACAAAGACAACAGATCACAGACTTTTGAGAGTGACACAAAGGTTACAAACGAGCATGACAAGTTTACTTTTCAATGTAAGTCATTAGAAAACCAAAGTGAGTTGGAGCAGAAATTCACTCATGAGTAATTCCTTCATCGAGCTGTGGGGGGTTAGCATCGTCCATCTAAATATAGTCTATGGCTAGGTTGAAGCAATAGTAAACATCTTTAAAATCACCATGGTTCAGCACTCCTTCCTCCAGCAAAGACTGCCACATTCCAACAGCATGGGACCGGGTCAGAACACAAGCACTCTGCATCACCAGCCAATCCACCAGCTCTGTGCCCACACAGCATTGTCTGTAATAAACATGAATACTGAATGTAAGCATTTAAAGATTTTGAGACACATGTGTTTGAAATGTGTAAATAAAACATATGCCTGTAAGTCTTCAAGTGGTACTTCCTGTCCCGGATCATGTGTGGAGCTCTGGAAAGAATAGCATTTCGTAGAACCTTTCCAGCTCGTTGTAGCTTTTCAGAGGGAATCTATAAAAACAATCAACTAGATCTGTTACAAACCATGAATAATATGCCCCCTTAATGCTTATTTACATGGTAGCAGTAAAAAGGCTCTGCACACAAGCTTATGTTTATATTCCTAAATGTAGCAACAAACACTCCATACAAACGTCTATATCCCTTACAGCTCACACCTGTTCGGCAAAAGGACAGTGTGCTAAAAAACAACAGAAGAAAGGCAGGCTAATTGGCCAGCTGGGATCTTTCTTCCTGTTGAATATATAATGGTACATTAGCATAACTACAGAGGATCACATCTGTGAGTCACAATATAGAAATCACACACACACACACACACACACACACACACACACACACACACACACACACCTGAGATGTGTCCTGGTGTTTTACTTCATTCACAAAAAGTCTACCCAGCTTTACTACATAATTTATGAAAGCTAATACTAGATTAAATAGATAGATGTAGTTCAGTATGAGCAGAAAAACCATTCACCTTGTGGCCTTTGTTGGCAGTGTCAGAGTTCATGTTGTCTTTGTCAGTGAGTCCTGGAAAACAAAATAGTGTAAATCTAGGGCTATTTTGTAGGGTTTTGGGGAAAACAGAGGAAACTGAAGCAGACGTGGGGAGAATATGCAAACTCCACTCAGACAGTCCCTGTACCAACTGGGATTTAAACACAGAACCTTTTTACTGAAAAGAAAAATGTATGAACAGGAAGGATAATAATATAATACATACGGTAAAAATCAAATAATGACAGAAAGTCAGCACAAATACTAAGTAATAGTCACATCTGTAATAGTCCCAGCTTATCATGCATTATAGTTTTGCTTATTTTAGGATCATAGGCATTCAATGTGTTACTAAATGTAATCCAAATATTAAACAAGTGTTATATTGATCAGTAGGCAGGGATAAAAGTGTAATAATAATAATAATAATAATAAGACGAAGTATAGCATCAGTGGATATCTGAAGGAAAGACTAATTGCAGTATTGCAGTACTTCTCAGTGGGCGGCACGGTGGCTGAGTGGATAGCACTCTCGCCTCTCAGCAAGAAGGTCCTGGGTTCAAATCCCGGTTGGACCAGGGCCTTTCTGAGTGGAGTTTGCATGTTCTCCCCGTGTCTGCGTAGGTTTCCTCCGGGTGCTCCGGTTTCCCCTACCACTAAAAATATGTACAATAGGTATGGCATGTGCCTCCTGTACTGGCACCCCCACTCCCAAAAAAAAAAAATAACAATTGTAAACCGCTTTGAGACTCCGATGTGCAGTGAAAAGGCGGTATATAAATAAAAGCTTACTAGCTTACTTACTTCTCAGTAGAGGTATGTGTGTCATTACTCACTGTCATTGTTGGATCCACTCTCCATCGCTCCATAAGGAGGGGCTAGAAGTCCTGCTAAACTCTGGCGATACTTCTACATGAAACAAGCAGACACCCAAAATTACAATCCATAATACTCTTATTCTCATACAGTGTGTAAAACATTCAACGAGCAGCTGTTCTGGGCATGCAGCGAGAGCACCCATCTCAATGTAATCATTTCCACGCATTAAAACATTATGTAACATACACCAAGAGACATTTAACACTGGGTTCATGAGGACAGATGGGCTGTGTGCAGATGCTTTAGTGAAACAGAATCAGTACTAAAACAAGTAAAGGTGTCAAGGCACACAGCAGTGACGACAAACCAAACAACTATATTTTCTATTGGGAGCTGAGGAGCTAAATGCACCAGGAAAACCAATAGTGTTGACATTTTATTGATCAACACTGGAAAACATCCCCAAAACAGATCCATAACTGTGCAACTGGTCAAAGGCAATTAGCCAGAACAACCTGCACCCCCATCAGAGTATTAGATAAAACCTAAATGTATAAGTTGTAAAAGAATCCAACTTCCATTCTATTTAAATATGTTATAATTTGCTATTTAAATCCCTGCCAATCCTAGAACAAGTTGTCAAATGTCACATGTTCAGTTCATCGCAGATACTGCATCTGCCAGTATGACAAAAGCTACAACTCATGCAGCCTTGTATATAAAAAATATTAAAAAAGCTATTATTTTCCAAAAGAGAGAAATATACTCAAACCACAAAACAGATGCAGAGATTCCAAACGAACACAATCTCTGTTGAATTATATTGGAACCACAAACGGAATCAAAATCCGGACTCACCTGAAGCAGCCCAATCACAGTCACAATCAAAGGCCCAGGAGAAGTGCCCTATACACTCCTCCACTCACTCACACTCCACCGGACAGCACCAAAGTCCAACTATTGCCATCGCTGCTCACTCTTCATCTGACCTCACTCTCAAAAGACCTCTCTCTCTCTCGCTGCAATGATGGAGAGCCAAGAAACCACACCGCTTTCCTTCACACAGGTTACCACGGAGATGAGAGGCTACTCCAGCGGAAAGTGAAGGTTCGAAAGAGCAGGACAAAGGGGGAGAGGAAGCAGGCTGGTAAAAGACACGAGTTCTAAGCCAAAGGGGAAGTGTGGAGAACAACATGGGGAGGATGTCATCAATAATGAGAGCTTTTATTTATTCAAAAAGCCAATTATTTAAAAAATGCAACTTTATTTTAATTCTGGAAATTGCTTGGTCGTGCAACATGCCAAGAAACTAATAGTCTATAAATAGACTTTCTCTCTATAATTAGAGAAAAAGAGAGAGGGAGGCAGACTGAGCACATCAGAGAACAACAATGATAAATTAGACGATTATTCAAAGACAATGCATACAGAGAATACTGCCAATTTCATGGAGGACCGGAAGTACAAAGCAATTATCCAACAAAATAACTAAAAAACACCATGAAGAAGATGACATAGTCTGGGATCACCACACTAAAGTCATAAAGCCTACATGTCTAACACATAGTGAGCGGAACATATTGAAAAGAGTGAGTAACCTTAATGACAAGCACAGCAGGCACCACACTGAGCCAAAACCCAATAATCATTGCTTTAAAACACTTTGTTACATGGGGTAAAGAACATTATCAGCATTGTTACAAGAATTAAGTTTCACACTCTATTTCAATACAAAGGAAAGGACCCAATATTGTATTATTTGACAAAACTGTATCACTTAACAAAAAAACTGTATTTTTTATGATACTTGAGCCCTATTGAAATTCTAAACTACAATACTATTTGCACAAGTGAAAAATTTAAGACCTAAGAATCAAAAGACTGAATTTGCACAACTCAATCAAAGCTGTTCATTGTAGTTGTGGAAGAGCGCCCTCTAGTGGTTATGCTCATGACAAAACATCTGTGGCGCAACAGTTATCAGGACAAATAATTAACTGAATGATTCCTACCTCCCAAAGGGTTTTAAACTCCCTCTGTTCAATGCGAAGCAGTTCACTGGTCTCTCTGCTGACAATAGTAGCATGACGTGGTGTGTTGTCCAAGATTGACTCTCCAAAGGCCGTCCCAATCCCCAATGTACAAATGGTGACTGCATCCTGCATGTACATATTATCATTAGTATTATTGTCATTATGTAACCACAGGAAACATAACATCCTTACTTAATAGCACTCAGATATTATTCTAGTGTATCTATATTCTAAATGAACGTGGACAGCTGCAGCCAGGAGACATATTAGCATGATGATTAATGGTAATAGATTCATACATAAGAAAACCGCTGCATGGCATCACTTGAACGATTATATCTTTTGATGCATGATATAGCAGAGCATGTGCAACTTCGGCCACACATGCTTACTTTGTGGTCAAAGTGACATTTCAAATACAGCTGCAGAAAGTAGGCCACCAAGTGTTCCTTAGGGCCACAACCATGAAAAGAATATTTCATAATAAAGAGGCTTTCATTGCTATCATTCACCACAAATCCTCTCTTTTCAGCTTGTATGAACACCCCAAGCCAATGAAGGAAACTGTGTCTCAAAAGACCTCCAACAGCTTTACTCAAGAAAAATCAAGCCAAGAAGACCAAACAACAATAATATCAATGAAGAAAACAAAAATTGCACTACTTCAGAAAATGAAAGAATCATGTTTCATTTTCAGAATCATGTAGGAACATTTATAGTAAGCGTTCCTTAAAAAGAGAGAGAAGAAGCCTGAGGGGAATCATTACTGTAGTGGCACATAATGGGGTTTGATCATGTTTAATTGTATAAATTGTATTGTGTATCATGTATATACGGACCTCATGATTCTCAATAACCTTTCATGAATACTTTATAGAAAACAATGGCACTACATACTAAATACATACCTGGTGGTTGGCAGTTTCTGACACTTTGACATCAAGCGAGCCTGAGAGAACAGCATACCAACTTGTACCAATGTCTCCTTGTCTAAATACTGACAAAAAGATAAACTCTGAACATGATGTAGAATAGTGTAATACAAAAGGCTGTTAGGGTGTGTAGATACATACATGTGATGCCTTTCTCCAGGCATTCATAGAAGGCACAGCTACAAATCTGCACGAGAAGTGGAGGCGGGAACCTCTGGAAGGCCTTGACCTCTCTCAGTCTGGTGAGAATAATGTCCACATCCTCGCCAGAGCGCTCTGATGGCCTGCACACATGCCATTACATGCTTAAAAGCAAGGCAACAATTATACTGTAAGCTTGCATTGAACAAAAGCTGCTTAGTTGTTGGCTGTTAGTGTTATTGTTTCAGTGCTGTCTGTTTTTGTGCTTCAAAGTCATGCCTTTGGCCTTTGTGACTGCAGCAGAGCTGCAGACGTTACTTTTCTCATTGCCGACCTCCTGCAGGGTGTAGTGTTCCAGCTCATTTGTACTGCTACTGTTTGTAATACACTTAAGCCACATGTGCACACTGCACACACATACGCACGTTCATAAATCCCATGAATAAGTACAACAAGAAAACCTAAGCATTGGATTGGTGACATGGTAAAAAAAAAAGGGGGTTAACGACTTGAAGGCCTATCTCATCTATGAATGACTTTAATATTATGGCTGTCTCTCTCTCTATTCCTCCAGCTTTGTGTCTTCTTCCTCCTAATTATATCTCTATCCATTTTCATACTCCACCTCCTAAGACGTTTTTCTCTACAGTTTGAGCAGAAAGATGAAAGAGAACACTTTTTCATGCCACCCTCTGCTTTACCCTCTGCTGTACTACAGTAGAGCTTGAAAGTTTACACTCCCATTTCTGGCCATATTTCAGAGATTATGATATATGATTTTTGCTCATTATTAGTGGTTGTGTGAAGCCATTTAATGTCACATAGTATATGTAAACTTTAAGCCTCAATTATACTAGCCTAATGTTTGGCTTATATAATGAAAATCAACCCAAACCCCATAAACAACTGTAAGGAAAAGGGTAAAGTACCTTGCACACTTGGGAAAGTTCTAATCCAACAAACATTGTGCAAATCCCCAACATCTGTCATAAAATATTGTGGTGATAGTGTGAGCTGGAGCCCTCCCTGTTTGGTGTCTGACTCATCCTTCTCTGGCCACCTACAGTTTGGCTTGTGGTGCATCATATCCCACAGAGGACTGGGTTAATACAGCAGACAGGTAACATCCCACTCACTAAAGCAGCAGATACAAACAGGTTAACCTTCTCTGTGTTTGTACCATATTCATACTTGCACTATAACCACAACAGCAATTGACCACCTGTAACCAAACCAGAACCAAAATAATCTATTCTACATTGAGACTCAAACACATCTCAAAAACTATGGAGCTATTATTGTTTCAATAATATTTGTGTGTGCGTAAAAAGATTTGTGCGTGCGTAGAAAGATTTGTGTGTGTGTAAAGAAAAAAAAAAGTACGTTTTACACTCAAGTTTTTTTTTACACACAAATCTTTTGACAAAGTCCTGCCTTCGCAGATTCGCAAGTGTAACTTGGACTGTGTGCGTGCGTAAACAGATTTGTGTGTGTGTAATTTGACATTTGTATCTGTAGCAGAACAATCTGTGTGTAAATAAACGCGTTGTACGAAGAGAAGAACGGAAAAAAAGCCTAAGTGCTACGCACAGGCTCTGTTTTACACACAAATCTCTTTTTGACACACCTCTGCCGCCAAGCGTGTGTCAAAAAGATTCGTAAGTGTAATGTGGTTGTTCTAGCAGTACACCAGCAGATGGTGCTGTTGTAGCTGGTTATTACCTACACGCAAGCAAACCAGCAGAGTTAGTAGCACTATAGTGAAGATAGAGAAAACCGAAGGATTTAAGAAGAAGAAAAGTTCAGGATGACAAGGAACACTAAAATTCCCACAAAATCCGACCTTTATGAAAGCTGTAGGTTAACTGTCAGCTGTTTTAGTTTACTTTGAGTTCTATGGGGAAAATGTCTGTGTAGCCCACGTGAATTTAGTCTGCAGTACGTGAGAATCCTTCAGCTCCAAGCTAGTAACACCCTATCCAGTTATTATAATAGATCCATGTATAATACAGTGGTGTGAATGACAAGATTTTGAAAATAGGAAAAAAATATCATAAACAGCTGCGGTAGTGTGTCTTGTCAAGGCAGTAGGTTTTGGTTTGCTCGCCTGTAGGTAATAACCAGCTACAACAGCACCATTATGGAGCTATTATTGTTTCAATAATATTTGTGTGTGCGTAAAAAGATTTGTGCGTGCGTAACCAGATTTGTGCGTGCGTAACCAGATTTGTGCGTGCGTAAAAGAAATATTTGTGCGTGTGTAAATAGATTTGTATGTACGTATCAAGATTTGTGTGTGCGTAAAAAGATTTGTGTGTGCGTAGAAAGATTTGTGTGTGTGTAAAGAAAAAAAAAAGTACGTTTTACACTCAAGTTTTTTTTTACACACGAATCTTTTGACGCAGTCCTGCCTTCGCAGATTCGCAAGTGTAACTTGGACTGTGTGCGTGCGTAAACAGATTTGTGTGTGTGTAATTTGACATTTGTATCTGTAGCAGAACAATCTCTGTGTAAATAACCACGTTGTACGAAGAGAAGAACGAAAAAAAGCCTAAGTGCTACGCACAGGCTCTGTTTTACACACAAATCTCTTTTTGACACACCTCTGCCGCCAAGCGTGTGTCAAAAAGATTTGTAAGTGTAATGTGGTTGTTCCAGCAGTACACCAGCAGATGGTGCTGTTGTAGCTGGTTATTACCTACAGGCGAGCAAACCAAAACCTACTGCCTTGACAAGACACTACCGCAGCTGTTTATGATATTTTTTTCCTATTTTCAAAATCTTGTCATTCACACCACTGTATTATACATGGATCTATTATAATAACTGGATAGGGTGTTACTAGCTTGGAGCTGAAGGATTCTCACGTACTGCAGACTAAATTCACGTGGGCTACACAGACATTTTCCCCATAGAACTCAAAGTAAACTAAAACAGCTGACAGTTAACCTACAGCTTTCATAAAGGTCGGTGTTTGTGGGAATTTTAGTGTTCCTTGTCATCCTGAACTTTTCTTCTCTTCCTTCGGTTTTCTCTATCTTCACTATAGTGCTACTAACTCTGCTGGTTTGCTTGCGTGTAGGTAATAACCAGCTACAACAGCACCATCTGCTGGTGTACTGCTAGAACAACCACATTACACTTACGAATCTTTTTGACACACGCTTGGCGGCAGAGGTGTGTCAAAAAGAGATTTGTGTGTAAAACAGAGCCTGTGCGTAGCACTTAGGCTTTTTTTCCGTTCTTCTCTTCGTACAACGCGGTTATTTACACACAGATTGTTCTGCTACAGATACAAATGTCAAATTACACACACACAAATCTGTTTACGCACGCACACAGTCCAAGTTACACTTGCGAATCTGCGAAGGCAGGACTTTGTCAAAAGATTTGTGTGTAAAAAAAAACTTGAGTGTAAAACGTACTTTTTTTTTTCTTTACACACACACAAATCTTTCTACGCACGCACAAATCTTTTTACGCACACACAAATATTATTGAAACAATAATAGCTCCATACTCATAAGGACTTCAGCTGATACTTGAGAAGTGGGCATAGCAGCCAAATTTATGTTAGTTAGCATCATCAAACGTGGACAGGGCTGGCTCTACACATTAAATGAACCAACGAGTCACTTATAACCCCAAAGTCACCAGAGGGCCCCCAGGAGAGGCTTAACAGAATTGACCAGAACTGACCAAAATTAACCAAAATATAGATGCCAATATCTAATTTACCTTTTTTTCACCCAATAATTTCTACTTGTTGTTGGATGGATAAATCTGCATGTGTGTTCATATTCTACAATCAATTGTTATGAATAAATGGTGGCAAAGTGACAAGGGCCCCTTAATGGACTTTTTGCTGATGGCCCCCAAAAGGCTTGGCCTGAACTGAAAATGTATTTGCTCTGCTTGACCCTGAATCAGAGAGACATCTATAATATATATCATTATCATTTTACAAATCATGATGCATCAAGAATCTGAATCTAGAATCTACCCTCACTCAGTCTTCTGAAATGTGACACCTCTCTGAATCTCTGAATAACTGTCAAACTGCAGTAATCAAACAAACCTCAAGCAAAAGAAAACATGGACCTATGTAATAAAAATAACTCAATCTCTTTTTGGTTGCATGCACCTCTACACTGTACCACTGCTCGCTCCTCTGTCCACAAGGATCAGCGTCCTCCATCTCTGTGTGAAGGATTTGACATGAGTGCTGCTACCTTATCTGCTGCCTCTTCTTTGCCTATACAGTTGCTGACATTTCACAGCTCTTTTACCCCATGGATCAAGCAACCAGCCCCAGGTTCAACCACACTCACTTACTGCTTAAAGGCAAATACAAAAGCTACAGAAGGTCCAACAGATTGTTTTACTAAATCACAGTCTGGAAAAGCATCTCTGTTTCCACACAAATATATCATAGGTTGATTCATGGCAGGAGTCCAACATGCCAGGCTGAGTCACCACACACACAGATTATCCCGCTTTGAGATGAATATGTATCTATTGGGGAGATAATCTTGACATTGTGTGCACACAGCTCTCTCGACACTCTTCTGCCACGCCAGCAACAACCTCACGACTTGTAAAAGCGCTGAATAATGAGCATAAACAGTCAGATAATGAATAATTGAGTGGTGGCCGAAAAGGTCAGGCTGTCTATCCACTGGTCAGATAACACAACATTTCCGAGGAGCCATCTCCATTTTATTTTTGTGTAGGAGACACTGGCATATAGTACATGTGACATTATAAGCAATTATGTGATTGCAATTGTAATAAAACTTCAGAATACACCAGAGCCTGACAATATTTCAGCAGCATTTGTAAAATGACAGTGAAACAGCAGCAACCATTATCTTGTTTTCCCACATCAACAGTCACTTTGGACAAAGCTCTTAGATGTTCAGTGCAAAATATTGATTTAATAAAAGGTGTAAAGATCAAAGTAAGCAGAGTGCACGAGTCATTCTACTGTCTGGTCTAATCTGTAATTTGTGTACTCAACATTACATGATTTAAGGCCCGCATTACAACTGAATGTTCATTTTTGACATAATGGTAGAGTAATTGTATCAACAAAAAAGTGTTTTAAATGTGTATTATTTCTCTATAATATACATCAAATATAATATAACGCAGCATAAATCCAAAAGTTCTGCTCTTACAATCTGTGTCTTATATTACAGTGAAATAATTTTAAATGTAATTGTCTACCACATAGAATTGATATTCTAGCTCTACAAAGCAGAATGTATAACCCTACAGGTAATCATAAATAGACAGTCAGCGCTTCATGTTACCATTGGTAACGTAAGGATGTGTCATCATGTGTAGGTGTAAAGGGGTGCAGTCAGCACGCCTCGGTTATAGTCCAATTACTGAATGCCCTTTAAAGTTGTTTATTTATTAATGTCAGAAGCCCTCGTGCAGGACCGCATGCTCTCGTGGCAAATGATGCGGCCTATCTGTACAATGTCTCAATTGTCTTTTGAAAGTAATATAAACCTTAATAATTATATCTTTTTAATAGCATGTGGGCCTATATCACCAGGAGAGTAGAACAACAGCAGTAGTAGGTCAAAAAAAGACGTCTATCACATCCATGTGCTGCAGACACTGAAGCTCGTAGCACCAACGCCTTTCTCTCGAGGACAAAATAACCGCTGGTTCAGGAGCACCGGGCGTTCCTCACCATGTGAATGAAACAATAGAATAGTAGACTTTGAAGTGAGGTGCCGGTCACAATGCATCACATAGACGCGGATGAATGAAAGAGACAGAAGCACGATCATAGCGTGCAGCGCCGCGTTTACGCACCTTTTGTCCAGACAGCAGATCCACTCCGCGGATGGAGCCAGGTTTGGAGACGCCTGTACCGCCACCATGTCGTCTCTGCAGCGCGGCTGGAGCGGGCTCCCGGTGGACGCTGTTCGTTAATGAATGTGAGCTTGAGATGCGCCTCGTCCCGCCCCTCTGCCGCCAGTCTCCTCCAGCTCCGCTCCAGATGCGCCGCTGCTTCACGCTGGACGCAGATGACTGAGCTGAGCCTGAGCTGTCCTGATGGGCTTTTAGAGGGCAGCAGAAGCAGCAGGAACAGCAACCCCCTCCAACTAAACCACCCTTTCAGAACAAGCGTACAGCTTCACATGCCAATACCCAGTCCAATCATTGCACAAGCAACAAATCACATAGATTACCCATTGATTTTTGGGGAAAGCACAATCAAAGCCTCTTCAAACCTGTCATCAGCTTTACACACTAAATTGAGTGTACAGACCTCTTGCCCAATTATTTTTTAATTATCAAGGCATATTGGCCTTTGGAGAAAAGTGCCTATGTTCACTATAGAGTGAAGTGAAAGAGAGTGAGAGTGTGTGTGTGTGTGTGTGTAAGAGAGAGAGAGAGAGAGAGACAGTGAGAGGGTTTATAAGTTCATGACATTGTTGTCTAGAGGCTTAGTCTTGAAACTCACACATTACATGCATCATTGCAATGTAAAACCAAAACACAACTATTGGAGTCTTTTGCAGCTTAGATTTGTCAGGTTTAGATGTAAATACCTTGTTAATTTATTTCAAATGCAGAGCTGTGAGCCATCTTCAGAACTGTCATTTGCTGCAGATGTTTTTCAACCAGAACCTCTGCAGTCAAAAGTCAAAAGTAGACAATATGATAAATCAGAGAGATATCATTAAAGGACAGGCTTTAAATCACTCGATGCAGGGGAATGCTTCTTTTCTATATACATGATATTTGGACACGTATGGTGGCAGAGAAGTACAGAAATGGATAAGTTTGAGTCAAACAGGTGAAGTAGCAGATGTTCATCTGTAGAAACTACAGATGAACATGTTGAATTGTTTCACGAGCTCAGATGAGACATTTGCACACACATGGGTGGAAGACCGCAGGGAAGTGGAGGGCATCTTTGCCTTTTTTGTAACGTCAACACCAGATGTCGAGAGTAGTCTTGAGCATTTTTAACATTACATGCACTTTTAATTTACGTACCACACATATTATGTAAGTTTGAAGAAGTTCCACTATTACTACAGTTACATTACATCTATTGAATCAAGCATGTTCATGCTGAAGGAGAGGTTACCATTTGTCAATACAGTTTGCATTGACTCTAAAGGAAAATGATTCTGATTAATTAAAATCAGGGATGTACCAATAAATTACTGGTATTGAATATTGTACTGATAACAGAACATTGATATCAGTGAAGCCGAAATCCTAATTATGTTGGTAACATCAGCCTTCATTTCATTCACTTCTCAGGTTACGGCAGATCTAACGAGATAAATATCAGCATCCCCGTTTGATAAATCAGCTGGAGGTCAAAACAAAATGCAAACGATCAAAGAAGTGATTGACTGAAGATGATATTAGGAGTAAAGGGAAAAATAACACAAACCTCAACACCTTTTCAAAGCTTTAAAGAATAATAAATGTCTGAGGTGATACTATTGTCTGATAGTAAAAAAAGCCACAGTCACTGTGATGTAAGAACGAGACATTTTGCATTCAGAGGAACTCAGAGCTCTGCTTCCTGTGAGACAAAAACGCTCCGCTCGAATGAACAGATAACCATATGGGGCTTGTGTATCTGGCAAATTCAGCCTATAAACCACCAATCCAACTTCAACGATTCAGACTGTAACACCCTCTTGCTGAACAGAACATACACATTTATAACATTTGTCGTGTATTTATATGTTTTCTGCTTACAAGATCTTTGAGAAATGACTCAAAAAAATGTTACTGAAGTAAATGCTGCATTTTGCATATCAGCTCTGCTCTCTACAATGTTTGTCCACATTTGGAAACAGTCTGTTTTCCTAATCCTTTGTTTTGCCAATCTCCTCTGTGTCTTATCCCATAAAACATAGCAAATAAACCCACAGACACAGTGTCCCTATTCTTCATGTCAAGTATGTACAAAACAGGTTTCTTCATGAACAGAAAGTCAAAGAAAACAACCACATTCAACCATACCCATGCCGCTCCTTAGTGTGGAGTTTGCCAAAAGGCACCTCATCTCTGGTCTGATGAGACAAAGATTGAACTCTTTGGCGTGAATGCCAGGCGTCATGTTTGGAGGAAACCAGGCACTGCTCATCAAGTCAATACCATCCCTACAGTGAAGCATGGTGGTGGTAGCATCATGCTGTGGGGATGTTTTTCAGCGGCAGGAACTGGGAGACTAGTCAAGATAGAGGGAAAGATGAATGCAGCAATGTACAGAGACATCCTGGATGAAAACCTCTTGACCTCAGACTGGGGTGACGGTTCATCTTTCAGAAGGACAACGACCCTAAGCACACAGCCAAGATAACAAAGAAGTGGCTTCAAGACAACTCTGTGAATATCCTTGAGCCCAGACTTGAATCCAATTGAACATCTCTGGAGAGATCTGAAAATGGCTGTGCACCGACACTCCCCATCCAACTTGATGGAGCTTGAGAGGTGCTGCAAAGAGGAATGGGCAAAACTGCCCAAAGACAGGTGTGCCAAGCTTGTGGCATCATATTCAAAAAGACTTGAGGCTGTAATTGCTGCCAAAGGTGCATCAACAAAGTATTAAGCAAAGGCTGTGAATACTTATGTACATGTGGTTTCTTCCATCCATCCATCCATTTTCTACCCTTTAATCCATTTCTGGGTCAGGGGGGTGGCAATCAGAGATGCCACCCAAGTCTCATAGCACCAGCCCCTCACTGACCCTCTGCAGGTGGTGAGTCCACAGGAGGACGGCTGCTCTCTGAGTGTGAGCATAGCCTTGATCTTTCAGTGGGGGCTTTGGGCAAAGTGGGGTTAAGTGTCTTGCCCAAGGACACAACGACAGCAGTCATCAGTGGGAGTCGGTGGAGAAGGTGCAGAGGTGGGAAACATGTGGTTTCTTAGTTTTTTTATTTATAATAAATTAGCAAGAATCTCAAAAAAATTTGGGGTGTTGTGTGTAGAATTGAGAGGAAAAAAAATAATTGAATCAATTTTGGAATAAGGCTGTAACATAAATAAATGTGGAAAAAGTGAAGCGCTGTGTCTATTTTTGGGATGCACTGTAATAATATGGGTCCTCTAGCAAAAAACAGAATGATTTCTGATTTTTATTATGATGATGGTGATAATTATTATACTATTATGGATTAATATTGTTACGAAGCATTATCTCAAGATATTTCATACTTGTTAGCATTTTCCGGAATCTTTTAATAATAAAGGTTGCTGACCCTTGTACTATAATAGTGGCTAAACCAAATTGGGAACATGGTAAATTAGTTAAGCCAATTGATTACACTGCTTATACTCAATGCAACTTTATAGTTAGGTTCAATTGATCATGTTTTTTATTTGTTAATTAGTTAATGGAGAGAGGGGAAAGAACATTAAACAGCAGTTAAATGTCCTTAACTGCGTCTCTCCATTTTGTTACCTGTCCCCCTACCCTTCATCCTTATACTTAATTCACTTTTTCTCCCTCTCTTCTCCAGTTCACTCTCATTCAAAAGAACACTTGATTGTGATTGGCCAGTATTTATATCAACTAGGTCCTTGTGCCTCCTGGGACAACAGTCTCCAATCAGAACCAGGTCACACTGAGCAGTACCAGTGTTTGGACCAGTCCTGTCCACCTCAGTCCTCACACTGCAGTCACCAGCTCTGGCCATGCACAGGTCAGCACTGTTGATCTGCAGGTGATGATCATCCCCAAGTTTGCATTGTGATGGCTTTACTCAGGTGTGTTTTCAGAGCGTAAACTACATGAAATTGTTTTATAAAGCAGGGAACAAAACTGGCAGAGATCTAGAAAATCCAGCAAAGGTAAGTTGCTTCGTATTTGTTTAAATAGTACATAATAGGTGCGAATTTGGCTTCACATAATCTCATCAAATTATGCCATGTTTGTTTGGAGAAAGTATGAGGCATTTGTAAACTGATTGATCTTTTGATTCGTTTCCACCTGGAGTCTGGGGGATGATCACCGTCGATGGGATTTCTTGGGCAGGTTAAACAGGCAGGTTAAACAGGCTGTGCTAAAGATGCTATCACTTCACCATCCGCAAGGATCATTTATTTGCTCGTCGTCAGTGTTCACAGTGGAGCAGTTTACACTGGATTACCCCGGGATAATCCATTACCGTATTTAGGGACATAAGTCGCCATCTGTCTGGAGGCTATTTATCTCAGTAAGGAAGCCGTCATCACAGACAACACGTTGGGTAAGTCATACCAACCTGTATAATACTAAATAGTTATGTTGAGTTGATGAAAATAGTAGTGCACTTCTTGCCTTTTCGGAGAAATGCGATGAGGCTATGTTCAATAGTCGCAATTTCCTCAACTGAAAATCGTACAACTAGGGTTTTATAATATCGCGATGGATCTACAAAAACACGTCAAAAAGGTGTCATTAATAAAAAAAAATATTTTTAATAACATTTTTGTAATTAAAGAGTTTAAATATTTTCCAGCTGATATGTTCATGGTCGATGGAGTTTCAAATTCCGAGGTTACTTGAAAGCCACGTCACCTTGCCGTGGGCACACCTGTGGCTGATGAGTGTGGTCTGTTGCGATTTGGACTTTTCTCAATACTCTCTGTTTGTAAGTATTATAATGCAACATTGTCATCTAATGTGGCGATTGTAGGCTGTTGTTAAGCCTAAAACTGTTTTGTATGTATTTTTTATTGTGTCATTTCTTTTCCAGGGATTTTCTAGAAGTGAAACGCTTCCATCACTCAAACTAGATTCTTGCCCCAACTGTAATCCAAAGTACTTCCTCAATTAATCTGCTTTTAATAATACAACTTTGATAGTGTTTTTTAATGCCATATCCTTTTTTGAATCTCTCACATTAATTATGAAGGCTGATAGCAAAGGTCGTAGTGCCTCTCCTCACCGCATAACTTATAACGCAGACTTCCACGCCATCAAGTGCTCCTTTGACACTGGGGTCACTCTAATGTCTCAGGCCCAGCAGTCTTTGGTGTATCCAAACAGACTGGCACCCAGCCTTTCACACCCCATTATGCCTCAAACCGGCAACGACCCTGTGACCAGAGGGAGAGTTGGAAGCACTAGGGGGGCTAAAATTAGTCAAAACATCTTTCTGCAAATGGACAGTCAACAGCCTAAAACAGATGGGCAAAATGCAGGATGTACAGCAGCAGGTTCACCTCAAAAACCACAAATTCAATGTTCACCTCGCCCCTCTACCCGACGTTCCTGTGCGAGCTCTTCCTCTGTTCTGGACACTGCTGCAAGCCTCTCCACTCCAGATGCCTTTCCACCAGATAAAAGTAAATCAGAAGAAATGAAGGATATTGATAGGGCAGCTTTGGCACAGAAGTTCAGCGTAGCTCGCAACTTGTTTGAGACAAAATTAATGGTAGTGCCCAGTGAAGGTTCAAATGGCATTAGGAGGAGCAGGGGAAGAGAGGAAGTCAATTATCCCAGAGGTGGAGACAGTTCGTGGGACAAGGATAAAGACATGAAGCCTGCGGGGATGGATGGCTTGGATAAAGACAAATTCATAAACCTCCCCATCGTAAATAATCCCTTCGCCAAGACCTCGGCACAGGACCCCATGGCAGACCACCATAAATCTCTCAATGCCAGTGATTCAAATGAAGAATATATGACCACTCTTATATGCCCTGACCCATCTGATGAACCTACACTAACGGAAAGTCACAGGGATGAATATGAAGCTGTAAAAGTACATTTTGTTTCTGACTTGACTGGTGAGGAAATGGTAAGGGCAGAGTTAGTTGATGTACAGAATGAATCATCTGAAAGTGATGAGGCTGAGAATAAACTTGAGACGGACTGGCAGGACACATCTGTGAATTACATGGCACCTTGTATAGTGCAGGATCTGGTGGACGACGTATTTGAAGAACTTAACCTGCTGAAACGAAATGAGTTCTGTGAAGGCATCCTATGCAAAACAGATGATGGAAATGGCGGTGTGAGCGTGTGTCAGCAGGAGAGTACAAATTGGGAGGGGCAGGAAAAGGAAAAGCCCCTTAAACCAGCACAGATGTCTGCAGAGTTGAGCTCTACAATAGAAGAGAGGGAGGGGATGCAAGCTGAAGTTGTTGAAGAGTTCGGTTTGGAGCAGGTGGAGGGCGATTGCGACTGGGCAGAAGGACGGAATGGGGAAACGGTGTTGAGTGATCGCAGTGGGAATGGGCTACAGTCAGAGGTGTGCAGAACTGAAGTGGGCAAAGAATGTGAGGACTGTGAAAACGCTGAGATTGAGAATGGCCAATCAGAGGCTCTTGAATACAAGGAAATCCCTGGAATCCCTGAACTTGTGTTTAACAGCGAAGACGAGAGCCAAGATGGAAAACGAAAGGTGAAGTTCTCCACTGCACCAATCAAAGTAAGGACACACTTTTTTACTTGTAGTGTATGCAAAATCATTATCCATTGCTGATATTTATTATGCGACTCTGCAGTAGTCTGGTTTAACTGCCTAAAGCTATGTTTTAAAAGGCACATGGAATGGGGAAAGGCAAGATCTTGCATGTTTGTTTGCCAGAGCTGTCAATTCAACAACAATGAAAACCATTCCTACATTTTACAAAACTTGTCTGTTGAAGAGACCTCAACTATTGCAGTTCATCTATTGCAGCACAAAATAATCTATAGGTTCTTCAGAAATGTAGGAACGTGAAACTGTCTTCCAACATAAAAATACAAAAAAGTAATCTTTCAGTTTGTGGTGGAAAGCTGCTCTGCAGTGTTTACATGGTGTCATCACGGTAATGTGCATTCTAAAGTGTTTTACAACTATTCCCAACCATGTTTTCCAGGTGTTTAGCACGTACTCTAATGCAGATTACAATCGACACAATGAAGATATTGACCCGGTGTCTTCCTCAGCGGAGTATGAGCTTGAAAAGCGGGTGGAGAAGATGCATGTTTTTCCTGTGGAGATTGAAAAAGGTTTATTAACTTGCATGCCAAATAGTTCATTGTTAATTTGCTCTGGTTCACACAAGTCTTTCAATCACTTTTGGAGGAGAGGAGGGTTTGGGCATCAGCATTGTAGGAATGGGTGTAGGTGCTGATCAAGGACTGGAGAAGCTTGGAATATTTGTTAAATCTGTCACTGAAGGTGGTGCAACTATGAAAGATGGAAGGTGAGCATTTTCTAATCCTTTTTTTTTTTTTTACTTCAAAGATTTAAATTGGGTTGTTTTCTGCATTCTAGAATTAAAGTTAATGATCAGATTGTGGAAGTCGATGGCATCAGCTTGGTTGGAGTTTCACAGCTGTTTGCAGCCACAATTTTGAAGAATACATCAGGCCTGGTCAAGTGAGTTACGTTTTGATATTTGGACAATACTTATTTTGTTTTGTTTTGTTTTTTTAACGTATTTTTAATGTCAATATTTTTGTTATAAATACATAGGTTTTCAGTTGGACGGGAGAAGGAGGGTGTGGAAAGTGAAGTTGCACGGCTAATTAATGAAAGCCTGGAGATGGAGAAATGTTCCAATTGCGTAAGATTTACAATATATTTATTTTCATGCATTTCTTCTGTTTTGAAAAAAAAAAATCTCATGAGCAGAGATCCAGTGAAGGTGAAGACAATGACAACTACACTGATAGTTCTGGGTGTGAAGATCATGATGATGATGACGAAGATGTGTCCCAGCTGGATGGCAATCAACTATACCTTAAATATCAGCAGGTAAAGCTATATACTTGACTTTTAACAAAATGTGATAATCTATGTATTTGTCTGTTCATAGCTCCAGGCCAAACTCTGTATCAGAACAGACAAACTGCGGAGCACTCGAGAAAAGGTAGGTCACCCAAGATTGAGACATTTTTGTGCATCCATATTTGGAGACTGACCTATTTAATTCTGTATGAAAAAATCACTTTATGAAGGAATACACTTGTCTCTCCTTCTTATGCCATTTCCATATGATAATGTATGACAAAACTGGGTTGGATAGTTTTGTTGAAACTTTTTAGCATGAAAAGGATTATTGCAAAACTGATAAAGATGATTAAAAAAAAACCTGGAAAAAGTGGAGCAGTTTTTGAAGTGTCCCGGTTTTAAATTGGTACCATGCATAATATGGAGTGTGGTGTTTTTGTAGTTGCACGCACTGAAGGAGCAGCAGGCTTGTTGGCAGAACCAGAAAGCAGAGTTTGAACAGAGAATAGAAGATGAAGAGGAGAGGGCTGACAAACTGGAGAAGTAGATTCCTCATATTTTAGTGTTCTAACTCTATTCAATATGTGTCTTCAAATTTTCGTATGAGAATGGGTTTATTTGGTGACCATTATTTTTAGGTCGAACGTAAAGGCAGTTAATTGACTTCCCGCTATTGTCCAGGTATTGGCAGGAAGCCCAGACTCTTTGCAGAGTTATTAGCCAGAGATTGGCTGACGCTCAGAGCCATTCAGAGAGCCTGGAGATCAAATACAGCAAGGCCAAAAGACTGATTCGGGAAAACCAGAACAGGTAGATTTATTCAGTAAGGATATCACTTCAGAAACAATGGCAATATGCTGCAGTCTAACATTTTTTACAATTGTTGCAGAGTGGAGGAGGCCGAGAGCAGAGAAGCGGAACTGAAGAGGGAGCTTGAGGAGCAGAAACGGATGATTGAAAAACTGACTTGTCAGGTGAGAAGAGACTTTGAATTAGTTTCTATTTGCAACTACTACGAATAAATCTCCTCGTCTCTGGGCCGAGGATTCCCCTAAACAACATCAGAGGGATGATCCTGGTTAAATAAAGAGCAATTCAATTACTACATCTTTCTTTGTCGACAGCTAAAAGGGGAATCTTTGCCAGGAAGTGGCCACAACCAGACTGAAACTGGTTTGTATGGAGCTGTTATTAAATAGTATTTTTGAAATGCTACATTTTTTTAAAATCCTTGTTTCCTTTTGTGAACAGAATGGTATAGCCTTGTCCCTGACACGGGACGTCTAGACTGCAGTGCTCACATCGCCAAAGCTCAACTGGCCCAGAAATCCAAGCGCCACCCCCCCTCCCGGGACAAGCTGAGGGACAGTTTCAGGCGACAGGTCAGACAGACTTTAAAATTAAAATCTCTAGATGAGAGGTAAATGTGTCACAATGCTGTACAAGCAGAAAACGGGATGTGCCTTTCATGAATCTCTTTATGGACACCATTATGTGCTGTATAGGGTTTGAATCATTTAATTTCTATTGTGACTACCACCTGTGTGAACACTTTCCATTATTTGAGTAATTAACTATACATTTTGCAGCACTTTATGCAGGCTGCATCTACAGTATAAGTTATACTCTCTTCCCATAGGGAATTTTATCCTCTGCTTTTGCAACCCATCCTTACAATGCCACATGAGCATTCATAAAATACACTCCTTTCTTATCCATTCTTCATTTGTCTTTAATTCATTCTTTTCATTTGCCCTGTTAATTTGTCATTGGCTTTCTAGGACAGGATATAAGTTGCATTTAACAAATCTTAAAATGTGTTAAATTTCACTTGACATTTATGATTTTCATTGTGTAGGAGGAAACACAACAAAAACATGGGGATGCAGAGACTGCTCCCACTGCCTTACAGCAAGTCGGCAGAAGTGACCTGTCCACCTCTTACCCCACACTCAGCCCTTCACTGCCCTGCATGTCCACTCCTCCAATTTACATCACTGACACCAGCTCTTCAGCTCCCAAGTCATCATCCTCTCGAAAGTCTAAGAAAAAGTTCCCTAATTTCAGGTAAGAATTTTTCTATAGATTGCTTTCACTGTACCCTTTGTCTTTTTTTGTTGCTGTTTTTTTTAAATTTCATTTTAGTGGTTTACGAAAATCTCTCAGCAAGAGGCGGAGTGAGAAAAAGAGAAAGTCATTGACGAGAAGGTATAGTTCAGAGGAGTCAGACTTAAAATCTTGCCTACAGAACAAAATGGTTGATATTTGTGTGTTTTGTTCTCCTCTTGCAGGAGTTATAGTGGCGACTTGGCAGATGAGGCTGCTGATTTCTCCCCAACTGCATCGGTTTCCTCTATGCCTTCATGTTTGCCTTTTCCCTGGTTTGGCGACAAAGGGTCAGAGAAGTGGGATGATCAAGAAAAATGCAGAGAGAGGCTTCGGTCAGTATCCAGCAGCAGCCTGCCTTACCTGACCACCACTGGAAGAGGAGAGCAGGTACAACTGCAAATGAGTTGCAAAGGGCATTCCTATTTTCAGTTTGCCATGGGTACTTACTTCAGGGCTGTAAGAGACTATTTTGTGAACCAATTAATCTAGCTATTGTTTCCTTTTATGAAGCCACTGGAGTACATGGTGTAGACATTGAAAAAATTATGTGTATTTTTTATGTATAATTTTAACAAAATCAAAGCAAGGACTCTTTTTTGTTTTTTAATCATGTTGGGATTGTTTTTTTTTTTTTCAAGAGTACCTAAGTCATTTGATTGTTTACTTAATGTAGGCCCAAAAGGAAAACATCGAGAACTTGTTCAATTTCTGCCACACTCATTGTAGCTCTCCTTGACACATGTATAGCTTCTCACACTGAGCATGTAGTGGTGTGAAAGACGGACTACAGCAAGTATTTTGTTCTTGGTTTCAGAGGTGTGAGTTTCCTCTGGGGAGCATGGTGGGTCACGTCTCTAATCACTCTCTGTCTGGGCATTCTTGTTCTTTTACCTTTTCATCCACTGAGGTGAGACTGTCCTTTTCCCTCTTTTCTCCTTGCATGAAAAAAACGTTCTGACCATGAGTCATGTGCAATATTTGATTAATTGCTGCATATTTCTTGTCAGACTTTGGATGATGACTTGATTTTGAGCAATAACAACAACCAGTGGCAAAGTGTCTCTGTGACGGAGTGGAGCAGCGAGCAGGTTTGCCTCTGGCTCGTGGCAATGAGCATGGACCAGTACGCTCCAGAGTTCTGTGCCAAAGGTGTAGACGGCCCGCAGCTTCTCTGCATGGACACGGAGAAACTGAAGGTCAGCTCCAGACACACTGACCATATCTCCAGTATCTAAAATGTGTATATTTAAGTTTATGTAAGCTCTCAGTCGTACAGGGTTTAGTCAAAGTAAAGGAAGGTTTCTCACCCATCATCTGTACTTCTTAGCAGGTCGGGAAAACCTGCTAAGAACAGATGATGGGTGAGAAACCTACCTTTACTTTGTATATTTAAGTGTTTTAGGTTTCAGCTATACATTCATAGGCAGCCTTTTTATAACTTACACTTTTAATCATACATATTTAATTTTATTCAAATAACGTTTGGACGACTTGAACGAAGTTGCATGTTTATCCCAGAAGTTCACGTTGGCGTAGATGGAGCAAAAACCACTCTGGGTCTGTTTTTGTCGAGATACATGTTGTAAAATGGTTAAAAGCTCAGTCCATTTGCATCATGTCGTCTTTAAAATGTATCCAAATAATTCAATTAATGAAAACCTCGGCACTTAAGCTAACAATTTATGTGTGTAGTTTTATATCAAATACAGATTCTTTTTAAGCTCCTCAAAAAACCGACCATGTTGATTTGAGATCCATCCACACTAACATGTAACTGCATTCGGTCCCTTTTTAAAGTAGTGGCAAATGCATATCATAGTGGCAAATGCATATCTAAACCATTTTAAGTACAAAAAATATATACAGTGTTCTCTGAATGTTAGTTTTACTTTATCCAATCGCCCTCCTCGTTGCAGGCTCTGGGTGTATGCAATCAGAACGACCGCTCTTGTTTGAAGAAGCTGCTCAAGGACATGAGGAAACGTGAGGAGAAAGAGCATCGGCAGAAGGACAAGAGGACGACGAAGGAGGACGGAGACGCAGACGGGACGGAGGGCGCCATGACCCAGAAGCGGAGGAGCACCATCCGCACAGAGTCGCTGTTGTAAATCACATCAGTCTGAAACAGTTTGACCTGAACTTGAAATGAACTCGTTTCACCTGGTGTCTCAGCAAAGATAACCCACCAGCAGATTATGACCGTTGAATATTTAAATACTGTTTTTAATGTATTGATTTTAATAAAGCTTATTTAAGAATTCTTATGAATGGGTTTTATTTTACTATTGAACATGACAAGACGCACCAATACAAACACTTGATTTTATTACAAATGATTACGGGTGCAATATTTCAGTGATGTGTCAATGGAATCTCCTTTAGACATTTGCAAAGAAAGCAGATGCTAACGCTGCAGACCATTGTGTTAAACGGCCGAAATTGACATTTTGCATGTAAAAAACAAAATTTACCGTAAAGTGCCCCCAAAAAAATAAATACAAAAAGGTACAAAACCCACTTTTTCTAAACACTGAAATGCAATGGCCACAGAAACCTTTAGCAGGATTGTGATCTCACATGAAAATATTTCAGTTCAGTTGCACCACGTTCTCCGTTATGTGCAAGGACAGATGAAAGAGTATGTGCAAGTAAAGGCTTTTTAGGAATGTCTGCCATATTGTCGTCCAGGATTTCTTTTCCACTTTTCCTCAATTCTTACGGCGTCTGTGCCTTTCTTCCCGTTTGATCCGAACTATGTTGTAACCGGGAATCTCGCCTGCTCAAAACAGCCACACTATAACAATAAGGAATTGTAATAAAATATTAGGTTATAGTGAAATGAATCAGCCAAAAAGGGAATTGCTTAACTAAAAAGAGGCTGCGCAAGAATAAAACCAGATGCATACACACATCTGGTAAACAGGATCAGACCATATCAGCCATTAGCCATGCAGGTAAAGCTAGTGTCGCGCATTTAATTGTGGAGAAAGTTCCTCATTCAAAGGGCAACCCAAATCCAAGAGTCATTTATCTTTCAGCAAAACACAGTAAAAAGTTTGCTTTAAATTAGAAATGGTAATGTTACCCTGTTTTTTTTCTACGCATTTGTCAGTCTCTCTTTTTCTGGGTGATGCTCCTTATCATTTTTGTCAAAGACTCCGCACTGAGGAGAAGAATATTGTTAAGTTCGACATTTCTCTGGACACATTCATTTCCATCAAATGTAACTTTCCCATCATTCTCTAACTGCCTTACCTTCCAAAGAAGAAAAGCCAGTAGTGCTAACAAAAGCAGCCCAAAGAGTATGGACAGCACAATGATCCACCACGGGACCCCTCCTCCGTACTGCGCTGACTGCTTTTCTGGGAACACAGTCAGGCTCACCTGAGGGATAGATCTTAATTAGGTTTCTATAAAAGCTTAGAGAATGTATTCAGATGTATCACTTATAATTACCTCTGACTCTGCATTTTGTAGTTTTGTGTTCTTTTGTGTGCTGGAAAGGCTGAGAGATGCCTTCAAAATCACTTCCACATGATGTAGGTCAGAGTATTCCTTATAATTATGAATCAATAATTCATTAAAACCATTTGAAGTTTCATACACATTTTGAAAACAAAAATCTTGACTGAATTGAACCTCTATGAAAGTGCTGTTCCACAGGCGAGAGTACAGAGTGACCACTGCATTACTGTCCATGCCCTGCAGGGGGCACTTGATCTTCACACATTTTGCTCCATCGTCACAGGACTGGGAATACAGAAAACCACATTATCATGAATAAAGCACGTTTAATAGAAAAGCGCAATTTACCTTAATGAATAAACGAGACAAAACAAATATTTCGAACAACATTCTTACCAAAGTTTTGTATTTCTTATCAACTAGTCTTGAAAGCGTAGCCTTGTCTTTCCTCTGTATAGCTCTTCTGCTTCTAGTTTTTAGTTCCTAAACCAAAAAGTGGATACAGTATTAATGTTATAAAATGTTAATGACATAAAAAGGCTGTTTCCACTGACCACTGGCAGGCTGTTAATCACATCCTTTGGAAAGCACTCAAACTTGTCCAATCCTGTGGCGCTTATATTCACCAGATATAGGAGCCATTTAAGATCTGCAGTGTTTATAGGCCAGTCAATCTCAAGAGACGGAGTGCCAAAATCTGTCAGCTTTTTCCCAAGATTGATTATCTAACTCAAAGAAAATAAAGCAAGTGAGCAGAACAACAAATGGAAATTTAAAATCGAACAATAGAAATATTGTAATAATAATCTTACTCTGAACTGGTGAGCAATTGCACTGCCGATGTCAGTTTCCTTTTTCATGGCACTTTCCCCTTTCACTTTTCCAGAGAAGTAGACCTGAGATGGTTTGGCCACACTAACACGGAAGAACAAAGTTTTCTGTCATGAGTTTTGTTTAATTGTTCACTAGTATTTGTGGCACCTTTCCATACCCTGTGATTGTCATCTCCAGCAGGAGGGCCACTTTTGCCTTTGCCTTGACAGGGACCATTTTCTGACCACTTGTCCTTTTGGCGAAAAGCAAAATTAGAACACCTTCTATTTTGATCTTTTTTCATTAAAAGAACTACTCTTACGTGGAAGGAATAAGTTCTATTTCCACCTCAGTTGTGTCAACGATGATTTTTGCTGTTCCCAGGATAATGTAGAAGGTTGTCTATAAGAACATAAACATAGTAATTTTGGAAAAGTGTGTTCACCATGTTAATTTTCAGGATACAGTAAGGAATAAATGGATACAGTGACTATGTAAAATGTTAGTGAACGCTTGAGGTATTGGTTGCTTATGGCACATTCTTACATTACAGCAGGGCTCCTTAATTCTGGTATTTAAAGGGCCAGTGTTGCTCCAGGTTTTTGTTCCAACCATGGGTATAGTCTGGGTAGTCTCCTGCTTGGTTGGAACAAAACCTGGAGCCACATGAACCTTTGAGTACCACGTTGAATACCCCTGCATTACAGCATTTCAATACAATAGAGAAAAAACATTACGATTTACCTCTAAGTTTCCCTTAAAGGGGTTTCCAAGTCCACACATAACTTCAGTCCCTTCTCTGTTGGCATTACATGACATAAAGTGCTGAATAGGATCAAAATATATATTAGATTGGCATTAAAAAAAATGGGAAATGGTTACATTGATTCTGTAAGCCTTACGTCAGGTGAAGGGATATAGTTTGAGTAGACGAGAGAAGGCGGTAAAGTAGCATTCAGGCTAGCTTCATATGCATCATCTCCGTCTTGGTTGGTCACTGTCACTTCCAAGGCAATCTCCTTTTGGTCACTTAAGGAAATGACCTGCACACCATCCTCCCTGTAACAAGATGAAATACCATTGTGTGAAGGAACTAATTGCAATGTGAGTAATCTTATTCTATTTTTTGCACTTAAAGATGGAGTACCTGACTGTGAAATCACAAAAAAAGTAACTATGTATGTCACTACTAGTTTTCACATGCATGTAATTTTGGATTCTATCTTAGGAGCAGCTTTGTTAGATTTTTACAGGCCCTAAATATAACCTGATTTATTCACAAAACGACATTGCACTTCTACATTTAGATCCTGTGTAAAAATGACATTCACATAATCAGCAGTCAAATTACAATTCCTCATATTGTATTACATGTCAAGTGGCGTGAAGGCTTCCTCGGCTGATTTTTTGTAGCCGTATCGAAATTTAAGCTGCAGGTTGCTCTGACACACGTTGTCTTTACCGCACCCTTCTTTCAGAAAATGCACCTGTGTTGAACAGATAACAGGACATCACTGTACCGGACAATTCATTTAAAAGCAGTCATAAATGAAGAGCAGCAGTGTTACCGTTGAGCGGGTTGTATTTGGTACATTGGCATCAAGAACAGGGGATGGTGCGGCAACGCTCTGTCTGCGATTGCGTTTGGTATCTTCAATTTTAACAGAAACATCGATAGGAATGCCACTAAGCTTGTCGCGAATATCATCCTGTAGGTTGCACCAGACAGTTAGACCATTATATACATCATCTTATATATACAGGAGAAACTTGGAAAATTAGAGTATTGTTAGTTAAAGAATTAAGTAAAGTCAAATAAAATTGGTTTATTTATGTAACACAACCTAAAATGTGAAACCAATGATATGATATACACTAATTTCATACAAAGTGACATGTGCCAAGCCTTTATAGTATATAGTGGGGGGGGGGGTTTACAAGCTGTGATCAGCATAAAAAAATAATGACTTCATATATTTTAATATATTAATTTGTCATGTATTAGTTTCCCATTGTAAGATGAATTACAGAAGTACATTGTTGAATGTTTTAGGCTTCTAATTTTCCATGTTTCACCGTTCATATTTATCCATATTTTATGTGTTGTACCTCTATGGTGAGCTGACGTTTAAAACACTTTTTCTTGCCTTTACTGTCCAAGGTGATGGTGCCTTTTGACTCAAAGCTGTTATCCTCGAAAGTGGCCCTCGGGGAAAGTTTGTATTTACGATGGTCAGCATCTGCCTGCAAGGAATAACTGACCACTAAAAAACAAAGCATGAATGTGGTCATTTTATTGTTTTCCAATAGTGTATATATTTACCCAGGCTTACCCAGATTTGGAGAGTAACTGGGAGGATTGGCAGTATAGGTGAAGCATGCCTCGACATCCAGGCTGAAAGAACATGTCATTTTATATGCATTTATTTTATGGGGATGATGTCAGAAAAGGAAAGGCCAATGTGAATATAGATAACATCATTACCAAAATTTGCCATTGCAGTTCTTCTGGGTGAGGTCAATTTCTTTCGGTGTGAAAGTAATCGTCTTATCAATGCTGATTACTGGACGTGCCCTAAAAACACAAACATATACATTTTAGACATTATAAAATGCCTACTAACATTTACATTATATAATTTTGGTAAATGAGCATATAATAATGGGGTCCCACTCACCTGTAGACGGTGATGGCGTCAGACAAGGAGCCCACTGCGAGGTCTGGGTATGAGTTTTTATCCAGATCCATGTTTCCAGCCAAAGAGTATCCAAACATTTTCATCCCCAAAGGCTTCCCAGACAAAATCTAATGCAGTAAAATATAACCAGGTTTCTGTCAATCATCAATGTGGCAATATTAAATACAAGATGCTGTAAGAAAAATAACCAAGGATTTACCTGAGCTGCTTTTTTGGACTTCAGACCTGCAGCAGAACCGTGGTATATGTAAACACTTCCAATGCCGTCATCATGATTAGGAGCTCCCACCGCAAAATCTAAAATGAAAACATTTTGCTATTATTAACTTGTAAGTTTGTAGTTAGGAAGATACAATTATGTACCTCACCTTGAAAACCATCTTGATTAATGTCACCAATGTTTGCCACAGAAAGGCCAAACATTGAGTCCTTAGGTCCGTCGATTCTTGTGGGTTTAACCTTGTTCCATTTTCCGGCCTTGTTAAGATACACATAGACAGCTCCTCCAATTTCTCCATCCTTCTCAAAATATTGAGGGGCTCCAACTACAATATCCTCCCAACTAATCAAAAAATAACTCATTATAGGAATATTACAAATAAATGAATTTGTATCTTTGTTTTACTAACCCATCTCCATTGAGATCGAGGACGGCAACATCATATCCGAAAGACGAGGACAGGCCCTCCCCCTCCAGAGAGTACTCCATCAGGACAGTCCTGGTGGACTCTGGTCCTCTCTTCAGGAGAACCACTGCTCCACTGTAGTATGCTCTGGGAGCGCCTGCCACCACCGTCAACTGGCCCTTCTTAGTCAGACTCTTACCTGAGTCCAGAGAGAAGCCTGAAGGACAAAGTGAAGATGAGTAATATTACCCTTATGACTGTCTGTGAGCATTCAATCCAACAACGGACAAGAACGAAGAACCAAGTTGAGGCAAATGAATAATAGGAACAATCTCTGCACAAATAAAGATCAAACTAAAAAGTTTGCCTACATTTCTTTGGTAGATAAAAAAGGGATCTATGGGGGACTGTATATGAAGATACATATAAGAACAATCATGCTGCATTGTTTTACCAAGGTAACTGTTCACAGGAGCTGGGATCAGCGATGGATCTTTCTCATTTTCATCTCCGAGCTCAAAGGGACCATCTTCATAGATGCCCATTTCAATAAAGGTGTCATTTCTTTGTTCCAATCGAACAATGCCTAAAATGGAGAGTATAATGGTTTGTGAACACTTCAGCTGATGCTCCAACACGTATGAAGTGTGACTTTATACCTTTCCAGTTGTATGCACCAGGAGCTCCAAAAATGATATAGTGAAAGTCAGCGTCGAAGATAGCAGCTACACCCTGTTGACAGGAGCCGAACAGCTCATGTCCTCTGGGTCGACTCTTGCAGAAGTGCCAGCTCCCGCCCTCGCCAGCCCCTGAGTCCTCGTTTATGGTCAGGTCCTGATTGAGCATGTAGCAGCGCCCTGTGATGTCCCGGGACTCTCCACCAGCTGCTCTTATCTGATATCGATGAGCGCAGGTCTGTCAAAATACAGAAATAAGTCTGTTGTTAATCAAGATGTTTATTTTGAATGATTTTTTAAATAATTTCCATACCACAATCTTGCCCCCTGGCCCTTGACTGCTGACAGACACACCCATCCATTGGTTCTCTTTGTTTTCAGTCGTCAAATCCTCTATTGTGAAGTTGATCCATGGATATAATTTGTAAGATTTAGTTAAAGACAAATGCAAGCAAATGTGTTTAGGTAGGTATCTAACCTTCATTATCAAAAATGACCCTGTCACATGAGGGGGAGGTGGAGGTCATGTCACAGGCGTACAGTCCTCCAGTCACTTTAGACTTCTGACCCTTCAGCGCCTTCGCTCTGGGGGCACCAACCAGGAGCCTGCAAAAAATCCACACGTAATGTTTTGCAGAAAATTCCCCACTGTGGGACGATTAAAGGATCTCTTCATCTTAATCTTAATCGTACTGGTTCAAGCACAAACCTTCAATTGATGAAGAATGCATTATGAATCTAAGATCATACTCAGGTCCTGGGGTACGGAACAATCCCATCCGGACTCAAAAACAGTTGAAAATCATTGCTGAAGTAAATAAACTTCATCCCCCCCACAGCATGTTGAGGCCTTCTTCCTGATTTAAACACAGCGACCACCGTAACAGGCTTCATAAGTCAATGTTCCATCTCTGAACTGTGAATTTGTGTCAAAACACTTTTTTTCCCATTGAATGCCCTGCTTTGCTGGACTAGGTTTTCTATCTTTGTCCACACACAGACAGCCTTTGTGGTCAAGTACAAGGCCAAAAACCACACCCATCGTCATATCACCATAGGCCTCCAATTCCCAGAGTTTTACTAGGCCATAAATCAAGTAAGAATGGAATGTCAGCTCATTCTGTATAACTAATGTCGACACACTTCAGTCAGGAAATTAAACTAAGCAATACCAGATAAATGATGCTCTCAATAACACAGACTGACACTATACGCATTGGGAGGGTCTAAACAATTTAATGTCATTGATTGTGTTTTCATAAAAAGCAATACATGACATTTTTTGTCAAATCAATGTTTAAAACGACAGATGTAAACGATCACTTCTTCTATAACCTGGTACAATGCATCTCTGTTTTTGGCTAATGTTTATTGTACATTGTCACTGTATGAATAAAAATCATACAATATCAAGGTATAATATGAAACAGATATATTAGTTGAACATATTTATTCAAACTAATTGTTGAATGAAATGCACATAACAGCATTCACACCTGAAAAAAACAAAGGGTATAATGAGTCCTGGTGGTACAAGCGTGTAAAATTAGTTAAAAGACCAGAAGCTCAATTGGAAGAGGGGTTTAACTTAGTAACAAAAAATTGAGTTTTGACTTTCCAGGTAAAGGTATGTTATGAAGATCTTAGAAAATCAATAAAAAATCACCACGGGTAAACTCTCTAAACTATTGACCACGAGTGCCTTGGATTTTGTTTTCTTTTTTCTAAGATCTTCATGATTTGCCTTTACCTGGAAAGTCAAAACTAATTTTTTTTGTTACTAAGCATTCACACCAGACTTAGATTTTTTTTGGTAATGGTAAACGTTCAAAGTGCTAATTGATATCCAGATGATATATTTGTTATCTATATTGCACCCCACAGCCCCTGAGGTGGCTCATTGAAGGATTGGACAAATCCAGAAAACAAATGTCCAGGAAGAAGAACGTGTACTTTAACTTTACCCTCAAACCATCGGCATATTAATTAATGATAAAATAACTGCTAATTAACAGCCATAGTTTTGTGCAATCGTGTCACCTGCTTACGTCAACTTCTGTAATAACACCTGGACTTGGTCTTGGTCATATGACTATTATTTACAAGAAAGATCGTGCCATCGCTGCTTTGTCTTTAATTTCAAACAATTAATCAATTTGACCAAAATTTGAAATAGTTAAAACAATAACAATCTCAACTAATTAATCATGTTAATGTATCAAATGTTAATGTAGTTGATGTTGCTTTGTCAGATCATTTCTGTGTATTTTTTGACATGTGTTTTGCTAGCAAACCACCAGCTGAATTTACAACTGTTAGAAGAAGACACATACATGAAAACACAAGTGAACTGTTCATGGGAATGCTAAATTTTGAGAAAACTCCATGCTCTACTGTTGATGAATTGTATAACTCTGTCACCACCAGTGTTCTGACTGTTCTGGACGCCATTGCTCCTGTGACGGTTAAAATAGTTACCAGTAAGAAAAAGGCCCCATGGACTAAGGCAGACTCGGTTAGGGCACAGAAGCAAGAGTGCCGGAGGGCCGAACGGAAGTGGCGAAAGTCCAATTTCCAGGGCGATTATGAAATCTTTAAAGATGAGTTGGGTGAATTTAACCGGGTTCTACGTAGAACAAGAGAAATGTATTTTTCTGACATTATTGGAGGTTGCAGTAACAATTTTCGTGTTATGTTTTCAACAGTTGGTAGATTAACGAACCCCCCTGTAAAGTTGCCCCTAGAATTTTCCTCTAAATCTAGGTGTAATGAGTTCGCACAGTTTTTCGATGACAAAGTACAAGGAATCAAAAACACTATCACCTCCACAGCACGTATAACAATGCAACAGCCAGAGAAGCTTTCTGAGCTAACTCACTTTGCACCTGTGGATACTGAAACTGTCAAAAAGATAATCATGAGTCTGAGCTCCTCCACATGTAGCCTGGATATATTGCCCTCTAAATTTCTGAAGTCCGTCCTGAGCAGTTTGTTACCTTCACTGACACAAATAGTAAACATGTCTCTGTCGTCAGGAACATTTCCTATGGCCCTAAAAACAGCAGTCATAAGACCTCTCCTAAAAAAGAGCAGTCTGGATCCTGCGGGACTTCAAAATTATCGCCCCATATCGAATCTGCCATTTATTGGAAAAATTCTTGAAAAAGTGGCCTCCCAACAACTTACTGAATTTTTAACAATGAATAATTCTTTTGATATGTTCCAGTCTGGGTTTAGACCCCACCACAGCACTGAGACCGCTCTAGTGAAGGTAACAAACGACATTCGACTTCACACTGATGCAGGTAAAGTCACAGTTTTGGTCATGTTAGATCTTAGTGCCGCGTTCGACACTGTCGACCATGAGATCCTCATGCAGAGACTGGAGGACTGGGCTGGTGTCACTGGCACAGCCCTAGACTGGTTTAGGTCTTACCTGGAGGATAGGAAGTACTCTGTGGAGGATAGGAAGTACTCTGTGGAGATTGGAGACTGCGTCTCAGATGATGTGGCCCTGACCTGTGGTGTACCACAGGGGTCGATCCTGGGACCTCTCCTATTTAATCTCTACATGCTGCCGTTAGGTCAGTTAATACAAAGAAACAAAGTGTCCTACCACAATTACGCTGACGACACTCAGATCTATGTCTCACTGACTGCAGGAGAACATGGACCACTGGATTTGCTCCTTCACTGTATCCAACAGATCAGTGACTGGATGCAAAATAATTTCCTCCAGCTAAATACAGACAAAACCGAAATCATTGTCTTTGGTCCCCAGAAACAAAGAGAGGGCGTCATTTGTCAACTTCAGTCTCTCTCCCTACTTCCTTCAGACAAGGTCAGAAATTTGGGGGTAATACTGGACTCAGACCTAAATTTCAATAGCCACATAAAATCAATAACATCAACAGCTTTTTACCATCTGAAGAACATTGCCAAAGTTAGAAATATAGTGTCCAGGGCAGACTTGGAGATTCTTGTCCATGCATTTGTCTCCAGCAGGCTAGACTACTGCAATGGCCTGCTTACAGGTCTGTCCAAACAGACCTGTAAGCAGCTGCAGTACATCCAAAATGCAGCAGCTAGAGTCCTGACAGGAACCAGGAAGTATGACCATATTAGTCCGGTCCTCAGGTCTCTGCACTGGCTTCCTGTGGCTCAAAGAATAGATTTTAAAACGGCTCTGCTTGTGTACAAGTCTCTCCATGGCCTTGCACCAGAATACATTAGTGACATGTTGGTGTCATATGAACCAGCCCGGACTATGAGGAGCACAGGGACTGGCCTCCTGCTGGTGCCCAGAGTGAGAACCAAACATGGGGAGGCTGCGTTTCAGATCCATGCAGCTAAGATCTGGAACAATCTCCCTGAAAATGTGAGGGAGGCGTCTACTCTGTCAATGTTCAAATCCAGGTTAAAGACTGTTCTGTTTGCCTGTGCATACAACTGAAGGATTTTATCTCCATTTTTAATGCACTGCTGTCATTTATTTATTTTTTTAAATTTCTTGTGTAATTTTGAAAGTTTTAATGGTTTTATTCTTTTGTGTGATTTTAATGTTTTAATTGTGTTTTAATCTTTTGTGTGATTTTAATGTTTTAATTGTGATTCTGGTGTTTGTTTTATGTGATGATTTGTGATGTGGACTGTGAAGCGCTTTGTGTTGCCATGTGTATGAAAGGCGCTCTACAAATAAACTTTGATTGATTGAACTAAAGAATACTATGCATTTTTAAGGCAACTCCAAAAGCATCAGGTGCTACATCTGTGGTTGCGTCTTCTTTGAGTGAAAGCCAAAGCTCAGAGCTCTTATTTGGTGCCCAGATGTAAAAAATGATTTATCTACTTTTTCTTCTATGGCCATTTATCAAATAGAATTATATCTACAGTTGAAGTTAGCTCTAAATAGCTCACACATTTGCACATGTATTTGTGTGTGGATAGTGGTTATTTCTACTGGCATGTACATTTCATCAGTTCTGTGTGGATGTAACTCATGTTCTCACATCAGAAGTCCTATGTGCACAGAAACATAAAATCTAAGATCACAAGGCTCCATCATCACCCTGCCCTCACCTTATGTAGCCTGTGGGCCCCGGGGCAAACACACAGCAGGTAAGAGAGGGAATAAGAGCTGACAGGCACCACTGGCAGATGCTGGTGACTCACGGTGCACACCCAGATGTTACTCACAAGAGCACACAAGCCAAGAACATCAGGTCAAGACTCCTCAGAAAGACATGAGCAAAGTATTTTTCTGTGCCCTGAGGTAATGAATAAGTTGAACACTTTAGATGACTGACACAAAGTCACTGCCACAACGTTGTTAGATCAGGCATGAGCCTGGACACAGGAGGCGCACATTCCTGCTGAGTGTATGATCAGGTCTAGAACAAACATCAGGTCCTGTCCCAACAAGCAGTGACCATATACTTTAGGCAGTGTATACATTAGGCGCAAAGCCTAATTTACAGTATTTTTAAAAAATCTAAGCAAACGTTAAGTTTTGTTAGAAGCTTCTCAAATGGCTCATCACTTGATTGTTTATAATTTCAGTGATAAATGCCTCTAATTGAGTTCCCAACAAGATTTGAATAACTTTTCAGCTAAATGCTGATAGCTTACAAGTGGAAGTCTCACCGTGCACACTTAAAACCCAGTCAATACAGTCCAGTTACATCCTGCACCTTTAGTGAGCCAATAATTGACTTAGCTTGAGCTCCTTCTATAAAAGTTCATATGATTTAAAGAGTTTTCTTTGTAGCGAAATATTCATTACAGATGCCACTGTTATACAAAGTGGTAGTCATAATGTAAATCATAACAGTTGACATAATTCGAGCACTTACAGTCTTCGGTCCACCGGCTCAAGTTGCCAGTGCATGGCGAGAGAGAAGCCGAACAGACTGTCCGCGTCCCCGGTCTTTTGCAGAACATTCTCCGTGTCCAGGTTGAAGGCCCACACTTTGGTGCATCTCAGCAGAAGAGTGAGGCACAGACCGAGTGTGCAGGTAATCCGGACCTCCATAACTCTACACTCTGACCCGAGTCTGAAGGAGCAAAGTGCGACTACTGCGTGTGCGTGAGTGCGCCTCCGTGTAGTGGCGCGCTCCTCCCACCAGCGCCCTCTCGTTTGCAGCTGCAGCACCTCAGCATCACGTAGGCCTGGTGTATTCTCCTGCACAACCCAAATACACTCATCCTTGTCCTGTTAAGCAAATCCATGGTTTTCAACATTTCATCTGAGAAATTTACGGAGCCTCCTACTCATCCTCTGAACTATAACGGATTCAACTGACCATAGCCACTTTTCTTGACTTTAGGTGATACTAATAATCTAAATGTAATATTTAACCGTGCACTATCCAGTTTTGGCCTTATGTCCATCAGGTCCATTTTATCAATAGAAATATGATTGTTTTGCCTTGAAAAAGAATACAATTTGACAATCTCCTTGGAGACACGTCAAAGCAAGTGCTTACTCTAAGCAATACTCTATTGGAATAGATTAAACAAACAATGGATATATGTCTACAGGACCAATCCTGAAACCACCAATTTCATGAGACCCTGCTTAGTGAATTCATTTTTTCAAATTGTCCATTTAAGTACCCGTGTAATAAGTTTGATCTTTACTAACCATAGAAACACAATTCTTGTCTTGAGTCTAATGATGAGTTATAGCCTAATATATTAAGAGTTAGCAGCGTAGAACATGTTGTGTGATTAAAAGAGAGCATAAGTCAAATGACAAATCCAGAGAAGTCTTAAGACATTCCAGTAAACACTGACCCATAGCTTCACACCACAACACTGTGGCTTTGTTACACACAGAGACATGTAGGGAGAGAGAACTGCCCACTACTGTATAAAAGGCACAATTAATGGCTGGACTTGGAAAAGGCCAGTGCAAGAATGTGCTCTCTGCAGGTCTCTTATTCCATGCATGGTTTATAAATAAACTCAATCAAGCATCTTTTGGCTTTAGGAGTAATACGTCTATAAGATCAAGAGAGTGTTCCTCCGCCATAAGATCTTTGTTTCCCTAAAGGTCAAAAACAAAGGACTCGTTTGTGGGAGCATATGTCACATGTCCCAAAACAGGGTAAGGGTGAGGAATCCCTCTGTCACTGATTCTCCTTAAGATTGCAGTTTTTGTCCACTGTTGTATCCTGCAGATACAGGAGGGTCTCAGGACACAGGACAATTAACATCCTTTATTGACATTGGTTAACCTGCTATATGAACCAAGTACTTTTTAGGTGTTTGGTAAAACCTTCTAAGCATTCATTCATTCATTTTCTACCCCTTTATTAGTCCATTTCTGGGTGGGCACCAGTCCCTCACTGATCCTCTGGCAGGTGGTGGTTCCACAGGAAGATGGCTGCTACATCAGTGGTGCCACAGCCTTGCTGTTTCAGTGGGAGCTTCAGGGAATGTGAGGTTAAGTGTCTTGCCCAAGGACACAACGACAGCCGACATTGCCAACAAAGCAGATTTTATTTAATATTGACCTAACTCTACTCTAGCCTTGGGTATAGACATTAGAAAACTCAAATACAGTCAATTATCTCTAAGTCACAAACTATTGTAGTATTAAAACTAGGAGATCCTTTATTTGTACAACAGTGGGGAAATTTCAGTGTTGCAAACACAAGTTATAGAACAGTAGGAAAAAGGAGCACACGGCACAAGTTAAGTGAACAATAATTCATTAATTAACACTAATTAGTAAAACAAAAGCGACAGACTGAATGTTTTTAATTCTTGATAAATAAACAAGTGAGTAGCTGTGGATGGGTTCATTAAAAACATTGATTGAGTGTTCATAGTCAAGAGTTTGAACCACTCCCTGTGAAATGTTGAATTTGTTATTAAATGAATTAAAGGCACATAAAGTGCATTGGCTCATTGCATGTAGCCGGAGGTGCAGAGTGAAAGTGCCTGGACCTGCCCCACCACAGCCCAGTGATCACTCTGAAGCTTCACCTGAGGCGTGTGCAGTGGCGGAGGCGTGTGCAGTGACGTCAGTGTGCGTCTGTACAAACACACAGCCTCTGGGCCACACTCTCATGCACTGATTTCACAAGACTCAACACTTTTACAACAGTCCCTTCAGCTTGTGGCTTTTATTCACAAGCACTGCTCATTCTGATTCACATTTAGTGATGAGAGTTAATTCAATTTGTAAAAGGATATGGCAGTCTGTCTTGTTCATTAAAATCTTTAGTTTTTTTTTCATCTAATTTCACAATTTGATGCATTTCATAAGTATAATAATTATAAGTATATGTTAACAGCAGATATTTCTTTTCTTCGTTTTTGCAATTAACAAAAAATTTGCTCACTTAAATGATAAAACTAAAGGGCCTATCTTTATGGTCAATGCCATTCTTAATTATACATTATTCCATAGGGCTTGTCCATATTTGATCTTATTTAGCACTTGACAAGAGCACTGAGACTGCTCTTGTCAAGGTTACAAACGATATCCGGCTGAACACTGACGCAGGCAAAGTCTCAATCTTAATCTTGTTAGATCTGAGTGCTGCCTTTGACACCGTCGACCATGAGATCCTCTTACAGAGATTAGAGGACTGGGTTGGAGTCGCTGGCACCACCCTAAAGGGTTTAGGTCTTACCTTGAAGACAGGAAGTACTTTGTGGAGATTGGAGACTGTGTCTCAGATCATATGGCCCTGACCTGTGGAGTACCACAGGAGTCGATCCTGGGACCTCTTCTGTTCAATCTCTACATGCTGCCGTTAGGTCAGTTAATACGCAGAAACAAAGTGTCCTATCACAACTATGCAGACGACACTCAGATCTATGTCTCACTGACTGCAGGAGAACATGGACCAGTGGACTCACTCCTTCACTGTATCCAACAGATCAGTGAGTGGATGCAAAACAACTTCCTTCAGCTAAACGCAGACAAAACTGAAATGATTGTCTTTGGGCCCCAGAAACAAAGAGAGAGCGTCATCTGTCACCTACAGTCTCTTTCCCTAAAACCTTCAAACAAGGTCAGAAATCTAGGGGTAATACTGGACTCAGACTTAAATTTTAATAGCCACATCAAATCAGTAACATCAGCAGCTTTTTACCATCTAAAAAACATTGCCAGGATCAAAAACATAGTGTCTAAAGCAGACTTGGAGATTCTTATCCATGCATTTGTCTCCAGTAGGTTAGACTACTGCAATGGCCTGCTCACAGGTCTGTCCAAACAGGCTGTAAAACAGCTGCAGTACAATCTAAATGCAGCAGCTCGAGTCCTGACTAGAACCAGGAAGTACGACCACATTAGTCCGGTCCTCAGGTCCCTGCACTGGCTTCCTGTGGCTCAGAGAATAGACTTTAAAACAGCTCTGCTTGTGTACAAATCTCTCCATGGCCTCGCACCAAACTATATTAGTGACATGTTAGTCCCATATGAACCAGCCCGGACTCTGAGGAGCACAGGGACTGGACTCCTGTTAGTGCCCAGAGTCAGAACTAAACATGGGGAGGCTGCTTTTCAGATTCATGCTGCTAAAATCTGGAACAGTCTTCCTGAAGATGTGAGACAGGCCTCCTCTCTGACAATGTTTAAGACAAGGTTGAAAACAGTTCTGTTTAGTTGTGCATACAACTGAGGGATTTTATATTTTTATCTTTTATTTTTTTTTAATGTACTGTGATTATTTATGATTTTAATGCTTTCTTGTTCTGTTCAGCACTTTGAATTGCCTTGTGTATGAATTGTGCTATACAAATAAACTTTCCTTGCCTTGCCTATTTATTGGATTGTCCATTGAGTAATTCATAATTTGAAATAAAGACTACAACAACCTCAAATCCACAAAAATGTAATACCAATCACACACAATGGCAGACCGTAATCAATACGCTCATAAAAAGCTATAATTGATGTATTTTGGTGTCTATCCTTAGGGAATGACCGGCCCCTTCAACAATCCAGCACCTGAATGAGCAGACCCAGCCCACAGTGAAACCGGAGCTTGACGGTCATGTTTGCCTCAGAAGACTGCGGCACAAACTGACAAAAGACATTTGATTTTTACACAGACTAATATAGGTTTGTGCAGACCCACTTTTGATAAAAGGCTCTTCCTTTTCAGGTCATTTCTTCTGGTAACACTTATTGGACATAATTTAGTAAAATCAAGGCGCAGTTTAGTCACGCACATTATTAACTATCAAGTTCCAATACCTCCACACACTCACAACTTCCTGTATCAAGAAAGAAATATTCAACAAAGATTTGAAAGAAAGAATGCTTGTATTAAGGGAGAACTGTATGCAGCATATGAACATTATTTACAAATTATTAGAATTTTATTTCAAAATGAGTGACCTTTATCTGGCTGGACAATATCAGCTCTGTAACAATCATGTGTGAACAAGTGCCTTTGCACATCAAAGACATTCATAAGTGGTGACTTAACAGTGTACGATTCTGAGCAAAAATACAAAGAAACTATTGGAGTTATGTTTAGGGTAATTTCATAAGAACAAATTAAGTAGACCTGTATAACAGGTTTTCCTCTGAAGCAGAGTGAAGTAGAGAGAAATGTAAGTGTGGTAAATAAGTGGTATAGAGTAAAACGAATGGATCCATTTAGAAAGAGACAATGCAGCACACTTTGAATATTTTCAATGTGGCAAAAGAAGGAAACACTTAAAGGCATTCCAAAAGAGAAACTGTGAGGAGGTCAAAAAGGAAAGTTTTCCACCTTGTTAAAAGTCATTAAAAAGGAGACCCTCCCAATCTGGTGACTTGGCTACATTCTTATATCCTGATTGCATTCTAACTCCAAATAGACATGAAATGCTACATTACTGCACTTTCAGCTGAAAAAATGCATTTCTGAATAATGTGCCCTGTGAGAAAGTCACATGGAGTTATGGACAACTTCTGCAATGAAATGTTAATTTAGAATTGTAAGTACTATGAATGACAACCCTTTCCACATGAATCACAGATGAGCTACAACACGTCTGGATTTTGTTTATAACCTTCTAATTTATCCATTTTACACATCACCATAGGAACCAAGAATGTGTGGCAGTCTGCCGTGAGATGGCAGGTAGGTGTGGTATATCGCACTGTTACAGAGGTGGGTGGACAGGACAAAATATTAGCAAGATGTTCCAAATACATATTGTTGTAATTTTTCATTGTTAATTTCAACAAGTTTTCTTTGTTGTAATCTTATATTGTTTTGATTTACACAGAAAGTTTGAAAGAGGGGAGTCTACAAAACCCACATTCTCAAGTACAAATTCTGGGCAGAACACACTAAGCAGAGTTATAAAAACAGTGGGGCAAAGGGCGAGAGGAGGGACAAGTCAGGACGCGTTTAAGAATGAAATAAATGATCCAGTGCCTCTCCTTGCCACTCCCTGCTCCTCCCAAAGTTGAGGCCTCATCTTTACACTCAGAGGTGATCACACTTGTACAAATATTTATCTTATTGTACCACGTATAAGAGTCACTTCCTGAACATGTTCACTTGTCCGCTTACAGAACACGCAGACCGTTGACGCAGACCCACCATAATCTGAGCCGTTGTCTTTATCCCACCCATAAACTGGCACAGATAATTGTATTGGCAGGAAGTGAAAACACAGCCCATACACTGGGAGGAGAGCCAATTCATCTTCATAAACATTAAGTCTGGCACATCATTGCTCTGCCATGCCCACTGTCTCAGAGGTAATAAAACTCATACATTCATTTAGTACCAAGGGACAGAATGGTAAAAATATCATTTACCATATAATGTTGGAAAATAAATTAACAGATGAAAGGTTTGTGAGGTTTGACTGCAATGTCCATTATGGGCTAAAATACATCTGAGGATATAATGAAAAAATATGACTAAAAGTGTCACGGATAATATTATTATTATTATCTGTGAGAAAACCTTTTTTTAATTTAATTTAATTTATGTTTGTGGGTGGAGGGGTTGGAGGGGGAGTTGACATACTTCTGTACAATGCATCATGTTGTTGTTCAAGATTTAAATGTGGTATGTCCGTTATTTGTTATTGGAAAATTAATAAAGAAAAAGTTGGATTAAAAGTGTCAAAGAGTTTGGAAATGGTTAAGTAATTGAAAAAACGCTTCACTTTGAATTATAGCAGTAATGAACTCAAGGATTTTGGGTTGTGTCACAATATTAACCCTTGAGACGCCAAAGTAGCAGAAAAGCAGTTTCTATGCATCCTCTTGTCAAAACAAGCACTTAAACTAAAAACATAAATTAATCTATTAATTAATATAGTTTCAGAGCACATATATTTTTTCTCACCAAACACCCTAAAAAAGGAGTTACTATCTCTTGGTTTAGTATGTGTCAGTAAAAATAACTTTGATGTTGTCTTTGTAATGCTGCCATCTAGTGCTCACTCTGGTAATTGCATAAGAGGGTTAGCGATGTTCAATATATCTATTTTGTTTTTTTCATTTTGAGGATAATTTTAATGTTTTTTTAGACATGAGACATACATTTTCATTTTATTTGCAGGTAAATAAATACATATGCAAATGGGGTTGTCAGACAATAATTGTGGTAATCAATTATAGTATACAAACACCCAGATACTAAAACAGTCAATGAAGTAGTTTACCATCAGGAACTTCAGTTTGATACATCATTATGTATTGTCCTCGTTGGGCAGTTTGGTGAGAATATCCACTCCATCTGCTGTAATCACCACTGTGTGTTCAAACTGAGCAGACCTGGGCACATGACATCACTAATGAGTCCTGCAGTCCGGGACTTGTTTTTGATTCTTAATACAAGTATAATGTACCTTTTGTCATCAGCAGAAATTGCTGTCCATTTGTCATTAAGAATTCTAAACTCTGGTGACCCCTCCATTAGTATGGGCTCTATAGATATATACACACAAAATATGATGTATATGATATTCAAATTTAAATAAGAAGATTCATTACCTGTTCCTCTCATGAAAATGTTATCGTCTTGTCAAGGAAGCTTCACAGACGTAAGCGTATACTTATACTACTTTGATGTATTAAAATCCAGGAGTTATCTATGTTTTAAAGCAAGCACGTTGAGCCAATTTCAACCATTTCCAGACCAAAACAATAACATCTTCATGGAGAAAAAAATGGTTCAGTAATAGAAACATAACAAATACAAATGAAATATGCTGAAAACATACCTATTGTGAAAGTCATTCCTTCATCCATAGTCATGTCATTGTCATTTGCTGAAATTTGTAAATAGAAACAGCAGTGAATACGGTATGTAGATTATCAAAGGCTTCCAAACATCAACACAATGCATAAACTTACCGTGGTGCCAGATCTCAGGGTGACAATGAAAACTAGAGCCAATCCCATGTCCTATAAAGTATGGGCACACCTGGAAGCCAGTGGCATGTGCTATTTTGCTGTGATTAAATATACAAGAGCCCATTTGTCAGAATACAAAGATGTTTGTGTATTTGTCACACGCGTTATAGTACCTAATAGTGTTTCCTATCACACAGAGTGGAGCCCCAGGATGGCAGGCAGCAATTGCCTCGTCTCTGCACCGTCTGGCAGTTTCTACCAACTTTTGTCCAACCTCGTCCACTTGACCAATCAGAAAGGTCTCTGATGTGTCACCATGGTAACCATCAAAATATACCTGTGAAGACCATTTCATTGTGATATAGCAGTAAAAGTGAAAAGGAATACTTTACACACTAATTGTAATTGTTAATAATGTGTTGATGCCTGGTTGTAGAAGAGCATTCCAAAAAGTTGACTAACATTACCAACAAATGAAGAATCAAAGTGTTATGTTATACATTTTAAGATAATTATGAATGCAACATGCTTCATAAATATAAAATAGTGTTCAGGTAATTGCAAAAAAAGAGGAGAACTTACAGTGACGTCAATATTAATAATGTCCCCGTTTTGCAGTTTTCGGCTGAAACGGGAAATACATTAGAAGTAATTAAATATCCATATCTTATGAATTAGAAAAAAAACGCACAAAGATCATATAGTTTTTGGTCTTGAATAATTAATAAAGCAAGAAGAGAAACGTGTGAAATATAAGGTTTCTACCTGTCGGGAATGCCATGGCACACCACATTATTGACAGAGGTGCACACAGACTTGGGGAAGCCTCCGTATCTGAGAGGAGATGGGTAGGCATTGTGTTTGATTGTCTCTTGATGAACAATGTAGTCTATTTCGTCTGTTGTCATGCCAACCTGTAAAATAAAGCTACTATTTGTGGTAGGTTATAGAAGCATAACATTATACACAGGATAAATGAGCTTACCTGCAGTCCCTGTCCAGCCAGCAACAGCACATGTCTGGCTAACTGAGAGGCTTTTGTGAGGCCCTCTATCTGCTGCTGATTCTTTATTTCTATGTAGTTTGGCCATTCTGGGACAACTCCAGTGCCCACGTAGTCAGGGCGCTCTATGTGCTACGGAGTCATCATACTCTCAGTCAAGTACAGTCAACATAATAGAAAACATTTTGGATACATTCAATCAATCATGCAAGTTAATTCTGTGTCAAATCATTATAACCATACACAAGAAATAAAATGGGTACTTTTGGTACTGCGTAGGCTGGTCTGACAGTTTCTGGACGCACTATACAGTAGGGCTGACTTTTCCACTTTTTCCAGAAAAAACATCGAGAGTGTTGGGCCGGAAGGAGTTTTGGGGGACCACAGACCCCAAAATTACACATGCCCCTCAGAAAACCACCAAGTCCTGTAACAATCAAACAACATACAATTCTTGAGCAATTTATGATAGAATTAGAGTTGGTTAATCGGTTTGGTTTATGGACCACAACTTTTAATTGCTTGATTTTCTAGTTTTCTGTTAGCAAATCAACAATTTAGAGAAATTCAAGACATCTGTGATTTTGGGGTGTACATATTTAGGACGTCTGCCCTTTGATGTGTAATAGCCCCCTATTACACACACACACGCACGCACACACACACTTTATTCATCACCAGCATGGTCACATAGCTTCTGTATTGCATAGATTCCTGGTGGAACCTTCTTCAGTATATATGGACAGTACCCGTGATTATATGATTCATAATAGTACCTCTGTAAAGTCCTGCAGAGCAGTGCGCCGCCATGACACAAATCACGTGGTACCAAACCTAATCACGTGGTACCACTGTAGTTTCACTTCTGTTTATTTTATTCCACGGTGCTGCAAATACACTGTATGTTAAAATTCTTGTTTAGGTTGTCATTAAGTATCCATTAATTACTATTAATATTATTATTATAATATTAATTTGATTTACCGGTTAAGGGCTACACTGCATGCGTAAAGTATGTGTTAACCAATTTAAAGGATGCGTAAAAAGCAAATTATCTAGTTACAGCAAAGTAAGGGAACTTCCCACACAGGCTGCTCAAAGCTATGCACACAGAGGGCAGGTAAGAATGGGTCACAGCCTTATCAATGACAACAACCAGGGTTATCTCCCAGTAACACTTTCCCAAGGCCACGTTAGATAAACTCATCCAGGGCTGCAGCAAAAACTATGCCCAGGAAAGAGAAGGGTTTCTAGGGTGGGGGGCTAGGGCTAATCCATGAAATGAGCAGTGGGCGTGCCCCCTGTAAGCAAAAGCTTTTGTTACATCACCAGTGGCTAATCGAGTAGTGGCCCCAGCGACCAACACAGCAGCCGCGTGACCTCAGGAAGTCTAGTGCCCAGAAGAGGACCCTGAGGGGCGAGGGAATCCCACGCATCACTGTATATATTCTTGTTTACCATGTCAGTGGATTAGCCGTGAGGGGAGCGTCGTTTTCCCGTGTGTTTGAGCAGTGCTGTAGTTTGTCACTGAGGACGTACAGAGGAGTACGTGACGTCAAACCAGCATGGCGGTCAAGGTGACTTCGGCATCTCTTTCTCTTCGTCTTTTACTCATGGTTTCTCCTCATTTTGCATAGTTTTGCTCAGTGGGGAGTGCCGTACTTAGACTCTCTGTCATGGATCGTGTGGGTTTTTAGTGTATGTGTTGTAGTCTGAGTGTGTAGCATCATCAGTTCTAATCCCTGGCCTCGGTGAAAGAAGCTGCATATCAAAGTTAGCTCAATGTAGCTAACCGGCTGCTAATGCTGTCCTTAAAGCTTTACTTTCGTGTGGTATTTATTTTGAACAGGTTGCATAGAATCAACCACAGCGGCTTTCCTCTAAATACCCCAGTAAGAGTTTAGATGCATACAAACATATCAACGTTGTCTTTGGCGTGACTGAGATTTCTTACACACAGATGCTACAATGTAAAACCTCCTTTTGATGTCAGATTTCAGCCAACTATCGGTCCAACGTAATCGTTAAGAGTGTACTAATGTTTAGGATCTCTTAAAGAACACATAGATTAACTTTGTGTTTCCACTTCTATTCAATAGTTGTATCATGTTGTGTTTTCAAATTACACACTGTTTTGTAGGTGCAGTCCACTAAACGGGGGGACCCAATCGAGCTCAAAGCAATCTTCCAAAAGGTAATATCAGAAGACATTTTATGTATGTAGCACTTTTCATATAGGTAACTGCAACTATGTGCTTCACAAGGAACCCTGTAAAAAGGCAGTAAAGGTGTAACGCACTGCCTAAGGGTAAGAGTCTGAACCAAGCACAACCAGTCTCTATTTATGATGTAAATAGGAAAATAAAAACAGTCAGAAAACCAGTTTAGGGGATGGAATGTGCCTGATTTGTAAAAGAGTGTCATGGGGTCTAAATTACAAGCTTTGACTTGAGCACACCACTTCTACTGGACTAGGCGGAATTGCAGGTAATACACATAATAACATTTATTATATTTGTTTTTAGAAGGCGATAATTGCAACCTTGCATTGCATTAGAAAAGTTTTAGATAAACAAAACCCAGGCTTTTTGAGCGTAGCGGAGGAAGGCCAAAGGACAGTGTGTGACCAGAATTGTGACTACTGCAGTACTGTCTGTACTTAATATGTGTATAAACAGAGGTCAAGTTGATCACTCTTTTCATTCAGTAATTTCTGCCATGTCACATTCAAGAAGTCTGACACTTGGTAATACTATATAGTGTTCAGTGCAGTGGAAACTGTTTTGCAATGTATGACATTATAACATAAGAGTGATTTATTGTAAAGTATAAATGTTGTAATAATAATAATGATACAAAATAATGTGGCTTTTGTAAATTATCCTATTTGCAAAAGGAAATATCCTACACTACATGCTGTCTTCATCTAATTGTTAGCCTTTAGAAAATTAATGCCTTTGAGAAGGATATAAAACAGTGGTGTGGTCTGCTTTAACTTTCCAACTGAACATTTTTATCTATGGCTGTAATATTACACAAAATATCCATGTGAATACTGGTGTAGGGCCAAATGTTTTGAGAGCTAGTTGTAAAATAATTCCTTCTTTCACAGTTTGAAAATAACTATGTTCTCTATCCCTTAGTATGCCAGTGAGGTGGATAAAGATGGAGAGAAGTTTATGACCCCCGGAGATTTTGTCCAGAAGTATTTAGGATTACATGCGCAGATTCATCACAACCCCAAAACGGTCCAACTTATTGCTGCTGTTGCTGACACTACAAAAGACGGGTATATTTTAAAACACATTATCAAGTTCTCTTTTTATTACTACTTGATGTACATTTATTGGTCCAAATTACTACAGGAGCTTAGATTAGATAACACACAGAAGCCCTTTACAAACATCGCACACTAACAATCACTGGAGGCTGTTCCTACTCTGTGCAGTACATGCATGTGAAGTCTATTATACATGCATGCGCGGGTAATAAACTTTGTGTGATTGGAACCTAATGGAGAAAAGTTAGGGCGATCCAAGTTTATGTTTTTGTCACACAAAAAATGAGGGGAGATGAGATGATTTTAAACAATTGCTGCATTAAGTCTGCGTAACTATCAAAAAAGTAAATTGCTAGCGCAGAAAAAGTTCACTAGGTTACAATTAATCCATGTGGAGTGTTTTAAAAAATTGTGTATTGTCAGCGTGTGGACCTCCTAGATGTGTAAGCAATAGTTCTCAGTGCACAGCAGATTTGTATGTTTATGCAGGTTTGTAAAGGGATTCAATGACTTAAGTTTATAGGTAAAATCTCTTGGTTTTTTTTGTTGAGAAAATGTAATAACCTACTTTTGTCTTCCCCTCTCAACATTGTGGCAGGCTCATCTCTTTCCAGGAGTTTCTCGCTTTTGAGTCGGCATTATGTGCACCGGATGCCCTTTTCATAGTCGCCTTTCAACTGTTTGACAAAAATGGCACTGGAAACATTTCCTTTGGTAATTCACTTTTTAAAAATCTCTTTAAATTTAAGTAATATAACTTTTGTGTATAGCCATGTGAACTTTCTTCCTTTAAACCGATTAGTCTAATGGCTAATACGCTGCACATGCACAGGATTACATAATTGCTTTTTTACATTTGTTTTTACTCTCACTGTGTATCTTATGCCATTACATATTTGGATTACATGTGAAGAAACTACGGCCAGGGTCATAGAGCTGTGAAAGCATTAGTCTTGAGGGTTCAGTGTACACGTGCACACACACACAAAAAAACTTGTTCTCTGTACTGGGCTGTAAAGTATAAATTGTCATTAACAAAAATTACATATTTATGCAGAGAATGTGCGAGACATCTTCAGTCAGACTACAGTGCACCACCACATCCCCTTTAATTGGGACTGTGAATTTATTCGGTTGCACTTTGGCCATGACCGCACAAAATGTCTCAACTACTTGGAGTTCACCCAATTCCTTCAGGTACACCCTGCTTCATACTCTGATGAAAACATTTAAAACAAATCTTTGGAAACTCTACAGCATTTGTAGAATCTATTTTTAAACTGGTATTTGTTCTTAGGAGTTGCAATTGGAGCATGCACGGCAAGCATTTGCCCAAAAGGACAAAGGTAAAAATGGCGCCATCTCTGCAATGGACTTCAGTGACATAATGGCCACTATCCGACACCACATGCTCACACCTTTTGTGGAGGAGAATCTTGTCTCAGTAAGTTCATCGACGTAATATAGGGTTTCATTATACAAACACGGGGCGTTGGACAGATAGCATCTACGGTACAGCTTCGAGCTCTTCGTGAATTGGAATTAGCAAAGTTTCTGCTTCTCTTAAAGAATATGAAGAGCAGCCCCCTTTTCTCATAACGTACATCCTCTTATATCACTTCATAGTTTATCATAGTCTGTCTGTTTAAAATGTCTTGATGTATCCAAAAACATGTACGTATTTGTACAGTGAAAACTGTACGCTGGTCACACATGGTGAAGGTCAGAGGAATCACGAGACTGTGCAGGAGCCTTTCTTTATAAAAAGGCTTAGAATTTTTCTGTCTCCACATTTATGGAATACACATTTTCTATACATATGACAATGTGTAACAACTAGGGTTAATCATGCCTTTATCATAGTTAATTGCATGGTCTCCGGTTTTCCATTACTCTCATATATTTAGACTGGAGGGTTGCTTGACCAACAAGGCATTCACAGCAGCGCTAATACTGTATCGCACCGATTCATAGAATATTTAACGGTCTCACGCTAATGAGAGTGGCATGTTTTTTTGCATACTATGTAATACAGCTAGAATTCAAATGATTTATTATAATATATATTTTAAAGGGTGAAAGCTGCCTCCAATCACATTTTTAATACTATATTTAAATAAATTGGGAAGTCGCGCTCTGCAATCTGATTGACTGATGGCACTCGTAAAAACATTGTATGATTACTCCCATGTGATACATGCTTTTTAATGGTCCACAGTATTTGTTTGACAATATTATTGCTTATCTAGGCTGCGGGCGGTGGAACATCCCATATGGTCAGCTTCTCCTACTTTAATGCGTTCAACTCTCTGCTGAACAACATGGAATTGATCAGAAAAATCTATAGCACAACAGCTGGCACAAGGAAGGATGCTCTAGTAACAAAAGGTACACTAGGCGTCAATTACTAGTAAAACTGTCTGCACTGGTGTATTTTTATTATGATTTCAGTGATAACACAATCATTCACAGTAATTACCATCATTCACTTTCTCTTCAGAGGAATTTGTGCATTCTGCCAATAAGTTTGGACAAATCACTCCAATGGAAATAGACATATTGTACCAGTTATCTGGCTTGCATTCTCCCTCTGGGTAAACTTAAATGTTTGTTGTGATTCATTTGTGACTTGCAAAATCTAAATCACAATCAAACATTTGTCCACACACACTAGACGTCTAAACCTCGCTGACATTGAACGGATTGCCCCACTAGAGGAAGGCAGTCTGCCCTACAACCTTGTTGAGTCTCAAAAACCGGTAAGTGACAAAATGTTACGTTTTTGGTATTTGGTATTAATTCATTTGTTTTGGTTTTGTTTGTTTCTAGGCTCATGGAGATGCTTCAAGGTCTGTGTGGGTTCAAGTTGCCGAGTCGGGCTACAGGTTTTTCCTTGGCTCCATTGCTGGAGGCAAGTTACTCAACACACATGTTGCAACATTGCCTTCTTAATCAGTTTTATTAAAAGTAGACTATTTTTTGCAGCTACGGGAGCAACAGCAGTGTACCCCATTGATTTAGTAAAGACGCGAATGCAAAACCAGAGGTCAACGGGGTCATTTGTTGGAGAGCTGATGTACAAAAACAGCTTTGACTGTGCAAAGAAAGTGCTGCGTTATGAAGGATTCTTTGGCTTCTATAGAGGTATAATCTCAGTTAAATCTTGGTTGGTTTCTTTTAAGCTCTTGTATTTAGACATGTGATTTCCACAGGCCTTGTTCCGCAGCTCATAGGTGTGGCCCCCGAGAAAGCTATCAAACTTACTGTGAGTAATTTTCTGCTGTTAATTACATGGTGTTGACAAACGTGATTTTTAAGAAGCTAGTTTTTCACACAACCCAATATATTTTGTTACTTCATAATATTTATATGTTTACATTTACAAAATGTTTTTTTTTTTTTTTTTAAGAGAAAACTTGCCACGTTTTGTATAAAAACTTTGCATGTTTTTTTTTTGGCAGGTAAATGATTTTGTGAGAGACAAGTTCACAGATAAGGATGACACAATTCCTTTATTTGCTGAGATAATGGCTGGGGCTTGTGTAAGTTGCATCTTACAATTTAATTATTTCGTTTTTCATTGAGTTTTACATTTTGTAAACAACCCCTTCTGTGTGTCAGGCTGGGGGCTCTCAGGTAATCTTTACCAATCCACTGGAGATTGTGAAGATTCGCCTGCAGGTGGCAGGAGAGATCACCACTGGTCCTCGCGTCAGTGCTTTGAATGTGGTTCGAGACCTTGGCTTCTTTGGGCTGTACAAGGTTTGAGAATAATGTAATTTCTTGTGAACTTGGGTGGTTTTTGATATTTTTTTAAGATTTGTTTTCTTTTTGTATTGACAGGGGGCTAAAGCATGTTTCCTGAGAGATATTCCCTTTTCAGCTATCTACTTCCCAGTGTACGCACACACCAAGACCTACATGGCTGATGACCAAGGCCGGCTGGGACCTCTTCAGCTGTTGACATCAGGAGCCATTGCTGGTATAAACTTCAAAACCATCTTGACACTCAATGTTGCAATGTCCACAGTGATTTTAGATGTGTTTTGTGTCTTGTTTCCCAGGTATTCCTGCTGCCTCTCTGGTAACACCTGCCGATGTTATCAAGACTCGCCTTCAGGTGGCAGCGCGGGCTGGACAAACCACCTATAATGGCGTCACAGACTGCTTCCGGAAGATCCTGAAAGAGGAAGGCTTCCGGGCTTTGTGGAAGGGAGCAGGAGGTGAGCTTGTGTGCATTAGCTAAAAGGAAAATGCGGCATATTAACATCCATGTTTCCCATTAGCTCGTATGTGTCGATCCTCACCACAGTTTGGTGTGACACTGGTGACGTATGAGCTCCTGCAGAGGTGGTTTTACGTTGACTTTGGCGGACAGTAAGTAAACAAAATTGCATGTAATTTTTAACTGAAAATCATTTTCTGACAACTCTTTTCTTCCCTGCAGTCGCCCAGCAGGATCTGAGCCGACTCCAAAATCTCGGATTTCAGAGCTCCCTCCCATTAATGCAGATCATGTTGGAGGGTACCGCCTGGCTGCTGCTACATTTGCAGGAGTGGAGAACAAGTTTGGACTACATCTCCCTAAATTTAAGTCTTCTGGTGTTGTCTCTATACATCACCCAGAGTCGACCACTGCCAGTCCGGTTCAGGGACCATAGCTAGTTTAACATTCAGCGTTTTTATTTCCCATACCGAGAGAAGAAGCACTGTAAATGCAGCACAGAAAAAACATAAATTCATGCTGCAGAAGTGGACAATTGGGTTGCAGCTCGGGGTTTTTTCTACAAGAATGAAAACCTCCTTCTCAGATTAGAAAAGTTCCTTTTGTTGGGCAGATACTTGTGTGATTAGGACTTCCTTTATTGGAAACTATATATAAAGTGTATGCTATTTTAGATTGTTTATCATGGTTAGTGGCAATGAGAACCTTTTGGTTCATATGAGTTATAAAGTGCACTCCAGCTGTAATGGCAGCAGTTGATACTGTCAAGAATCACTCTTACTGATGTACAGAACATTGCAAGCTTGTTTTCTTGGGAAAATAATCGAAAGGAAAATTAGCTAATATTAAATTAAATGTATTTCAACTACATTGTATTTTATCGATTAAAATCATGGATTTAATTTTACAAATGCCTCGAGTCACAAATGTTATAAAATGCTTTGCAGAAATGTTGAAATTCCCCTTGCCCTTTTGATTGTAAAACCCCCAGATATTTGTGGACAAAAGTATTGTAGTGTTTATTTGACTGAAAATGAAAATTTTATTTTACACACAATTTCCTTTTTAGGGTTGCAAACCTGTGTACTCTCTAATATAAGAAACAGCAATTCTGCATTATATATTTAAACATAAATTAAAAATTAAATGCAAACACTACAGTAATTTGGAAGGAAGGTATATTATGACAAACAAATAAGTAGCTGGTTAAAATATACAAATGTATGCACATAAGGATATATTTATCAATCCAGGTGCTAAAGTAAAATAGCAGAGGCAATGTTAGTGCTTTTATACCTTCTACATGATGAGTTTTCTCAAGTTAAGGGATCATCTTTACACACACAAACCCTTGATAAATATACCCCATAGTGTAATTTGCACTGTTTAGTGGTATTGAGAAACAAGCCAAGTTAAAACTGCCAGTAATGAATTTGTGTAAGCCCTCAGTCATACAGGGATTAGTCAAAGCAAAGGAAGGTTTCTCACCCATCATCTGTACTTCTTAGCAAGTACAGATGCTTGCTAAGAAGTACAGATGATGGGTGAGAAACCTTCCTTTGCCAGTAACGAAGAAATAAAAAACAAGAATGTACAAGAATAAAAAACAGCTACTGGACAAGAAGTGCTTTGCAAGGACCTTTTGAATTCGGTACAAACGGGGGAAAAAATGGTACAATTCCATTTCAAATTAAACCCTAGACTTCTCAGATTGGTTTTAAATGGAAGCAAAAGCAGAGCATCAGAGTTGGGCCTCTTCAGTCGGGGTGCAGTGTGCTATGGCTGTTGTGACCCAGTAGCATTAGGCATTGGCCAGCTCCTCCGCTTCATCCCTGTTCTCGTTGATTTCTGCCAATGTTCTAACAAACCGTGTCCATTCATCAGCTTTAGGCACACAAATTTGCTGCAAAAATTGATTTTAATATTTAATTTGAGAAATAATTGTTTTACAAAACAACCACAACCAAAACACTTGCTTACCTCGCCAACATCATAAACTTGCACTTTCCCATCAGAATCTCCTGTAGCTATTTCTTTGCCGGTGTGAGCCCATCTCACACGATTAAGAGCAGGGGCCCCCTCTACAGACACACTCGCCGTGGGCACCTGACAAGGACAAGAATGCATTTACACATGCATTTTAGATTCAATCTAGTCCAAAAAAGTGTTGGTGAACATACTTCAGTATCATTGTTTAAATTCCAGAGGTCCAGGCGTCCGGACAAGTCCACACAGGCAAACAAGGCAGGGTGTGTTGGCGACCACATGGCGTCATAGACATAATCACAACTGTCTTCAAAGGAGTACAGGGGACGAGTGCTCTGGGATAAAACAAGTGCATAAAGCCAGTTATAGTGGTGCTACATAGACAAAAGTATTGAAAGTGGCTAGGTGAAGGGCACCTTGGTACTCCACAGTTTCACAGTCCAGTCAAAGGAGGAGGATATGAACAGATGAGAGAAGTCTACAGGCCCAGCAGCACTGTGGCAGCTCAGACCCGTCACAGGACCATGATGTCCTTCAAACACCTCAGTTATGCCTGCCTTACTGTAAATCAAAATCACAGTTATAATATTTGAAACAGTTTGAATGAAATGATAAGTTTTCTGACCTTCCGTGGCGACAGGCGGTGTAGACAGAGCCATCTTCGCTTCCCACCACAAAATTGTTGACATCCCCCAACGGAAAAGCCATAGACGTGACGGCCACAGCTTTGCTCTGTTTGAACACCAGCTCCAAACTGTCCTGTAGCGTATAGCACAAACAACCATGACTCAAACGTTTGGACTGAGTTCTGATGATTCTGATGGTGTGATTGTGGCAACGCCTGAGGCACCTGTGGCTGGGAGAGCATGTCCAGGCTCCAGGAGCACATCTTGCCGTCCGTGGAAATACTTATCAGATTGTTTGCATTCTGTGTCCCCACGACATTCACACAATAGACTGGATGCTGCAGGCGAAAAAGCACATACAAAAAGTGAATGTTGAAAAAACAGCAAAGTAACATAAGTAAGAGATCTTACCGTGTGTGCGGCAGCAGAGAGCGGTGTCCTCTGCACTGGTGTGCGCTTGTTGCTCCGGTTGTCCCATAGCACGATCTGCCCTGAATATGTTCCACCCACTACCAAGTTGGGATGAAACTTGGCAAAACCCGCTGACATGACTTCAGACTTTAAACATAAAATGATTTTTTTTTTTACTTTACATTATGAAAAATAGCTGTTGGTGGAATGTCAAAGAGAAAATAGCTACCTGGCAATGGAAGATGTACTCAGGAGTACCCTTTTTGTACTTCATATTCCAGACCAGAGCCACCCCGTCAGGCTCGTGAGGGGCATCCTCGTTGTTGTTATATGAGGCCACGAGTAGCTCAGGATACTGGACACAGTATTTCAATTGTCAAATAACTGAGTATAAATAAATCATCAAAAGATGTGAAGGCTTTACCTGTGGGGACCAGTCGAGACAAGTGACCACTCTGTTTTTGGTCCATCGCTCATCTGCAAACTCTCTGGTCACCACCAGCTTTGCCCCAGCTTGCAACTCTCTATGCAAAAACACAACAGTAATGTAAATTGTGTCTTTACATGTGCCATCTTAAGTTTTTCTCTCACCCCTCCTTATCGTCCAAATCCCTCCCGCTGTAGTCGAAGCAGACATCCTGCTCAGCTAAAGCTCTCTCTATAATTCTGCTTCCGCGCTCAAAAAACGAAACAAACTCTTCTGAGTGCAAGACCTGCAGCTTCTCCTCCTCAGTCAGCTCTTTGGGTGTGTCTGCAAGCAAGGATCAGAGAAAATCTAATTGCAAAAAGCAATGGCCTAATGCACTGTGTATTAATTATGTCTGTATATTATGTTATTATACCTTCATCTTGGAGGTCTCCTTGATCACCTTTCTCTTCTAGAGCGTCCTCTCCTGGAGGAGGAGCTGTGATCTCCTCTTCTTCATCATCTTCTGAAATGTACAAATACAAATGTTACTAATTTGTATTCATCAATCATAATGCTTGTAGCGGTGGCAGATTGTACCTGCTTTTTGATCCGTATGTGCTTCAGTTGGGGTCTGAGTTTCTTTAGAATAAGACACCAGTTCTTTGGGTGCAAAGTCCACTTGGGTCACTTTGGACAAACCCAGTCTCACTGTTCCACGTCTAAACATGTAATTCAAAATCAATGGGCGAAATAGGAGCCATTAAAATATCATTGACAAAAATGTACAGGTAAAAATGCTGGCACAGAATGAACACAAGAAAACACTTAGACAATACAAAGGTGAATTCACACAAACTGCTTAAAGCTGGAAGACACATCAAAGGAGTGAGAAGGAGCAGTACCGAATCAGCTCAGAATCGGAGTGCAGCTGCAGTGTGGAGGGGTCAGGATCCCAGTGCAAAGTCCTTACACAGCCAAAAAGCCACCAGGTGATATTAGTAAGATATTGTCAACAGAAACAAAACAAGCGGTGCAATAAATGGGAATGGAAGATGGGAGCATTGAACAGAAGACAAAAAAAGAGGACAGAGAGAGAAAGAACGGAATCTATATTAATTGACATCTATGAATCAGGTCAGATCTCTTAAGGTAATATTAGCTATTACACATGTTATAAGCACGTTGCATGCAGATAACTAAAACTTTACTGACCTTGGTCCTGCGTTTCCATCTCCTGAATCTTGGCTTCCTGCGTCGCTACCCACTGATTTGTTGGAGGGGGACATAGGGGCAGGGACTAGGTAGTGAAACAGACATGTATCCTCTGTTACTACCCGCAGGGGCTGAGCTGTTATTGTTGTTGTTTTGATGAAGGAGGAGGGGAGACGTTTGTGTGTTTGTGTGTTGGAGTGTGTGAGTGAACATGCAGTGAGTGGGACGGGACACACAAGGGGAGACAAAGAGGGAAAAAAGAGAGAATGAAAGTAAATGGCAGGCAGGCTTAGGAGTCATGCGATCAAACTGCAAAATGTAAACAAACAAGGGAATAAACATTGTTAATTAGTTAAAGGGAAAACATTGCGAAACAGTAAGGAATGATGGGAGTGAATAAGCAAGTTAACACCATGCAAAGCTGTGTTTTTAGCGTGTGTTTTTAGCGTGTGTTTTACCGTGTGATATATCCGGGGTGATGCCAACACTCTGGAGCAACGCATCAGCCTCTCTCCTTTTCCTCTCAAGATCTGAGTCTTCATGACCAGACCCCTCACTTGCACGCTTTGAATCCACCTGCGTGATATTGATTCAAAAATGAAACTATACAATCATCACTTCATGGAGTAGTCCAATGTTAACAAATACATACATCCTTCTTTTTCTTCTCCTCTTCTTTTCTCTTCTTCTCCTCCCGGATCTGTGCAATTCGTTGTTTCTTTCGCTCAAGTTCAGCCTTTAGCTCACTTTTGTCAGACATTCTGCAAAACGAATGAGACAGTCTACAATATTTCAAATGTAGACTTTGTACGGTGAAAATCAAATAGATTCACTAAACGCCCTGAGCCCTGATCACATTGAGAACATGTGAACACCACCCAGCTGTCTGCAACAATGTCTCCTTTGAGTCATAAGAGGCTGAAACGACAAACAACGTTTGTGTGGATATGAATTACTAATTAATACCAAGTACAATAAAATATTTAATTTGCAAAAATAGATATCTCCATTTAGAACATTTTGATTTGTCACCATTTTCAATTTGATTAAATATGAGCGACATTTTATTTTAATGAAATGTTATCTGGCTTTAGAAAAGAACGGCTTGGCAAAGAGAAACTTGTAAGCCTTTAAAATGTGAATACCTAAAATTCTTCTTTGGAATTCATCAATGGGAGACTACACTTTATTTTAAAAGAAAATCAACTTTACTTTGACAGTCAACTTCATGTTAGTAATTGAATATAGTTTATTCAAGCCAACTTTATCAACGTTCATGGTCATGGGTCATCTGCCCTTTATGAACCAATAGCGCTATGTGTTTTATAAAAAAAAAAAACATTATTATTTATAATTTCTTGTGTTTGAAATGTTGATTCTCTGATCCGTGTTGGCGAATTCAGCGGTTTTGTTAAGTCCTCCGAAATAACTACTGTTGTGATTCAGGGATATACAATTGAACAGTACAATTCTCTGTGATGAGGTTATTACCACAGCGTAACACTGGGCTATGAGCTCACATTGGGTGTAGACAGCTGGGCGGGGGTCTGCAGCAGGGCGCTCTTAGCTTGTCTTGGGAATGCAATAATGGAACAATATAAATGGAATAAGGTAATAGAAAGTAGAGTCCACGCATCAGCCTCTTTTGTCCGGACAGATGCAGTCAGGACATGTCAGCGCTAGCATCTCAGTTAGCGGCTAATCTTCACCAGGCCCATCGCTCCTGCTACAATAAAGCTTAAAGCATCGTCACTAAACATCTTTCTTCTTCACTCTACAGAGTTAAATATCACGTCTAAATCCGTAAAATCGACCATAACACAAATACCTGATGTTAGACGCCAACAAGAGGGGACATATACGGACTTAATCCAGTTTGCGGTGTGCAGGGGAGTGATGTGATGATGCTGGAGGAGACAGCCCTCTTCATCTGCGCATGGACTGCACCACGTCACAAGGGTTTTTACGCCCCCTACAGGCCATTGCCGCGCACGACAGCTATCAAGTTCTCCCGTCCCCAACAACCCCTATAATTTTCTCTTTCTCTGTAATTTTCTAATTTTCTTAATAAATATTTTCTTTTTTCCTGACATATTATTGTCAATAACTATCAAATATATACTATAGTGTGTACTGTGGTGATGATCCAGGACACTTTAACATTAATAATAATAATAATGCATCGTTTTATATAGCGCTTTTCTAGACAGTCAAAGACGCTTTACATGTCATTGTCTTTCACTCCATACATTCTACAACATGTATGGACATTTATCAACATGTGTTCTATATTCTTTTTGTGTTTTAACTGTTGATTCTCTGATCTGTGTTGGGGATTTCAATGGTTTGTTAAGTCCTCTCAGATGACTTCTGTTGTGATTTAGGGCTATACAAGAAGAAATTGTATTGTATTGTATATTTTGTATGATTTGATGATGATCTGTAAAATGTAACTCCCAGGAAGCTGCATAAGTATAACAAAGCAGAACAATTATGAGATTGTGCCTTAAAATAGCACATACTTAAACACTGAAACACTACATTTCTCATTTTTACACACCCTTTCTTTCCAGTGTCTGCGTGTTTTTTTATATTCATGTATATGTATTAGGTTTACACTGTTTTTTTCCCCCAACCTTTTGGGATCGTGTTGCAGTATAATGTAGAAAAAATTGGTTGTATTTCATTCTATATAGCTAAAGAGACATGAATAAAATTGGAAAATGTTTTATTTCTGATTGTGGCAGATATTGTATCTATATTGACACACACATTAAAAACAATTTAAGGTTTGCTGGTGGTTATCACTGTTGTTTAAGCTACTCCTCTGGCTCAGCTGCAGGCATAGCATAGGCAAAGGGGTCATAAAGATCACGTTTGAAATCATACGGATCAAATAACGGGTATGGACTTTTCTCTGCGTCTGGTGGTGGGGGCGCACTGTCCTCTGCTTTCACCTCCTCTTCTTTGACTTTCTCCTCAGCAGGTATGGCAGGAGCCTCTGGAGCCACTGGAGCCTCTGGGGCCTCAGGTGCGATCTTCTCTTCAACAGTTCGTGGGGGGTGGTCAATGAGGCAGTCAGGATCCCAATATGGATCACAGTCATACTCCATTCCTTTGACACCAACAGCAGGAGGTGGCGGTGGAGGTGGTCGGGTGGAGATTTTGGGAGCAGGAGAAGCAGGTTTTTGAGCCGGAGCTGCAACTTTGATCTCCTCCTCAGTCCTAGGACGGCAAGCAGGGTTAGAGCGGGGGTCACAGAGCACGGGGACGGCACCCGTGGGTAGGTATACTATCTGGGGTTTGCACAGAGGGTCTTTGGGGTTGCACAGGTAGATCTTCTGTGCACTGGCTAGAGGGTCCGGAGTGGGGGCTGCTGTAGTGGCCGGTGTAGGGGGCTGGGTGGTTGTGGCGGGGGCTACAGTGGTGGTGAGTAGGCCCATGGAATTCTGGTAACTGGAGGCATCTGGACCATAAGTGAGTTCCAAGTGTCGCATTTGCTGGTACAGCATCCTGAGTTTGTCTATCTCGTAGATCTGAAGAGGAGGTCCCATAAGACCAGAATGAGTGCCATGAAATATGAACATTGATGTGAATGAAATAAGAGCCTTACCCCTTCATGGTGCCCAATGCTGCTATAGAAACGATAGTAGGACTGGAAATTTGGATCAGCACGGTACCATCGAGGATCGACATTCCTCTTGGGGCGTGAATTAGTTAAAAAATCATGTGCTTTAGCAGAACCAATACTAAATGCAGTACCTAACATGAAATCAACATAATACATAAAAACAGACAAATTCAGAATAAATTGTGTGACAAAAATAAACTATATAGATTTCTAAAATTGTATACGATAGTAGAACATACCTGCTGATTTCTTATTTACGATCAGTGGTGTTGCACTCAGAAAAGCTGCACAACAGATGCACGCATAGTTTAAGAATACAATTTATTAAACATCTGTGCCGATCAGACAAAGCAAACAAACCTGGGATCAATAGTAGATATCCTACAGTTCTCATAAAGGACTCCTGAGATCCCATCTCGACCATCTGCATTTACATGTAGGTAATATGTGAACACTTGGTAAGGTACGCATTAATAACTGTAACACTACATAACAAAAATACAAAATTCAATGTTTAGAGATAAAACAAAATAAGAGGAACATTAACTCACCTTGCACACCACCTTTCTTGGTCTAAAGTGGTGTAATGCCCTGAACAGTTCATAAATAGTGCAGTTATCACAGGCTCCTTCCTATTGGTCAATGAACTGAAAGTACAGAGGACTCCTCCCTGGTGCACAGGGAGAAACATGTTCTGGACCGACGTGGACGAGCTCATTAGAGCTGTGAACATGAAATTGCTGTAAAGAAACACATCAAACAAATTTCACTCCTTGTGAAGCAGCAGGGAACACCTCTGTGACAGCGGGCCACTGTTGTATGTGTGACTGGTCCAGCTTCCCATTACGCCTTTGTTTATTATGGAAACATATGATGCAAATTGTAACATTTAAATATTTTTTATAGATAAGAAACACAAGAATATCATCAGGACATGGAATAGTAATGCTACAGTTGACACACTTGACTAAACATGTTTGGAAACTGAGAATTAGCTGCCTCTCTCAAAACAGCTGTAAACGTCCTTTAACTAACTCCTGGACACAAAAAAATTGAGGGGAAGACATTGTTAACTACTGTTGGAAGCGCCTAGAAATATGCAGGATTATGGACCAGCTTGTTCAAACAATGCTCGTGCAAAGCCTGGGAACCGCAACTTGAGATGAAAATGTATGATGATTTACAGTTGTCACATGATTCCTTCATCCTTTTGTTTGGACAAGGATATATATATATATATATATATATATATATATATATATATATATATATATATATATATATATATATATATATATATATATATATATATATATATATACAACATACATATATTAACAAAAAGAATAATACAGCCGGAATACCGTGTTTTAATATTTTACAGCTACTTTAAAGACAAACAATGTAGATTTATGGGTCCTGTATATCAAGTCAAATTCTGTCGTTTAAAGCGACAGGTAAGTCTTCCATCAAAGACTACAAGCAGGAGACAAGGAGTCTGCAGTCCCCAGCCAGGTGGCTAATGATCAACATGAACTGTAATTGGTCTTTCAACATGACGAAAATACATGGTTAAGAATATCTTTCAACAGGTTTAGAGAGGAAAAACATGTTGGGGTGAAATAGGCCATGTCATTTTATAGGTTTTGTCAGTAAATTTAATATAATAAAACCTAGAACCATGCTTGTCACACCAGTGGTATGTTTGCAAGATTTATCTGATGCAAATAGATGATAAATCTGGGAACATAGGGTCTAATTTTTGAAAGCACATAAAACCTTGAAATTAAGAAACATAGAGCTGAGCGACCATAAACTTTGCATATAAATCAATCTTAAAGTTTTAGTAAAGTTTTAGGTTTAGAGAAGTGCTTGTGGTACATTTGGTGTTGGTCCCATAGACTGTGGTACACGCTGCTCAGTAGCCACAGCTGCCTGGAGGGTGCTATCAACCCCTGTATCAACCTGAATACAAACATTACCACCTGAGACATGCTTTATTATAGTGTATAATGTGACGAATTAATAGCTTGTTACGGTAAATATTGAATATTTCCCCTGACATTTGGATACTGTCATTTTTGCCTCTCGTTCTAACAACGGAGAATCACAGAACAGTGCCACGTTATTACAGCTTATACACGTAAACAATATAGTCTTTTTTATTATCATTCTATAAACTGATTTTGCCTTTCTGAAGAATTCTTTCTGATCTAGCTTTGGTTTACTTTGCGTGACGCAAAACTGTATCATACATTGTTTTACTCACAACATCAAAATCCTGAAGCTTGTTTCATGGGTTCCGGAAAGCAGTGTTGTTTCGTGACTTTGTAGAAGCAGGGGGTTATTATAATAGATCCATGGAAGGACCACAGACAAAACTCCGCAGCTAACGACAGGGGGCAGTAAAATTGTGTCTGATAGTGCACATTCTGCTAGAATATACTTAGAAGAAGCTGTTGTAGTCCTGCGCGTGCGCAAACAGGATGGCTCGTGCGTACTTGAGTCTGTCGCATTGTAGTCATAGATCTGTCATGTTGATATTCTTTTGTTTTTCATTTAGTTTGAAGATCCGATAAAAAGATAATTGAAAAGACATTCAAACAAATTGGAGAACAAAAGGATATTCTTACGGCTGCCAAGCTAACTAGGTTGAGTCGGCCAACACAAAATACAAGTTAACAACTCTCAGCTAGTTAGCTATTAGCTCATAGCTAGCTGCTTTAGCCTCCTTTGCTGACAGTAGGCTAAAGTGAAGCCGCCCACTTTCTGCAAAGCAGCATTCCGGGTAAAGGTGAACGGTAAGAAGTCTCCAAATAGATGCATGGATGTATTAAGTTATTTATTTATGACTTTGTACAAATTTTACTATCAATATCAACCTTCTTAAAGACAAGTCTCTACGTTTTGTGAGGTTTGAGCTCTTGTGCGCGAATAGTGCACAGTAGAGTTAATCTGTCACACCAACACCACTGTCAGCTGTTTTCAGTTTCTGGTTTAATACAAGCTTCAGTTCAAGTATAGCATGCACAAATTCACACATGAATGATTCGATCCTAAAGAATTTGCCTAATGTAACGTAAAATGTTCTGTTGCAGGAAGTTGGGAACATTTTGTTAAGACAGAAGTATGACGCTGCTCTAGACATAAAACTCTTCTGAATAACTTCACGGATTAATATAATCGAATGTGACAGACATACACGTTGGACAAACAGAATACGTGTAATAATGTCCCTAGTATGGTTTGATCTTTAATGACGTGCTTCGTGTAAGTGTGTCAGTCCTGCTTCAGAGTACAACAGCTGTACACTGAAGCAAGGGCAGGCAGGAGGGGCTGCATGAGGAGCCCTGTTGGTTGGATCAGGTAGCTGTCACCAGCAGGACCGTCCACTACGCCCTGTATACAGGCACTCCTTTACGGGCCTGCCAGCAGCAATTACAGTATAATAGCTCTGTTCGAGCACATTGTAACCACACTATGTCTGGAGATTTGAGTGGTGTAGTGTAATTCACCCTTGGATGTTGGGCCCGTCTGAAATGTGTTGGTGACTGGCAACAGGATACATAATTAGAATGTTCTGCATCAATCCTTGTCAATAATTTTGATAATGGATTATTCAAGCAATTATTCTTTAAATTAATCGTTTAGCTGTTAAGAATGCTTCTCACTCAACATCATTATTATTTCATGTTTATACATTATTTTGTCCATGATGTCTTTTACCTAGATGGAGGCTGAAGGCTCCAGTGGACTGTTACTATCCAGAAAAAGAAGAAGAGACGGCTCCAATGGAGAGGCAGAAGAGAGTGAAAGGCTTGGGAAAATTCCGAGATTCACTGTGGTGAGTCAGCTGTAAAAACTGCATGCTCAATTGAGTGTGTTTACAATATTGTTTGCAGTATTTTTGACTACATGAAATAATGAAGTTTGAATAACCCAGGATTTTCAAACACACAAATAAGGAAATACATTTTTTGGATGCATGAATGAATGTATGAATCTATTATTTTAATTTCTTGTTTCATTTCTTATTTGGGGTTCTGAATAGCGGCCTCGTTTCCATCACCAACAGGTGTGGCGTGAATTATTTCATAAATAGTGACTTCAGTGTAGTGCATTTTAGAGTAGCCACTATTACTATTAATAATACCAAATATTACTGGACAGAAAGCAGTACACACCAAAGTGAAACTGATAAATTGTTATTCTTTTCTATTGTGTTTCTTCTTAGGGTTTAAAACACCCTGCTCCCTTTGCTGATGAGCTGGTTCCAGCTAACAAAAAACCATATGCCAGAGTGACTATGGAGGAAGCTAAGAGAGGAACGCCTCGTGAGTCACCCCCAGTTCAGAACACCATTGAAGTATTATTTATTTACATTCCTTCTGTTTGTGCAGCTGAAAGACCAGTGCGAGTCTATGCAGACGGGATCTTTGACGTGTTTCATTCAGGTCATGCCAGAGCACTTATGCAGGCCAAATGTCTTTTCCCCAACACTCACCTTATTGTTGGAGGTATATGTTCAGACTGTATTGATGTTAAATGAGTTTAAAACAAGAGATTATTATTGTTTTGTTTGAAGTTTGCAGTGATGACCTCACCCACAAATATAAGGGCTTTACAGTCATGAATGAGGATGAGCGCTATGATGCTATCAGACACTGTCGATATGTGGATGAGGTTGTCAGGAATGCTCCATGGACACTTACGCCGGAGTTCCTGGCCAAACACAGAGTGAGATTCCTATTTAATGTATGTTACTCAGACCAAATATTATTAATATTTTGTCTTTTCAGATTGACTTTGTGGCTCATGACGATATTCCCTACTCCTCAGCCGGCAGCGATGACGTTTACAAGCATATTAAAGAAGCCGGTGAGAGTCTTGAAACAAATTGCATTACTATTGAACTAAATGTTTGAACCTTACAATGTATACATTATTTCTGTTTGTTGACCCAGGTATGTTTGCTCCCACCCAACGCACTGAAGGCATCTCTACGTCAGACATTATCACCCGCATTGTACGCGATTACGACGTGTACGTGAGAAGAAATTTACAACGTGGTTATACTGCAAAAGAACTCAATGTTAGCTTCATCAATGTGAGTAAACGGCAAACTGTAATTTGAATGACGTCTGTAAATATGTCACTAAATGAGCGTCGCTGGTGTGCCGTTTATAGGAGAAAAAGTACCACTTGCAGGAGCGGGTGGACAAGGTAAAAAGGAAAGTGCGAGACGTGGAGGAGAAGAGCAAAGAGTTTGTGCAAAAAGTGGAAGAAAAGAGCATTGACCTCATCCAGAAGTGGGAGGAAAAGTCCAGAGAGTTTATTGGCAACTTCCTGCAAATGTTTGGCCCTGAAGGAGCCCTGGTGAGACCAATTTCCTTTCCATTCATTTCAACATTACACCTTCCTTTCATGTTGAAATAGGAAATTCTGCATCTAAATGAGTTTCTATTAAGGATGTCAAGATTAAAAGCTTAATTAATAATCATAATTATTCAGGTGATATTATTTTTCAGTTTGTACTGAAACTACCACTACTTACTTTAAAACTCAAATATCTGTACTTTCTACTCCTCACCTTTTTTTAAATGACTTTTTACTAAAATGACATAAAAACAGGTTATCCATGCTTTAAGTTCAAATAGTGGTTCCACACATTGTTACAGAATTATAGTCTGTTAGTATGAAAAATGTCTACATTGGTTTCACAGGCAATGTTCAACATTTTTCAAGTAAATATGTTGTTGGGTAATTATTTGTTAACAAAAATGATTTTACTTTTACCAGTTTTTTTTTTTTTTAATAGTATCTATACATTTACCTAAAAGTACTTAAAAACTAGTACTCTTGCCACTTTTGGTCTGTATATGAAAGCTGCTTGTGTGGTCATTTGTAGAAACACATGTTGAAGGAGGGCAAAGGGAGAATGCTGCAGGCCATCAGTCCGAGACAGAGCCCCAGCAGCAGTCCGACCCGGGAAGAGCGCTCCCCGTCTCCAACCTTCCGCCTGCCTTTCTTCAGCAAGACGTCGCCCCCTCCCTCTCCCCGCCCCCACCACAGTGGAGCCCGCGGTTACCTCATCAGTGAAGATGACGAGGAGGAGGTTGAAGACGATGAAGATGAAAACTAGATTTATGAATTGTACTCGGGTCTATTAAGTTTAGTTTCCTGTACATGACGCTCCTGCTTACTCATCTCCCTATATTCTTCCATTTACATTGTTACAAAGATCAGAAGACTTGCTTAGGATTTAAGTTTTGAAATGTATTAGTTTATTCAGTCTTTACTGTTTTAGTCAGTATTGTTTATGGTCCTCACTGTTGCACACTTTTTGTTTTAGCAGTGCGCAAGCACTCGGTTTAAAAGCACACATTTGGTGAGGTGTAGGAGAGCATCTTTGTTTGAGCAGGTTTTAGTCTCTCTTGAGTTGGGTCAGGTGCATTCACTAAGCATTTAATCAACTTTCCTTTACTCACAATTTTAGAAACAGAAAACAGATGATATGAGTGGCAGTATTCAGTTGAATCTGAATGTTTAAGTGTTACATGTTTGCGTGTGTTTGTCTGCGTGTATCTGTTGGCATGTTTTTAAATGTCTTCTGTCAATGTTTGACAGATCAACTTTTACAAATGTAGTAGCTTGAGAATATTTGTTCCTGCTGAAGAACTAAGATGTATGGAATGGCTTGAGCTGTCTCAGTGGCATCTCATAACTGTGAACTATGTAAATGCAGAGATATTTTTGTAGAGTTCATCTTTCCTCAGCATTATCTGGTTATGATCAGCACTGAAGATTACTTTTGATATTTTGATCAGGCTATTTTTGTCTGTAGAAATGGTCAATTGATCACACAGCCATGAGTTTAATTGAAAAAAGCTAGATGAACAAAGTATTTTAAAACAAACCTTGATTATAGCATTTTATGAACACTTGGAGTGGAGCAGGCAATTGAATTTAAGGAGCTCTGCTATATTTAAATTCAAAACACTAAGGAAGTTATGCAATTATGGACCTATGTCTTAGATTACCCCAGGCTGGTTTTCTAAAGACATTTAACCTTTAATAAATACTGAGCTACAGAATTGCACCAACAATCACTGCCTCTGGTTTAAAGCTTATTTTAACACCCATAACAATGTGTGCTGAAAACCTGCCTGGCTTGCCATCTAATTCAGTAAATGTCAGATTTAAAAATGGTTTCAGGTAGACTGAAGGCATTTGTTATAATCATGTGTTAAATTCCTGGACAATGCAAATTAAACATCTTTGCCAAATACTTCATGTTCAGTGTTTTTCTTGACCAGTGTAAACCTTAAATCATCTTTCGTTACAGCCTGAACTGCAAAATCTTTTCTGAAGTCACATTAAAACCCACAATGAGTTTGGTTATAGTCAGATTTTATTTGACAGAACAGAGCGACAAACGGGCACGACAGTGAAGAGGCAAACACCAGGGGGAGACATTCCCTTGGTGGAGCACAGCCTCAGTGCCAAACTTCCCTTTGTGGCTCTTTCTACAAGCAGAAGCTCAAAGCCAGAGTTACAAAGATGGGGACAGATTGAGGCATCGGCCACTTTAAAGCTTACAACAAACAGCACAAGACAGACCTCATCTGTCGGGAATGTTCTACATGTCATCTCTGACCCAGACCAATGCTGGAAAACTTTAAAATGCCATCTTCTACAGTACAAAACATTAGCCATTTTAAGCACACGCTTCTTAGGAAACACATAGCCTTGTGTTGATAAGTTGCTAGTAGAGAGACTAGGTTGACCAGTTCCAAATGACATGTCAAACTTGATAACAATACAGCAACAGACAAAGCAATTTGATTTCTAGGGTCAGCTATATTGACAAAGGAATAATTTGTCTAAAAGGTATCAGGAGATAGATACAAACACTAAGTGACACATTTATGCACCTCCATATTCTGCCTCCTGGCATTCCTGCATCACGTGTCTCGTTCTTTCACACCATTTTTACAGGTTTACTTATCACTACAAGTTATACAATTACAATGGTTCACATTTTGCATATATCTGTGCATTTTTACCATATTTACTTTTTTTTTTAAACAATGTAATATGAATGTCCAACAACTAGATAAGATGTGAGGGTGGGGTGGGGTGAATGAGACAGGTTCTAGAGATTGTAGAGGGGTCGAGACAGTGAAGAGAAAAAATAACAAGAGATGAGACAAAGTGGTCAGTTTGCTGCCGAGCAGTGATAATCCTAGCAGCGAGTTTCGTAGATGCCCGAGCGGCCGATGTAGCGCACCCATTTGATGACGTCATGGTCACTGTAGTTGAGTTTGGACTCAAACACCTTCAAGTAACGCACCTTCAGCCCAGAGGGAGCAAAAGGAACCTGCACAGGAGGGACACAGGAGTAAGAGGAATTAGGTTGGTCACAATTTCAAATGGATTGTGCAGTTATGGCAATAGCCGTCAAAACAGATGCTTTCTGTCTTTTGCACAACCTGAGTGATCCTATTTATACCACAAGTGACATTTAAATTTCCCCATTGTGAGATCAATAATAGCTACTCCTAGGCAAATTCATTATTTTTGTATACATTCTTTTCAGAATACAGAATGAAGTTACCTCAAAGTTCATAGAGATTGGAGGTCGAGCCCATTTCTTCTTATCGTTGGTTGGCAGCAGCTCAATCTCAGCGCTGATCTGAGACTCCTTCATCCCAGCCATGCGTTTGATCCTAAAAACACAAATGAGCTTTTAGGTATGATGGCATACATTTGTGTCCAAAGAAATGGTGTTGTGTTCAATAGTTTTAATTTAAAACAGCCAGTTTGAATAGAATGTTGTCATAATTGTGATACTTACTTCCAGACAATAGCGTTCTCACTGGCCTTGTACTTGGCTTTTCCCTTCATACATATCACCTGCACGCCACTGGTATTGAGTGGTGTTGGGATACGCACCTGGAATAAGAGGGAAATTTATTTGATCACGTTTTTAATAAAACAATTGAGTTTGAGGAGACTTGGTCAGTGGAGTTTACCTCAATTTTCTGAGCCAGCAATGAGGGCTTAAAGTTAGACTTGATGACAACTTTTACTTCCAATTTGGTGCGGCCAACCTCTCGAACCAGGGGGATGACGCGGAAGGGCAGGATGATGTCTTTTGTGGTTCGGTACCTAGAATAGTAGAATTATTTAAAAAAATAGGTTTATCAAGATTACTTTAGTTTATAAAAATCATGTTTTTGACAAACCTCATGAGCTCATATTCTCCATCAGGGGGGATGAAGCTGATGCTGCGTTCAGAGTCGAACTTACTGAGGCGCACGCACTGGTGGAAGGTGCAGTCGTCGATGGCTATGGACTGCTTCCCACTAGAGAAGACAAGACAAATAAAACTAGACTTCAAAAACAATATTCAACAATGACTGTAATCTACTTTATATTCATGTAAAATACAACAAAACAGATGTCACACACACATATACAAGCACCAAGACACTACAAACCCTACTACAGGTTAATGGCTAAAGTCTGGAATAACCAAAGTCACAATCTCTGTTACACGTTTTGGGTAGGGATGTCATGATATCAAAATGACAAGGATTATAAATATCCTTAAAAATTAATTAAAGAGCAACTAAACGCCAAATTAACTTTTTTCAACTCATAAACTCCATAAATATGTTTCTTGTAGTGCTCTCTACATATCCTGGTCATTTTTTTGACATTTTAGTTCAAATTAGATAAAATATCACTTTTGAGCCAAAAAACGTCTGTGTGGCGCCCTCTCAACCTTTTTGGTGGTACTACATTTTAATTTGGTCCTGGCCTCTCCATTGACTCTGAAGTTCTCTATGACATCAGTTGTTTTGTGTGAGGTCAGTCTGTCAGAGCCAGTGATGTGAACCCATTCAACTCTCACACACGCCCCAGCTGCAGTTTGGAGTATTCTGGCGCCATCTAGTGGATTAAAATTAAATTACATGAGTGATTCTGAGATTATTGAGTGTGATTAGGTTCAGGTGTGTAGCTTTACAATTATCTTAGTGTGTAAACAAGGGTGGAATGAGACTTTCTGGTGTGTAAACTATTGCTTTAAGCAGCAATGACAACTGTCTGTTTTTTTTGTGTGACAAGTGAGCTGTCAATCACAGCCCAGACCACGCCCAACTCTAAGCCCCCCTCTAAACTCTAAGGCTGGGCACAGGTGTTTAGTCGCTCTAAAGAGCGACTAAACACCTGTGCCCAGCCTTACTCCTCCCACATGAAGATTTGAAAATTTTCTCTAAAAAAGGGCGTTGCCTGGAGCAGTGTTTTTCAACCTTTTTTGAGCCAAGGCACACTTTTTTCACTGAAAAAATCTTGCGGCACACCTCCAGGAGAAAATGTAAAAATGTATACTGTACATACTCTGTGTGATATATAAAGTATATCTTATCTTATAATGTATACAGTATACTCTGTAGCCTATATTCACAATATACAGTTATTCTCATCAAAATGCTTAAGTCCAGGCCTTGACATTAAGCTTTAGTTAACATTTCTCGATACAATTAACAAGAGTTTGGTAATACAGTGGCACTAACTGTGTGGAAAAAAACTAAGAAAATCCACTCTCTGCCCAAATAGTCAAATAATAACTCACACAAAGAACATGCATTGTTAGTGCATGGGAAAAATTTAGGTATCCGAGCTTTAAATTCAGGAGTTTTGGATGAGGGACACGGGAGGTCCTGAACGCGAGTCCATGGTTCTGTCCGGTCCGCATGTCTGTGGTTCTGTCCACTCGACTATGGTCTGCGCTCGGTACCCAGTTCAGAAGTGCGTTCGCGAGAGCTGTTGTACAAAAATTTTACATTTCATAGTTAAACCACTACAACGCGGCCACAGCTGCCCCGGGGCAGAACGGAGGATGTTAATCCTGTTCAGAAACGGCATAATTCATTTTCAAAAACGTCTCTATCACTTTCACTTCTCACTCGCCACAAAGTTCTTGTCTCGCTCCCTCCCACATTTGTTGGTCGCATCCAATTTTACCTTTCTCGCCAAAATGCTGACCTGTTACAGCCAGTGGTCGCATCCAATTTTTCAGTTTCAAAGTACTTAGCTATCTGCTGCCATCTACTGATTTGAAAAAGTATTACATGGTTACTCCACAGTTCAAAACAAGTCACCGCTCGTCAACAGCGAATGCAGTTATTTTTAGACAAAGTAGACGAATTTCTCACGGCACACCAGATAATATCATACGGCACACTAGTGTGCCGCGGCACAGTGGTTGAAAAACACTGGCCTGGAGGACCAAGGGACAAGGGGGGCTTAGAGTTGGGCGTGGTATGGGCTGTGATTGACAGCTCACTTGTCACACAAAAAAAAAAGACAGTTGTCATTGCTGCTTAAAGCAATAGTTTACAGACCAGAAAGTCTCATTCCACCCTTGTTTACACACTAAGATAATTGTAAAGCTACACACCTGAACCTAATCACACTCAACAATCTCAGAATGACTCATGTAATTTAATTTTAATCCACTAGATGGCGCCAGAATACTCCAAACTGCAGCTGGGGCGTGTGAGAGAGTTGAATGGGTTCACATCACTGGCTCTGACAGACTGACGTCACACAAAACAACTGATGTCATAGAGAACTTCAGAGTCAATGGAGAGGCCAGAACCAAATTCAAATGTAGTACCACCAAAAAGGTTGAGAGGGCACCACACAGCGTGTTTTGGCTCAAAAGTGATATTTTATCTAATTTGAACTAAAATGTCAAAAAAATGACCAGGATATGTAGACAGCACTACAATAAACATATTTATGCAGTTTATGAGTTAAAAAAAAAGTTGATTTGGTGTTTAGTCGCTCTTTAAGTAATCCATTTGTTTTAAAGCTGGGGTACTTGCCTTTAATAAACAATGCATTTAACTGGGTATAGTTTTGTGAGCAAATCAAGAACACAACAGTCTTCATCAAGCATATATTAAAAACTATTTGACATTTTAGGTTGAGCAAGAGTGGTCCTCACTTTGCCGGATGTGACGGAGATAAAAAAAATAATGAAAATACATGCATGTGAAAACTAGTGGAGATGGAACCAAATAGTGTGAGGAACTAGTTGGATAGATTTTATAACATTGTTCCATTTTATGTGGTTTGAAAAATTAGGTACCCCATCTTTAATATGTGACTAATTTGATGAAAACACGCCCTAATGTGGCAGAAACACGGTAAAATGCAATTTAGATTAGATTGTATTTAAAAATATTGTTCTTAAAACGCAACACTAGAATAATGCAGGCATAATGTGATTATTAAATTAATCTTGACATCCCTAATATGGGGAATGGATTAAAAGATCAGGCAGGTAGGTGTGGGGTTGTCAACAATTCAGCCATAAAAGAAACTGAGCACAAAGAGTTGAGTCAATCCGGTTGAATTGAGTGTGTTGAATGTGAGGAATTAAAAGTGCAGTGTTCAGGCTGGAGCAATGTTTCGGTTTGATGTGCCACAGACAGAAAAGAGTGCGTTTGTGTTTAAGGGTGGGCAAAGGGCCAGGACACTTTGATACAGTACCTTCCTCCCCCTAAATCACTGAGGTACCGCACATAGAAAAGAGAAGGGAAGAGAAGAAAGGAGAGATGCATCCAAACAGAAAAGAAAATTAAAAAACGAAAGACAAGCAAAGTTTCCCTAGATGAGAGTAGTAAAGCACAACAAAGACTGGACATAAGCGCTCGTGTTGCATTTGTCCTACCTTTTCCCTGCGTCATCAGTACCGCCACCCTTGCCTTGCTTGTCAATGACAATCTTATCGTTCATCCCGAATTTGCACTCCGGCATCCCGCTCAGGTAGCTCTTCATCACTACTCTGCCCGACACATGAGCACTCAAGACTTGACCTAAATAGAATACAACTTTAATTTAGTATTACAGTTTCCAATTTTAAAAGCAATTGAGGTAGCAATGATTCTGCGCTCTTCAGACCTTGAGGGGACATGAGCAGATTAACGCTCTCCAGCACATCCAGGAAAAGCTCATTGCGGCGATACTTGATGCCTTCGCGTCGCCAGCCAATCTGCCCCGTTACCTGGCTGGTGATCTGAGACTGCTCCTCTTTTGTCTGAGAAGGGAGCAGAGAAACTTTAGAGTCAAATACAAAAGGCCCCGATGACACAGGGACCAAGCTCATGTCAGGGGGTGAAACAGTGGGGCAAGCATACCTGATGCTGAGGAATCACACGACCCAGGGCACACACAAAAAAAAAAGAAGAAAAAAAAAACTCAGCATTAGGGATATTTTAGAATGTGCTTGAAAAGTAACTTTTTTGGGTAAATGAACATAAATAAAATGTCCTTTCAGCTGGTGTCATACCTGTCCCTTTATGCCCTGCTGGGTAATAAAGGTCTTCAGCGCTCCGGTTTCAGAGTTCTGGGGGTAGCCAAAGTCCAATATTTCTGTGGGAAAAAAAAAAAAAAAACAAACATTAGACAGGATTTACTGTTTGTTAGGTCAAAACTAGGGAAAGAAGATGTGTGAAAAATCACAACTGCCCACCAACTACAGTGTGCTGAAAGGTTCAAACCACTAGACCCAATGCACATTTACTACCAAGTGTATTCACACTAGTCAGACATCCTTTTGCTGTAGCCTGGGCTCTCTCACGCCGAAGTTCTTACCATCCAGAAGCTCATAGATGAGCACAAAGTTGTTCTTGATGTTCTCCTCGCTGATTTTGCCAAAGTAGGCAGTCATCACGTCACACATCTTGTAGAGGAACTCAAACACCATGGCAGCGTTGACATTTTGCTTCGTGACAGCTGCCAACCAGATGTTGGAGCGCTTGACGTGGAAGAAGCTTGTACGGGCAATGTTGGTCACTGGGGATCGGACCTGCTGCCTGGCATGGATCACGTTCACACGGAACGCATCCACTGCATTACGTCTGTGGATGGAAAGGTTTACATCAGAATGTACCATGACTGAATGAGTGCGTTTACCGGAAAACTTTATTTGGAAACAAAAAGAAAAAATGTTGATCATCGAGTCATTTATAGCAATAAAATATTACTTTACAATTACCAGGGATAGACAGTCACTCCCAGAAAATAAAACCACTGAAATATATCACTCAAACAATGTTCTTTATTTGTGCAACAGATGGCAGATTTTGGGGCTGTGCTTGTCCCATAAACCAGGTTTAACAGTGTCAAGGAGGGGGGAGAAGATCCCAGCTTAACATGGATTTGTAAATGACAGTGTTTAAGAGTTGTGAAAGCAGATGTCATCACAAGAGAAAACAAACCTAACTTGGGAAAGGCCTATGGGAAAGTCTGATAACATGACACTGCTGAGTCCTTTCCTGTGTCTGTCAGTAATTTTAAACTCAGAAGAAAAATGTTGCCCTAAGGGGCAAAAACCTCATGCTCATATGCCATGCTCAACACCAAACAGCAGAGCGGTGGGCATCAGTGCCGTCTGCAGGCTGCTGGCTGTGACTGAAGAAATCATTTGCAGATACAGCTCCCTACTGTGTTTTAGAGTTCATGTTCTTGAATATTGTCATGATAGGTGATTCATGCTCACAGGACATCACTGTGGAGGTCAACAACATGCAGTTCAGGGCTGGGGTGGGCTGACCGTTCAATTCATGAGAGGGAGGGCTCATGCTAGACAGGTTGGATCATCTCTTACCTATTCCTACAAAGGCCAAGATGGACAGATGATGTAAAATGGTGGTACAGAGAGGAAAACAGGATGAAGTAAAAGGAAAGACAAAAATGCACAATACATTTTCGTGCATGTAGACAGTGAGGACCATGACGGGGATAAAGTCTGTTTACAGATTACCTCTCCACTGTGTGAGTGTCATATTACTACAAAATGATGCAGATTTAGAAATAACAAAACCCAATCACAGTTCTGCAAACAAATCAAGGACATAGGTCTGTCAAAATAGAAATCACAATGGATATGCATGAATGACAAGGAACAGAACTGATGGCAGTTGTTGGACATCAACAGTATTTTCCCCAAACAAGTCCTGAGTGACAAATCCATATTAATTCCATAAATCAACCTCTAAACTGAGTCTTTAGGTCCTGAATTCATTTACTGAAAACCATGATAACTTTATACATTCCACAAATTGTATTACAATAACAATAAGCATAAGTGCACATATGTGAACACAAGCGCAGGAAGGGGGATATGGGGTTTAATATATCCACAGCCTTAGTGTCATACAAACCTGTCAGACAAACGTAGTCACATTTAAGCAGTCTCCTCCTGTGCGATAAATTATTAACAATTATGTTAACCAATATTAATCCAAGACTATTTTGCTGCAAAAATCCCAATTTGCAGAGCAACATAGGGTTTCTGATTTTATTTGTTGGTGCATCCCAAAAATCTGTAGGTCAGTAGTTTGGATAACTTGTCCACAAGAACAGTCTTAAAAAAAAAAATTCCAACATAGAACAAGATTCACTGCACATTTTCTAGACATGTTCTGCTATAATATGAATCAGTCCAGTGTGATGCAAATTGTTTTCCCATTTAATCAAAAAATGACACAATAGTTTAGGATTGCAGAGCATACAAAAGTTATTTCTGGTCTTTCATTCCCATATCACAATTTGTATAAGCACAAAACATAAAAAGTGATTGGATTATCTAGTGTTTATTGAAGAGGGTACATTTTTCCGTATCTAAAAATAAATTATATCAAATTTGATACATTTCTTTCCTCTATCCAAAGGCAAAATTGTCAATTGCGGACCTAAAAAGGAAAAAAAACATCTGCTGCAAAAGTGTGATACTTGTGCCACATACCCAATGTCATCTCTGTAGACTCGAGAGATGAGGACCTCCCCCTTGTGGTTGTAGATAAACAGTCCTCCAATCATTGTGCGGCTGTTTCTCAGACCGAAGTGGCCATGGTCAATCCAAACCCTGCCTGAGGAGATAGAACATGGGTAAGAGATAGCAGGAAGGATACTGATAAAAGAGGAGAGTGTCACAGAGGGGACAGGGGCAGCTTTGTCACTCACTCCCCCTTTAAAAATCCTCTGCCCCAATGAAACCATCCGACCAGGCAGCCTGAAGATGCCTGCAGCTGGCCTTCATGGGAAAGTGACCCATTTAGTGCAAGTGCATATTAAGATGATTCCAATTCGAAAGACTCAATGAAATAGCCAACTACTCAATTAAGGGGCAGGGTGCAGTTCCAAAGACATGAAGTGACAAGTTGCCCTAAGGTTAACATTATTTATCATTTTCATTCTTGAACCGCAAGTAAATGTACACCAGTGGTACCAACTGTACGTCGAATTGAGTAGAATGACAAATACCACTGTGTGACCCAGTTTTCGTGCTAATCAAATACTCAGTGGATCAAGTCCCTCAATCCAAGGACATGATAATGAGAGTATACATTTCTGATCCAAATGTTGTGACGGTGGCAGTAAAGAAGGCGCCACCACGATACACACAACTCTGAGCATTACTTGTAGGAGCGGGATTATCATCCTTCATTGGCCGAAGTCAAGATGTCTGCACCCGCTAAGGCCATTCCCAGATGAACACATAAAATAAATATTTGAGTGAATAAAACACTTGACTGATGACATGCGTCTTTTTATTGTAAGTATAACTAAAAGGTTAAATCAATGATGGAGACATGACCTTCAGCTAAGATCAAAGCGAGTGAGAAATACCGAGCTAAAGGAAGCTGGCTAATTTAGCTTTAGCATAGCGGCCAGTGAAGCGCGCAGAGTAACGGGGAATGCCTCCACCTTTGCAAATAAAAGCATGAACATATTAAAATAAATATGGAGAGTGCCTTTGAAACACGACCAGCGTAAATGTACACATACTTAAATTCACATATATACTTATTTCAAGAAGATGCATATCACATACGATGCTTACGCGGTGTACTTTGGACTAAATGCTTGCCTTTTTTCGTCGATCCACGTCGCACCGCTGTGAGCTTGATCCTATTTAACGGAAGCTAATGCGGCTATGGCTAACTGCCCAGGATGAGACTATTTACACTGCCTCAAACTGCAAACGATGAAAAAGAGCCTCTGCAGCGAAGAACTCGCCCTACGACACCTCCGACCCGACAGCTCCGGTCTTCCTTTGGTCGTGGATAGTCTGTGGTCGAGATCGGTGAGCTTTGGTGCCGTCTCCTCAGCTCCTCCGATGATCGCGTCAGCTGACCGCGTCGTGCGTTTTTACGTCTTTACGCACAAGCTTCAGTGACAGGAAAAGGCGCGGCCGCAGCTCAGGCTACACCGCACCCACTATCTATAATAATAACACCCACTATAACCTTACCCTGCATGCGATAGGCTACACTTGCAAGTCAGTTATTGTAAAGTTATTTAATACAAATAATAATAATGTGACCTCCTAGGATTCAGTGGTTCTGTTTATGCTGTGATTCTGACCCCTTGGTATTCAATCTATGGTTCAGACACGTAATTGCACGTATTTATAACATAAAACTATATTTCCTATTTAAGTTGATAGAGGACAGCGATATATTTTAACTTCCTTGGACATATATAAATAATAAATGGTCCAGGACTCATCCCCATACACATCTAGGCAACCCTTCCCATCAGTTCAGAGTTCATTGAGGGTTGCATTTCGTCCATCCTTTTTGGACAGTCAGTAATTGAACTTTAAATACAAATATGGCCCCAGGTAACATTAGAATTCTGGGCACACAAAATAAACACAAACAACAATTTAAGTCATAAAACTATATTTATAAATAAAAAGACATTTTGCTTGATAGTTGTGTGAAATCTTAAGGAGCTTGTTCATGATACCAGAAGATAGAAGCAGAAAATGCTCTAAATTCCAGGTGACCACTTGTAATGTAAAAATTACTTTTCAAGCTCAAAGTTCATATAAAAAGAGCAATGAAACTATTTTGCAGGGCTACATTTTTAAAAAGAACAAAGCAATTGTATTGGTACAGTAAACGTGACTGATATTCTCTTATTACAACATAGACATTTCCATTTCTTTTGCTCATGGACCAAGCAAACCCATGACCAGTCAGAATAGGTTAACTTAGTCTTTATACTTGGTTATTTTGGAAGATCAGTATGTGGGATAGAGCGATACAGGGGTTGCTATGTCTCTGTTCAGTCATGGGCAGGTTTGGAGGACGATTGGCAATGTTACATACAAAAACAAATACACGCAATTAGCAGAAGAATAAAGACATCCAAATAGACAGCCGAGTCATCTCCTCCAGCTGTCTGATTCTACCAACTCCTGTCCTCGCACCAGGGAGCTGAAACTGAGGAAGGTGCTTTGGTTCCATCTTGAGGGAAATTCTTCACTGAAGAAAGTATGGCAATGGTGAGGGAAGGTATAAAAGGAAAATACAAAAGCGTGCACCCTGCCCTCCCATATGCTAAAGAAAAACGCACATTTTGAGCAAAAAAACAAAAAACAAACTTATTCAGATCACATGACATCTACAAAAAATTCTCCAGCGTTGCCAACTGCCATTCGGAGGGACTGCCGTGAAGCCGTGAGCTCAGGAGGCACAGAGGACAGCTCTCTGCCCTGTGGTGCACCTGGGGCAGACATGGAAAGCTGTTGGGGCTGTGGGGGAAGACCAGGGGGGCCATAGACCAGGCTAGGCCCCTGGGCTTTTGAGTGAGAGTTTGCACTACGGTGTGACGCAGAGCTCCGGACACTGCGCTCACTGGGTGGCGCCACTGAGCGCTCACTTGGAGCTCGACTCCTGACTTCAGTCTCACTGCCACTGCCACCAGATTTACGACCATCGTTTTTGCTGCAGTTCGAACTGCTGCTCCCTATAGTAAAAACAAAGATAATTTTATTTATTCATGCAAGAACAACATTAGGTTTTCATCGCCATTGATCAAATGTATCAAAAACTAAACTTTACATTAACTCATCACAGCATATTATTTATGCACATATGAAAACAATTATATATTTTAGGGAACTGAAGAGCCAGTCATCTGTAGTTGTAAGTAAATACTGCATCTCAGATGACGACAAAATAATGTAATGTCATCAACATACAGATATTCTCCTCTGCTGCATTTAATTACAATATTTTAATGCGTTTTGAAAAAAAAAAGTCTGATAAACCAAAATCCATCGCAAATGTGGCAAGCTATTTTTTGACCACTGTGAGTGAGAAATACGGTTAGACTGGTGCGAATACTTTGACAGGAGTAAAGCATGATTCATGGCTTTGGGATGCACTACAGTACAATAGGCAATTGATTTAAAATGAAAATGTTTCTTACCACTGTGATGACTTCCCACACTGCCACCGCCAGGCCCAGGGAGGGGCTGTTGAAGCTCATAGGGATGGGGAAGAGGAAACTGGTAAGGCATGGGCCACGGGGCTGCTCCAGGATGGGGCAGAGGTGGAACAGTGTCCTGGTCTGATGCCCCACTGGAACCATCATTGTCATGGAGAGTCAGGTGAGTCATGTCTAGAATTTTGAATATGACAATGAATGTTTTTTGCAAATAATAAAAGACATACACTTGTATCCAATGATTGATTAGGTCTTACTGCCACAAAGGTCTCCAAAAATGTAGTAGCATTGTTCAGAGAAGGTGATCTTGTTGACAGTGTGTCTAATATAACCAGCCTTTAGAAGGTTGCTGGCATATTTCCGTGCTTCTCGTCTGTCTGAAAAACCCTCTACATGATGGAAGAGCCAGTCCACAACATCAGAGCCTTGATGGGAAAGAAATCACATAGACAAATCATGTCAAGTAACTCCACTTACATGACGTTGTTTAATCAAAGCTACTGAACATACCAATGAATGCATTTGCAATCGTAATCTTAAGCCACATCCTATCCCGCACCTCCAGACCAGACTCTGGGCAGGCCATGGCCTTAGCAACAGTTCCCATATCACTATGAATGGAGAGGTGGAAGTCATCAAACCCTGGTAGAAATCAAACAGATTTTAAAATCAGGTTTAAAAATCAATCATTCCAAACATATTTTGGTCAGTTCTTAATAACAGAATGATTGTAAAACAAACGCCACCATCTCACTGTAATTACATGGAATCATATTCGATTTATAGTAGATCGGACAAGGATTATTGATAAAAAAATTAAAAATTAAAAATTCTCCACAAGAGAGGTTTATTCACTCACAGAAAAAAACTATGATATGGATACAAACGGAAGTCGGGCACTACAGATATGGGACAAAACTGTAACCTGTGAAATGTATTTGTATCTTTTTTAGGGTTGTTAAAAACAAGTAACATTTTTAAACAGTGAAAAGTATGAGCGTGGGTGAGGATAGGGGGTAGGTATTCAGACATGTTCAAAGCACTTTGGGCAATACTACCTTGTCCAGCTTTTTATTAAAGACTTGAATCATTACCTACATTAAATAATGGTGAAGGCTATCACATGGTTTTGAGGTTTACAGTCAACCTAAAAGTGTTCTGTGTGTCTTCTTACGTTCAGTCTCGGGGATGGAGCTGCTAATAGAAGAGCTGGTGGACGTGACTGTGCTCATGGAAGGGCTCATTCCATACGGAGGATACACTCCAGTCATAGCTGCAGTGTGGGATACCCAGGCAGCAGGGTCAATTGGCCGAATGGGCTCACCTAAAAACACGGTTTTCATGTGGTTGTGGTTAAACATCTCAAATGATATAAATAAATAATAAATATAAATATTTTGATTCATAGAAAGTGGTTACTTACTCCTAGGGAGCGCAAAGCAGCTGCGGGGGTTTGGGTCCCAACATTTGGCCACAGTCAGCGTAATAGGACTAGTAAAAATAAATGATTACATACACACTACTAAACAAAAATCTCCTCGTGATCTGGATTAGTTTACAGCCATTCTTAATTTGCGCACAATGGAATCAACCATTCACTTTAAAAAGGTATATCACATTGTGTAAGTTACCCAGGCTTGTGCACTATGTCTCTCAGTACACGCACTGCATCATCGTTGCTCATGTTCTCAAAGTTGATATCATTCACCTAAAGGACAAAAAACAGTTTAACTTTTATTTCTGTGGTTGCTATTACATTGTACATTTACACACTCACTTTATGACTGCTAAGAGTAGCTATGACGCCAGACAGTGTTGTGCATGCCATTTTTACAAGCTTCAAGTCAATAAAACACAACAGACCTTGCCAAGCTTGTTTTCAAAATTGTACTTTTTAAACAAACAGCGCACACAGAAAGTGGCAAAAAACCTCTTCAGAATACAGATTATTGAAGTCAAAACAATGAATTTATTGCATTTGACCGTTTTTTTCTCAGAATCGGATTTACATCAACATCCACTAAATTTGGACCTAAAAATGTCCAGTTTGGCTTACAGGATACACACACACAATATGAATACCTAAACAATTAAAAATATAAATCGAATGCTTTTTAAATACAATAAATTTTTCTAAATGTTTATAAAATGAGGCCTCAGTTCCTTAGTTATAAATGGTCACAAAATGTCCAACAGCGTGGCTCACACACCTGCAGCAGCATGTCTCCAGGCTCGATGCGTCCGTCTGCAGCTACGGCCCCTCCCTTCATGATGGAGCCAATGTAGATACCACCATCTCCACGCTCATTACTCTGTCCCACGATACTGATGCCCAAGAAGTTGTATTTCTCTGTGGAGGAGGGATGTTTTAACATGGCATGAATAAAATGTGTAAGCTGTTGAATTGAGAAGGACTCAAAACTCCTTGTGCATCTTAGCACACCTGACAAGCTGATTAGAGGAGCTATAAGACAAAAGCTTATGTATGCAACTATGGTTCAACAAATTAATTAGAACTGGCTATCTGAGATTTACTTCAGACTCAATGTCTTGTCTAGACTTTTTATGAATGTTATAATTCAATTGATAACAGCGTCAGACTTCATGGAAAGTGAAACTCCTATTTATGGTGATAATAATAATAACAATTAAAGCCGCAAGCGGTGATGAAAGGCCTCGCCCCTCTTGCGACCGCCTCCAGGGCGCCAGTCCCACAAGTGTCACGCAGACGAATTGGCAGCCCGATCTGACCAGGATTACATATATAAAAGCTCATTTATATGATAAAGTGCGTCCCTAGTGGTCACCTCCGGGACATGCACCCTCTACGTAGAGTAGTATTTTGCTCGTACAGACGTAAAGATTTGATTTTGCAACTTTGGTGAAGATCGGAAAAGTTTAGGTCAGAAGCCTTACATAGGTGGCGCTGTAGAATCATATTAGGTGTGTGTTTTCACACCATTACTCTCAGGCCATTACCAACTGTTAGTGATGTGAGTTTCAGCTCTGTAGGTCTGAGCCTGTGGTCAGGAGAGCATCAAACATGGAGAAATTCCCCACTACCTCGCATGAAAACGATAACAAAATTCTAACTTTTATGCGATGATTACATAACTTCAATCCGTCCAGATGGATAAATGACATGGTAGAAGTCTGTGCGATGAAAATCCAGGGACTAGTACGAAGCCAAAAATGCGACACCTTGAACTGCCTGTAGGTGGCGCTGTTGCACTCACAGTTGTGTGTTGCATATCGTTGTGTTCAGGGTCATACGTTGTATTTCTGAATTCATTTTTAGCCTCATCGGACAAACATTTTGCCCTAAAAAGCTCATTTATTCACTTTCCAGCGCCCCCAGTGGTCAGGTGTAGGACTTACAACTTTTGCGTAATGTAGTGTTTTGCTCGTGTCGGTCCAGAGAATACACTCAGCGATTTTCGGGCCGATCCGAGCACTAGTGCCCTATTACTTTCCGACAGGTGGCGCTAAAGAGCTCAAATTGGGCGAATGATTTTAGTGTCATTGCGTTCAGGCCATAACCTAATATTACTGATGTGAGTCTCAGCTCGGTAGGTCTGAGCCTGTGGCCCTCAGGGCTCAGCGAAAATGGCCAAAACGAAGGCCTTATTCGCCATGGCGAGGGACGAAAACGGTGAAGATTTTCTAACTTTTTTTCGATGATTATATAACTTCAATCCGTCCAGAGCGGGAAATGACGTGGTAGAACTCTGTGTGATGAAAAACCAGGGACTAGTTCGAATTTATAAATGAAAAGTCAAATTAGTGGCAAAACTTCGGCCCCTCATGGCCGACTTCCTGTTGGTCCCAGACATGTGCTTAGAACGGCTTTTATGCTCGTCTCATAGAGATCTATCACTCAGCCGAATTTCGTGTACCTACTCCAAAATTTGAAAAAAAATCCCCAGAGGGTCAAAAAAAATGAAATTTCTAGGGGGCGTTATAGAGTCGGCGAGCGTCGGACAATCTGGAAACGTTCATTTTATCAAATGTTTCGCCGAACCGGTCGTTTTAGACCCCCCATGTGCAGACTTTCGTGCATGTCTTCAGGGTCAAAAATCGAATTGAAGTTGCGGAAAAAAAATAAGTATTATAATATGAAACCGGTGAATAACAATAGGCCTCCCCAATACTTCGTATTGGCTCGGCCTAATAATAATACAGAATATATTTCTGGATACTGGGACATAATGTAAGTATACGGTCTTGACCAAAAATTTAGGACTTGAAGAACTCTAGAACTTGAAAGGCAAAAACATTTGGTTTGAGTATTATTAAGACTTTACAACAAGTCATTATCAGTGATATATAAGTATAAAGTGCCTCTCCAAAGCCACATACCCATGTTGAGGGTGACAGTGATGATGTTCAGGGACATAGTGGAGTCAGTGATGCTGCTGAATGAAGACGACTGTTGGGAACAAAAAAAATAACACCAATAGTTTAAGATCGATCCATAACTGAGATGTCCTGTGTGTGAGCCTTTACCCTGTCCATATTGGAGGCCTTTGGTTTCCTCCTGCGGCGCCGGTGACGTCTCATCAACCGAGAGGAGCTCTGCTCAGTGGAGCTACTAAACCTATGAAAAAAGCATAACAGATGCTGCTATAAATACTTATTCTGTCTGTCTCATCTCACTTTTTTCCCACTAGGTTTTTAGTTGCTGATCCTTGCCGATGCAGGGGTGTGTAAGGACAGTGATGATTGGAAACATTTAAGGACCATTAACTGTTTTTGGACAAGAACATTCCAAAACATCATAATCTCCTGTGTTTGTTATTATAGTATTTCTTGCGGGATGTAACTCTGAAATCTGCGACAAATCTGTTCATCTGCAAGTGAAGTACAGTTACAGTGGACTTATGAAAAGATCTTGACACCTGGTGTTATAACCACAATAAAATACGCTAGCCTAGATCTGTAAGGACTGTATACTACTGTTAACTAAATAAATAGAACATAAGACTCTTTGTGACGGAGCGCCATTGTTGGAAAACGTTTATTCTCAGGTCTGAAATGACTACGTAACTGCGAAAGCTGAACACTGCCATTTAAATTGAGGTGGCATCACCTCTGGGCAAGAAATGGCCATCATTTGACATGTTTTGAGTGTTGTATGGTGTATTATCCAAATTATTATCATACATGTGCTTAGGTTGGAGAGCGAAATATGGGACCTTTAAAGACAAAGTAAGTAATCTTTCTTTATATTGCGCATTTTTTGAAGACCAAGGTCACCCAAAGCGCTTTATAATGTTCAGAGTTCAGATGTTGTTCCATTCTCTCCACACAGTGAGGATGGAAGCGAGACGGCGAACACTCTGGTGCATCAAAGCCTCCAACCAACACCATCCATTCACTCACTCACTTATTACATTCATACCTATTGTACATGTTTTTAAACACTGATGAGTAAATGTACTTTTGGAAATAATAATAGTGAGGTTAGCTCATTGAACTATAAACCCTCCAAAAACCTCCTGGATGAAGCGGAGAGACTGGGTAGACTGAAATCAAAACCCCTCTGGAAACCATGGGAGAAGACCTAAACCTGCCTAAATACTGTGGCTCTAAGCAGAGGTAATCGTGGGTGACTGACCTGCTGGTGGCATCATCATCCTCTGAATCAAAACAGGAAGTGGACTCCAGCTCACTGCTCATAAAGGATGAACAGCTGTCGTAGCCTGGTCCACCGCGTGCCATTGCTCTGTGAGAACAGCCATTCTGCCTCCCACCTGCACCAGAGAAAAGATTATAAGTATCTATAGAGGAATCTAAACATGACATTTAGTAAAGAAAACTGACTATGTTCGTTGGCATGTTTTCGCCTTGGCTTCTCCTTCTCCCTTCGTTGTGAGATCATAGATCCAGTCTCTGCGTCGTTGTCCTGACTGTCCCGACCACTGACCACTTTCCCACTGCAGAGGGCAAACATTACAGAATGCAAACTTACAAGGGCATTTGTCATGTTTCATTTTTAAAACATCCTGTATAAAATGTACAGAATACATCATTTTTTTGTCCCAAGACCTTTCCTTTTGCTAGTAGTTTTTTTTTTTGCCTGACCATATACATTCTAAGCCTGGTTCATACTGCCACATGCAAATTGTACGGATGCCTTGGTTTGAATACCTTGGCATTTGAAAACAGATGCAAGTCTGGACATTACATGTAACTAGTCGTGTCTTTTAGATAATCTATAGATAAATACTGGTTTGCTGAATTTGCTTGGTTACCTTTTACGCCACTTGTGTATTGTGAGAGTTTATTCTAAGCACATAAAATCCGACTGGAGTAATAAAGTAATAAATGTTCATATCTATAACATCCTGAACATAAACAGATTTTACATTTTGCAGATACTCACTGGTATGAAGGTGGCCTGGAGTCACCGATGCCCCCTGTCCTCTCCAGAGGAAGTGCTCCCTCTGTACTGTCAGCCACAGACCCTACATCTGTGAGGGCGCCATCTCCAGACACGAGCTGTCAACAAAACAAGCAATGCAAAGTTACTAACTACTATTAAATGTAACTGCCTTGCATCCTCTGGAATCTTTTCAATTTTCAATACTTAAGTGTAAATTAAATTAAGTTTACAGCAGCTTCATTAAAAAAAACATGCTCAAGGCTCAGGTGGTAGGGAGGAGACAAGAGGGTCAAAAATGTTTGCATATATGAAATCGTTATTGTTCTGGACTGTGGCCATTTAATTATGTATTATTTTGTCCGAAGATGGATGAAAAGTTTCCAGTTAGGCTTGTGTGTTCTAGAAATGAAATGCGTATAATCATATCACAAATGTGACTTTATAGCAAATTTATATTTGAAACTTTAACTTAATGTAAACCGCATACTTACTGTGCTCTTAAAATAATTATTCAATACACAGCCATACCAAGTGTGAACAAATACAAGAAAATGAAAGTCCAAATCCAAATGTATGTGTACTGGTGTTTTCTATTAGGCTTCTCCAGCTTTTCAGGAAAGCACCAAATCCATTCTCTGTGGGGTTTAGTTCTTGACATACTTGGCCACAATGACCAGGTTTTCACCTACAATAGGAGAAAGGCTGGCAAAAAGTAAGGACATATATCCTCAGCTTCTAAAGCCAAGCAGTCGTTTGGAGTCATAACAATGTTTGAAAACTGCTGTGAAATACACAATCTATAGCCTTATTCACAAAACTGTAGGCTTGTGTGTACATTATCTTAAAAAGAAGACCTCCAATTAGTTCAAGCAAGCTGGTGAGTCTTAATATCTGGGGCTGTATATAAGTTCTACCGGACATTGACTGGCCAAGCACAGCTCCAGAGTTCACACAAATGCTCTTTTTAGTGCATTTAGTTATTTAGAGTTGTAAACCGACTGCTTTGCATTGTATTAAAGTGTAATTTTTTCAGTGCAATCCCTTGAATACATACAATATTTGCAGAAATGTGAAGGGTGTAGTCACATGGGACATTATGTACACACAACCCCAGAGAGCCATTGGTTATTTGAAACAACAGATGAAACACAAAGGCCAACACATGCACTCGCTCACAGAAATAATACGGTACATGGAACATTTTATCCCGCTCTTTACACATGTTCTGCCCTCTCATGGATCAGGGATTATACTCATCTCATCTCAAAAATCCAAGAGTGGATTATCAACAATATAGATATTCCAACCCACTGAATGATTATAGAAAAGTCAAGTAAAAGTCAGAATTTAATTATCCAAAAGGCATCAGTGTTTCACATTAAGGCACAGAAAGCCCTCTATTCTGTCTACTTTCTCAATCCAAGAGATTTAATCTTGAGCGATATGAAGTGTGACTCTTTGTTTCAGGGCGTTTTCCGAATGTCCTGTGATTTCAATTGTTTTAATTTAATTTTCACTATACACCAGAAAGGAAGGGTGGAACCAAAGACTGAATTTGCAAAACCTCTAAGTTTAACATAGGAGGGTTAGTTTGTTGTATTTTGAAATTACAATTGTGAAAGATCACCACCATACTTATAAAAGTTCTAACACGCTTGAATCAACACACACGTACAAACACTTGTTAACTAAAGCAAATAGTAAAGAATCAAGAATGTATTAAAAACTTACCCATGACACAACACGGCCATTAACACAGGGCAGCCTTGCGTTGTCGTCGGAAATTTCTTCCTTAACTACCCTGTTAATAGAACCAAGCTTTGTTTCAGTCAACCTTTAACAACACAAAGCACTCAGGGTGCCATAAACCACAGAGCTACATATAAAGCTTTGGGGACAGGCAATGGTGGGACATGGGAAACACTGGGACAAACAATGCTGCTCAAAGTAATAGAAACATTTTAGGACAGTTCATAGTACCTGGTATTTTGTGCCAAGAATGGTGCATACTGTGATTGTCTAAGATAAAAGTAAGAGGGTAAAAGATCCATATCTGAAATCTTGCCATAAGATATTTACAGGTGGTCCCTTTCTCATGACAGATTGAAAATATGAAGTATGTTTTCACCAACTGTGAATGTGTTTTATTAATTTAGGTAATAATGAGTATTGTACAAGCTAAATTACTTCCAAGAAGTTGTTTCCAGAGACGTTTGTCTCCAGAAAGACATGCTCATAAAGCTGCCACTGTGATGAACAGGGCAGAGCTGTGTCTGAAACTGCATTCCTCTGAGCACAGACAACTGCAGGGCCTTAACATTCTGACATTAGCTTGTTAGCCGAAGAAGCTACTTTTGAAACGATCATCTCACTTAAATAATGAACATGTGGCATTGTGAAGAGTTTTAGTTTTTTCTCTAAACTGACAACAAACGAAACACTGGTTAAACACAGGGGGTGGGGGACTGCGGTTATACCAAACATGGGCACATAGTACACACAGGACACTCATAACCAGTCACACAGGCAATGTAAACAAACGGGATGGACGCTACACATCTGCTAAGGCTAGCGGCTAACAAAGGGAATGACATACAGCGTTAAGCCACTACGATGGGCAGGTAAAGCGAACATATATCACAGTTAAACTGGACGATCCGGTATCAGAAATAGGATACTTAAAAACACAGATGCTTGGAGGACAACAGTGATAATGACACGGACAGAAAGTTGATCAGTGAATGAGTTACCCGAAGTCATCGTCCATAGATTTGAAGTAAAACTTGTAATTTGGTTTCTTCAAAACATTCTTGAAGTCTGCGAGAGTGACTTTGTCTGCAGGAACCGATACTTTGACCAGATACGGGGTCTCTTGGTCGTCGAGGTGGTAGATAATCTTGGTGTCTCCCATCGCGGATTGCGGCTGTGGTCTTTAGGCAGACAGGGTGCATGAAGCCGAGGGCCTGGCAGGCTCCCTCTCGGGCCCCGACTGCCTAAATGTACCGTGGTCCTGCGGCTCTGTGGTTGTCTGACCAAGCGTTGCGTAGAGCTCCTTCTCTTACCCAGCTCACAGTGGTGAACGGATTTACAGATTTTCAATAAAAATCCGCTTTTCCGCTCTCAAAAGCTCCCATAGTAGTGCCATGTTTAGAAGACCAAAATGAGTCCATGGTATTTGCGTAAATTCTTCCGAAATCGTTGAAAGAAACCCAATCTCTGATGTCGGGCAGTCTGGTTTTCCCTTGCTTCAAAAGTCGACTGGAAGGACTGTGCTCTGAATGGTTACGAGATGACGTATAGCTGCGCCCTCTGTCGCAAAGGAGGCGCACTAGACTTGGATGTGCTTGGACCACAAAAATATGAATTGTGGTAGTTTATCATGATGATCAATGCCGTTTTTATTTTGACTATTCTCAGCAATTCTCAGTATATACATAATTTACCATGTGACAATTTTTAGATAAAGATGTAATAATAAACAGGAACACAGTTTTTCTAATACAAGTTATTATAGATCCATGGTTTGGTGGGCGCATCTTTGATGGTGCTCAGAGGGCCGAAACTGCTTCTCACTTCAGTCAGTCTGCCCCAGGGCACCAGTGACTTCAGCTGTAACTTATCAAGTATGTATGGAGTTATTGAATTAAAGTTACAAGATGCGATATCAGTTTGAAGATACTAGGGAATAGTTGAATTTCATTATGAATCAAAGGCCATCCTTATTATTTCATATCGTATTTACAGGTAGTCACAACTCACAACAGTTTATTGAATAAAGTTAGAGAAATAACTGTTGAAACATTTACAAATGACTGTTAAACATATTGAGGCTGCAATATACAAAAAAGAAAAAGGTGAAATGGACAAAATGTTATGCTGTGAGGCCAGCATCATAATCTTCTAAAATGTGGAGCAATATAATATTTTAAGAACAAATACAAAAATGTGGAGGGATGTTTGGTCACTTCACTTGGTCATCCTTTTATAAATAACATTTCAATCATCCAAGAAGTCGTCATCAAGGTTTACATCAGTGGTGTCAATGTCTTCCAGCTCCAAGTTGTCCAGGTCCACTTCTAGCTCATCCACAACCTTGCCAAATACATGTATTTTAAAAATCAAATAAAGACTATTACTTAAAGTAAAAAAAAAATTGTACCTTTTCGTTTTCAGATTGTGAAAATGTTGGCTCTTCCTCCTTCTCAATTTTCTCCATGAATGGAGCAGATTCAGGCTTTGGCATGACCGCATCCTCAATCACTGCAGGCGACTCTTCAGTATTCTGTGTTTAATGGCAACATTTGCAGACAATGAGACGCAATCTGAATACAAATACTTTTTAAGCAAACTCATTTACCTCCTTTGAAACAGTGACGGTAAATGTTCCTTTTGGTTCATACCCCTGAGCTTCTTCAAGAATATTTCTATCTTCATTTGGCTAAAAATAGTAATAAAAACAATCATATTATAAAAACAGTGATTTAAAACATATCTTATGATGATGATCCCTAAATAATTTTACATTTTCACTTATTTTATGAATTTGTTTACCAAATGTGAAGAGAAAGCACAATAATACAGGAATAAGAAAAACGATTCAGCTCCCTTTTCAACCCAATATACTTCAGAAGTTAACTGCAGCAAAATATATAAACTCATTGAAGGTTTATACTTTTGCAAACCCAACTTTGCCATTTTTTTATTTATATTGATCCTTTTTTTTAAATCTAGTTTTCAATTCACATTTGTCTACCACATTGTGTTGTTGGTCTTTCACAAAATATACACATCGGTCAGTATCTCACAGTGACAAGGGGGTAATCTGTAGCAGGTCTAGAAGTGCCCAAACACGCTTCTCTGAGGTAATATTCCGCAGCAAAGGCTTCTTTAAGTCCAGGAAACAAGTTCTCATATTCTGTTGGGTCGGCCAGAGACTCAGCAGCCTGAAAGCGACAAATGATAATGACAATGTATGGATTCAAAACCCACAGTTTGCTTCTATTTAAGAGACTTTCTAAAGGCTCAAGTCTTAGTGGGAGCTTCTTGATTAAATACATTTGAATTATGAGGAAGAAAGTCTTTGTTTCAATCTGACCTTCTGATTGATTTTAGCCAGGTTCTCTCTCCAGAGCTTGACTACACGAGAAACCTGGCTGGGCAGATAGGTGCGGGCGAGGAAAGCGGCTTCGGGTAGTCTGTTAGTTCTGATCAAAAGCTCCAGACACTGATCCAACCTGAAAAAAAAAGATTGGTATCCATCTTATGACGTCCTAAACATATCAAGTCATATTCACAGTGAGAAACCATAAACTTACTTTCCCTGAAGGAAATAGGTCATGAAGGCAACATTGTTCTTTCCATCCTTCTCAGCTCCTTCAGCCAGCTTCCCCACCATAGTGGCATTCCCAGAGGCAGTAGCAAGTAGCAAAAGACCACCATAGTCCTGAGCATGGTGGAGGCACTCTTGCGCCAAGCCAAACTGGCATTTGCTGATTGCAAGCTCTGCTAACTGCTTCCACTTTTGCTCAGACTAGAAGAAGAATACATATTCACACTTTGAATGTTTTTAAATCAACATCTATTTATAAAGCCAGTTAAAAGTCCCAACGAGAGTTAAAAATTCAACTATCAAGATGTTCAAAGCACAATGGCACAATGTTTCCATCTCACCTCTGCCTCCACAGCCAGTTGATAAGCAATCTTCAGCTCACCAAGCTGCAAAGCCAACTCAAACCTGTGTTCGGGGTCTGTTGAAACAGCCAGTGCCTGTTGCTTGAAACCCTGTAAAAAAAAAAAACAATATAACACACAATTATTCATACAACACAAAAGATATAATAATTAGTGTTGGAAGAAGAAGGCTGCAGAAAATAAGAGGAAAAGATCTGCTTACTTGTTTTTCAAGGAAGTGTGCCACCCTGGTGCGCTGTTCTTTGGGGATTGTGGGGAGAACCTTGTCAGCCATTCCAAAGTCTCGCCTCATCACAGCAGTTTGATATTCAAGAACGGAAACCAGCAGGGAGTAGCTAACAATGTTAAGCTCTTTGTCACCCAAATACAGACGGTCATCTTTGGGGATGTAACCCAGCAGGTACATGGTTCTACAAGTAAACATTAATTAGAACATTGATTTGGTGTATTCATTATTTGAAAACAGTAAAAAAAATGGCAGACTAACCTGTCAAGATGAGCTATGGTGACAATCTCTCCTCCAACAAAGTAGTTGAGTCTGTTCACAGAGCTTGTGTATATAAAACAGTCTCCCACCCAAAGACCAGTCTTGACGATCTCATGAATCTCTCCTTGGACCTGGAATTTGAATGGGACAGTGCACATTAAATCAACATGTGTTCGTGTGAATATTCCAGATTTAACCATGAAGGCATAGTCCCATGGAAGGTTGCTGATAACAAACACAGTAGAAATAGTTCTAATATAAATAATTTACCCAATACAAAACCCCCAGCTTACTTCACCTCGAGGGCAATTTGCAAAAGGACTCACCTCAAAAGCATCTTCAATTCCATCCTCGGTGACACCTTCATTGTTTTCTTGAGAGGCAGCAACTTTCTCCGCCATATAACGCAGAATAAAGAAGGACTCCTCTGTGGCTATACAGACCAGCTCACCAGAATCCGACCAAAATATCTGAAATTAGTAAGATAACGTGGCAAGTCATGGTTTTTGCCAATTCTTTGTCAAATCAAATCAATTAGAATATTGTACATGTTTTGGCTGGATCTCAATGCGGCGTATAAGTTCTGTATTTTCCCAATCATAAAATGCCAAGCCGTTAACAGACTTGACACCAAGCAGGAAGCCTCCATAAATTCCTGCAAATAAAAAAAAGAAAATGAGGGCAATGACAAGAAACTAACTAGCACAAAGAGGAAATCTTGCATCTTGCTCTAGCTCGTTGGGCATGAGAAGACTTAAAACCCGGAGTGACAGGGTCTTCTCTGTGGCTGGACCGAAACTGTGGAACTGCCCCTTGTCGAAAAAGCTTGTTTAAGATGCAGTTTTATTCTGACTTTTAGCACTGCGTGAGTTGTGTGGATTTGATTTATTCCTTGGAATTTTAGTGACTTTAATTATTTGATTGGTGTTTTAGCATATGATAAAAGAAGTTGCTTTATTATAAATCTTTTTTTTTTTTTTACTTTTATTGCCAGCTCTTTGGTTTGTTTATATGTGCTATAATAATACAGTGGATTGGAATAAAATCATACCCTCTGCTCCAAAGTCAGGCTTGAATGATTTCTTCTCTTTGAAATTCTTAAAAATCTTCACAATGCTGTTGCTTTCTCTTATGGCATATCTAAAGTGAACACAGAAAAGTGCAGAAATGAAAATATTAAATAAAATAAAAAGTCAATTGATTAAAAGTTCTTACTCAGACGAGTCGTGTGCCCAAACAAACTCCTGGGCTGATCCAAAGCTCTTGTTCCTCAAAGCCATAGCAGTATATATGATATACTCCCCATCTCCACACACTACCACAAATCTAGTGCACAACAGTATTATTAACATATGATGATTATAATTTGATTAAGAGAAAAAATATAAAGAATAAGAGAAAAAAACTCTTTACCTTCCATTGGGGTTATGTTGGATAGTTTGGGGGTAAATTTCACAGCTGCCCATGTCTTTAACAGCCAGAGGAAGACGCTCGCCATCTTTAATTTCTGCATCTCCCATAGCTTTCAGATTAGCTTGCTGAATTTCACTGTGTTTGGCCCAAATAATCTTTCCGTTGGCATCCATAGACATGGCTGGCTCCTCTCGACCAACCTAAGAAGCAGGCAGAATAAACATAATTTACGGCTATGAGAAGTGAGAGGTCAGTACCATGTCACTTGTCGCTTTACCTTTATAATAATGCTGCCTTCGTCATAACCCAGAGCCACATTATTTGAGCCCCTAAGGCCACAAACGCACCACACTCTTTCCATACCATAATTCAGAGTGCTCTCCAGACGATAAGTGCTCGAATGCCAGATGCGCACAGTGCCTAATGACAGAATTACATAAGTTACATGTATGGCAGCAGACAGCCAGAGGGCGCTCAGGAAAAATGTCAATGCTCATAAATAGCCACCTGGTGGTCAGTCGGGATAAAAGACACACAACAATTGGGAGTCTAACAATGTATCTAAAGATTTGATTTGTATATTGCATTTACCAAATTGTATTGTTTAGAGAAAAAAAAATAGGGAAAACATTGTTTTAAAATAGAAATATTAGAATTTACTAATGCATTGTTCTAAAAATGTTACACCCCTAACAAAAATACAGGGAGGGAGTGTTGCAACTCACCATCTTCTGAACCTGTAATAATGATTGGCAGCTCGGGATGGAAGCTGACACATGAGACATTTTGAGCATGCCCCTCAAGTGTCTGAACACAGGTTTTGTTCTAAAAGATAAAAGAAACAGAGGACACAAAATGTATAAAATGAAAAGTCTTTCCAACCATGTCAAAGATAAGTTTATCTTATATAACTCTACGTTATATTATTGGTAAAAGAATATATATTTTTAAAACCTGATAGTCCCAGATCTTCACTTGCCGATCATCAGCACCAGAGATGAGATAAGGTTTGTCTCCTCCGCTGTAGTAGTCAATACAGTTGACCCCTTTCTCATGACCCTCCAGGGTAAAATTTGGGGAAGACGAACCAAGTTGCCACACCTTAATATCAAGTATGGCAGAAAATAGAATTATTAAGTACACATTCAGCTCTTACAACAAATACAAAACGTTCTCACCTTAATTGTTCTGTCCAGAGATGCACTGGCAAACTGATTGTTGTCCTTTGGATTGATAACAATTTGCATGACATAGTGAGTGTGACCCTCAAAGACTTGACTGCAAGACCACTTCTTCTCCCAGTCCCACAGTTTTATTAACATGTCATCTGTAAGGGTGCACACAAAACAGGTAATAAATCAAAAAAAATGTTCAAATAATAGTCGACTCACACATAGCCTTGGATTAAATCTATTTCCACAATGAATAATGAAAACGCACCACTGCTCGTAAGGATGTAGGGCTGGGTTGGGTGAACAGCAATGCATCGTATGTAATCAGAATGTGCCTCAAACATGTGGACTCGCTCCAAAGTGTTGTAGTTGAACACACGGATTTGCATGTCATCCTAAAGATGGAACGACATTTTATTAAGATGAAAAAAAAATCAGGAACCCTATTGGAATGCATTAAAATAATGTTTACTTGTTGTTGGCTTAGTGTAAAAAGCAAGTGTTGAGCATTATTGAAAGATAATTACAATATACAACAAACAACAACTTACTGCTCCAGTGATGACCCAGTTTTTTCTTGCCACAAATTTAGATGCTCTTACTGGTAGATCACAAACTTCAAAAGTCTTCACAAGTGTCTGAGGGGGTAAAAGCATTAAGGCCATTTGTATTCAGCAGCTAACTATATGTATGGTAAAGAAACGTTTCCTCGGATACATAAACTATAGCTTTGAATAAGAGGTTTATGTTACGATGGCCTACCTGAGTTTCATGGTTCCACACGCAGACACTACCGTTGTACAGACTGGCCAGCATCCAGGGCTCAGTTGGATGGAGATCCACACTCTTCACCCGGTCCGACCTGGCCGTCAGCCGTCGTTTGATGTCCAGTCTAAGAGGCTACAGGCCAATAACACATTTTAGAACATTGAACATGTTATATTAATACATTATATTAACATGTTAACATAATAATTAGTATGTAACATTTTACTAGTTACTGTGACAGTTATGTGCCAACACGGCATAGGCTAGCATGCTAACAATAGCCCCTTATAGCTACCCTAACCATAAACAATATTGAAACGGAGACCTCGCAACAGGCAATTAATGACCAGAATTGAAATTTACGCGTTCAACTCACTGGTTTTGCCATATCCGTACAGTTCACTGAGATGTAACAAAACAGATTCAAGATTTGGCTACGTAGCCACACAAAACGACAATCATTCAACTACACCGTTTTTCCATCTTAAGTATGTGAATCACAAACATTATGACCGTGCACAGTGCCGTTTCCAAAATAATCTCACCATTTTTGACCCCTAGCTGTTGTTTGAATTCCAAAACACGCGTTATAAATGTTAAAAGCCCGTTTTGAGTGCGAGGTTCTCGACAGTGTCTGATGACCTGACGTGGAACTTCCTGAAGCTAAATATCGCGAGAGATGGTTATTAGCGGCGATGTACCGCGAGAGCTTCAGAGAGGAGTTGAATCAACCTTGCAATTGAATCAGAAAGATGAAGGTGCACTATAATAGATCCTTGGTGCACAGTCTCCACGTCTCCCATAAAACTATGGCAGTTTAATCCATGGATATATAATGATATCGGTTTAATCAAATAATAGATCAACGTGGTCTCCACACTAGCTAAACATTAGCACATACCTAGTAAGGCAAGGCAAGTTTAGTTGTATAGCACAATTCATACACAAGGCAACTCAAAGTGCTGAACAAAACAAGAAAGCATTCAAATAATAAATAATCACAGTACATCAAAAAGAAAGATAAAAATATAAAATCCCTCAGTTGTATGCACAACTAAACAGAACTGTTTTTAACCTGGTTTTAAACATTGTCAGAGAGGAGGCCTGTCTCACATCTTCAGGAAGATTGTTCCAGATTTTAGCAGCATGAATCTGAAAAGCAGCCTCCCCATGTTTAGTCCTGACTCTGGGCACTAACAGGAGTCCAGTCCCTGTGCTCCTCAGAGTCCGGGCTGGTTCGTATGGTACTAACATCATGTCACTAATATATTTTGGTGCGAGGCCATGGAGAGACTTGTACACAAGCAGAGCTGTTTTAAAGTCTATTCTCTGAGCCACAGGAAGCCAGTGCAGAGACCTGAGGACCGGACTAATGTGGTCGTACTTCCTGGTTCTAGTCAGGACTCGAGCTGCTGCATTTTGAATGTACTGCAGCTGTTTTACAGCCTGTTTGGACAGACCTGTGAGCAGGCCATTGCAGTAGTCTAACCTACTGGAGACAAATGCATGGATAAGAATCTCCAAGTCTGCTTTAGACACTATGTTTTTGATCCTGGCGATGTTTTTTTAGGTGGTAAAAAGCTGCTGATGTTACTGATTTGATGTGGCTATTAAAATTTAAGTCTGAGTCCAGTATTACCCCTAGATTTCTGACCTTGTTTGAAGGTTTTAGGGAGAGATACTGTAGATGACAGATGACGCTCTCTCTTTGTTTCTGGGGATCAAAGACAATCATTTCAGTTTTGTCTGCGTTTAGCTGAAGGAAGTTGTTTTGCATCCACTCACTGATCTGTTGGATACAGTGAAGGAGTGAGTCCACTGGTCCATGTTCTCCTGCAGTCAGTGAGACATAGATCTGAGTGTCGTCTGTATAGTTGTGATAGGACACTTTGTTTATTAACTGACCTAATGGCAGCATGTAGAGATTGAACAGAAGAGGTCCAAGGATCGACCCCTGTGGTACTCCACAGGTCAGGGCCATATGATCTGAGACACAGTTTCCAATCTCCACAAAGTACTCCCTGTCTTCAAGGTAAGACCTAAACCAACTTAGGGCGGTGCCAGCGACGCCAACCCAGTCCTCTAGTCTCTGTAAGAGGATCTCATGGTCAACGGTGTCAAAGGCAGCACTTAGATCTAACAAGATTAAGATTGAGACTTTGCCTGCGTCAGTGTTCAGCCGGCAGTGATGGGAATAACGGCGTTACTAGTAACGGCGTTACTAACGGCGTTACTTTTTTCAGTAACGAGTAATCTAACTAATTACTTTGACAGTAACTATAACGCCGTTATCATTTCCGACATCCCGTTACTGCGCGTTACTCAAGACGCACAATGAACGTGTTGTCATGAGAGAAGGGAGGATGAGAAAACCTCTCAGCAATTATTGGCTGATGTAAATCATATTTCCTTTACAATCCACATGTCTACAGTTGAGAGGATGGTCATAAATTGTGTTTTTGAAACAAATATGGGTCTTAATCGCGCTCAACCACGGCTTGTATCACCGTGAGGTCAGCCACAGAGGAGCGCATGTGAGCGCAGAAGTCGGCTGCATACAATTCCATCGATAAGCTCCTTGCTCTTCCTGGTTTATCTGCTAAGGACAGCAACAGGTTTGGCTAACATACATATAACACATTTTTACATAATCTAAAATGCACATAGGGTAATTTTTCAATTACTATAGGAATGATAAGAAAGAGAGGTGAAGTGTAAGACGGTTGATTTTAGAAATTGGATGCACTCGGCTGCCGCTAGCAAAACACAAGAGTTTATGGAGGACACACGCGTTTTGTTTTACTTTTTAAAACTCATTGGACTCATTTCCAAATGGAGGATTACATACCTACGCTCAAACCATTAACTGGACTTAAACAAGGAACTGAAGTGGACTGTGCAGGTCATTTATAAGGTATAGTTAGCTATAAGGTAAGACCCATAACTCATAGTTTTGCGTTTTGTATGAACAAACAATGCGGGCATAAAACATATTTTGCTGTAGCCAAACAAATTGTCCACTTGATTTATATGATGTATATGTTCATCTGATTGGACTGAAGTCAGTGCTTCACCAGCCTCACCGCTCGTCACCGGTGTTTCCACATTCACGGTGGCGGGTGTTGGTGTTTAGTGCTTACAGCACAGTGAGAGATGAAGAGTGAACAGGACTTCAGCAGCAAAACAGACTTTTCTAGATGGAAATATTGGCACTATTTCAAACTCACTGAGGTTAAAGGTAAAAATGCGCACGTCGGGTGCACATTATGTTCCAGAACAAAACGAAAAAGTAACGCAATAGTTACTTTTACTGGTAACTAGTTACTTTTATAGTGGAGTAACTCCGTTAGTAACTCAGTTAATTTTTGGGAGAAGTAACTAGTAACTATAACTAATTACTTTTTCAAAGTAACGTGCCCAACACTGTCAGCCGGATATCGTTTGTAACCTTGACGAGAGCAGTCTCAGTGCTGTGGTGGGGTCTAAAGCCGGACTGAAACATATCAAATGAGTTGTTGATTATAAGAAATCTAGTAAGCTGTAGGTAGACAACTTTCTCAAGGACTTTCCCCATAAATGGCAGATTTGAGATGGGACGATAGTTGTTAAGTACCGTAGATGCAGACTGCTCTTTTTTAGCAGGGGCCTGATGACTGCAGTTTTCAGGGCCTTTGGGAATATTCCAGAATGAAGGGACATGTTTACTATCTGTGTGAGTGAAGGTAACAGACTGCTCAGAACAGACTTCAGAAATCTAGTGGGTAGTACATCCAGGCTGCATGTGGAGGAGCTCAGACTGGAGAATATCTCTTGGACATTTTTATCATCTACAGGTGAAGTGAGTTAGCTCAAAGAGCCTTTCTGGCTGTTGGATTGTTATCTGTGGATTGGAGACAATGACGTTTTTGATGCCTTGAACCTTGTCATTGAAAAAATGCGCAAACTCATTGCATTTGCGTTTGGAAGTAAGCTCTAATGGAAGCTGAACAGGGGGGTTTGTTAATCTATTAACTGTTGAAAACAGTAATCAACCTGGAAGTTGGACTTGCGCCACTTCCGCTCGGCCCTCCGGCACTTTCTCTTCAGTGCTCTGACCGAGTCTGCTTTAGCCCACGGCGCCTTCTGCTTATTTTTCACTATTTTAACCTTCACAGGAGCGATGGTGTCCAGAACATTCAAAATACTAGAGGTGACAGAGTTAAACAGTTCATCTGCAGTAGAATACGATGCATTCTCAAAGTTTATCATTCCCATAAATAGTTCACTCGTATTTTCATTTATGTGTCTTCTTCGAACAGTTGCAGAGTCCACTGGTGGTTTGTTAGTGAAACACATGTCAAAAAAAACACAGAAATGATCCGAAAGAGCAACATTGACCACGTTTACATTTAAAATATTCACCCCCTTAGTAACTAACAGATCTAGAGTGTGCCCTCTGCTGTGGGTGGGGCCACTCACGTGCTGAGTGAAACCAAAGGTATCAAGCAAAAAACTTAATAACTAAACTATCAAAATCTGAGCATACAACTGAAAGCAACTCGGTAAAATTATCAATAATATTGTGACATGACTGCGGTGGCTTGTATAGGACAATGAAGAGTATTGGAGGAGATTGTTTTTGTTGTATTTTAAAAGACACATATTCAAATGACGAAAACTTCCCAAGAGACATTCTGTGGGACACAAAGTGGTCTCTAAAAATGGCAGCTAAGCCTCCTCCTTTTTTGTTTTCCCGTATTTCAGATTCAAATTTAAAATTTGGTGGTGATGCTTCTATTAAAACTGCATTTCCTGTATTTTGGTCAAGCCAAGTTTCAGCCATGAACATAAGATCAAGATTATAAGAACAAATAAGATTATTGATTAAAAAAGACTTTGTCATTGTACCTACCGCACAAGATTCGTCAGATCCAGGGGAGCAGGGTGACACTGGTTTAACGCAGGGTTACAGCAGACCAAGGAGAACGATCTTCCTTAAAATATGATATTCCTTGCTAATAGAGTTTGACATGATTTTTGGAATTTACAGTGAAAATCATACGCCTTTATATTTTACAAAACGTATGTCCCATCCAGAATATCTCACCTTTCCCTAATATTTCCTGAGTTTGTCCCACTTTTACAACTAGGTGTTCCACTCATTACGTCAATGTTGCAACCTATCTCCATGGGTGGGTGTCATAGACTGTTGTGGGTTTACATCATAGTTTACACATCATGCTTAATACATACATATACAGCGCTCTACATATAGCGTCATATGGATCTGTCCACTAGATGGCGACATCAAGCATATTTAGTTTATACTCAAGTAAATGGTCAAAGTGTATTAGTGATGTAACAAATATGAAGTTTAACTGATCCACGCTTTGTCATAATGAAAAGGGAATATTTTTGTAAGTAAAGTGAGTAAGCTTACTTATTACATTCATTTTAGACAACACACACTTTTTATTATAATTTAACAATCAATGGAACACAATGTACTGTAACATTTATTTTTTTATTTTCTTTTGAATACTTGGATACAGACAACATCCTCACATGTCAGCTCCTGCCAAAAAGAGATGCACAAAGATTTTAATACATTGCCACATGTTCATTGGATGCTTGCTGTAACTCACCAGGTAAAGTTTGTTGTCCTCTATCCAGTGTTTCCAGCCTCGGTTTTCCTTCTCTCCTTTTTGGGTACAAACCAGCTTATCTCCCTCCCACACCACTAAACTCTATGAAAATATGTTTTGCACAATTGTCTTTAAAGAACTTTGCAGTGAGGCTAATAAAAAATCTCCACTCACCTTGACTGTTTTGTTGTCTAGTCCTTTGGTGTACTCGTCAAACTCTACTCCCACTGTAAAGGGCCTTTCATAATTTCTTAAGGGGCTCAGGGTTTTGATCTCAAAATTATTTCCTTCTTGACTTACAACTTTGGTTTGAGAAAGAGAAATGGCAATTTTTCTTGTTGCAAAGTCAATATCTGGTGAAAAGAACAATCAAATGCATGCACCTTACAAATAGAACACCATGAAACACACAATCTTCTGGCATGCGATAGACAAAGCATAAAAAAACACAAGATAACATACTGAGCGCTTTTAAATAGTCTTCGAATTTGTCGCTGCTTTCCAGTATCCATCTGCCCCTGTAGTCTGCTGGCATGGTTGTAGCTGATCGTGTAGACTTTAGACATAGAGGTGTATCATGTCCTGCTTTTATTTACTTGAGTACAACTGTTGATACAGACTTTACAGCTGGAAAGGGATTGGTGTTTCAGTTGTGTGGGAAGGGGCGGGGAAAGTTTGCAGATACAATTTTTGGCTAGAGTCAGGGATTATGATACTGTATATGTTCGAAGTCAATGGGTGTGTGGGTGCCCACGTATAGATGAACCCAACTCAAATATGCCTTTACATGTGTGTGTACTCAACAACCAACTGTACAGATAGTGATATGGATTGCGTAATAACTACCTCTGTGTTTGCCTTGTCTACAGGGTAATTAGAGATCATTGGGGTTAAAAAAGGTTACTGCACTTACACTACTAGGCAGTTTTAGAGTTACAGTTAGAATGCTTTCAAAGCCATAATGTGTGAACAGACCACATTCATCTTCATCTTGAAAAAAAAATCTATTTATTTTTCATACTTGAAAGAGCCCTGAGAATCACTTTTTGACATTTGGAATTGAGAGCTTCACTTTTCAGGATGAAAGATGTGACAGAGGGCATATATGAATGTGAAAACCAGTCAAAAACTATTTTGAGAGTGAGAAACTATATCTATTACATAGGTATTTTTACAGTTTGAAAGTAAGATAATCCAGCTTTAAACTTTATATGAGGGAGAATATTTCTCTGAGGCAGGAGCAATAATACATTCCCAGGAGAAGCATGGGTACATGTGGGTAGATACTGGACAGAGTGAAGAATTTGCACAAAAATGAAACAAATCACAAAAAGATACTGCTCTTTGAAAAAATATAACAACAAAGTTTAAATACGGCTTTATTACTTATTACCTAATAACGTAATTAACAAGGAACTGGGAATAACACATATTTCACATAGAGTATTCTCAAGCAGACCATATCCATCCAAAATCATCATTCATCATTTTTTATCACTAGATTACATACAGCAGCCAAAACATGTATACCCACCACAAAATTGACAAAAGAGTTGTAATTCTTTTTCTATTTGGCACACAATCATTCAATATGTGTACAGTACATCAAAGTGCATCTGTTAAGACAGGGGAGGCGGCAGCAGTGGAGTGTGTATCCGGAGAAGTATAGGTTCTAGGACTTCTTAAAAACTTGTTTACAAACAGCTCCTGCAGCTCTCAGTTCCTGAAAAAAAAACCTTGATGTATATGAAATACTCATTTGACATGCAATCAAGAATATACAAGTATTAAGTAATAAATGCAATGCAATACATAGGTTTTTCCCTAGAGGTCACTGCTGATCTTCTCTGAAATGATGCCCTCTGATTCACTGGAAATTACTAATTTCATGCTGTTCTGACTAAGACACCTGCTGGAATCACTTATATTTTCTCTCTTGGTGATATCATGAAGAGTTTGTGGCGTTGAAAATGGTGTTACAAAGCAGAGTATTCATATGCAAATGTTTTCATTAGCCGCCTTCCCTATTTGAACGAAAGGGTTAGTGAATTCATTGTCACATAAATTGGATTTGTCAAGGCAGTGATAAAAAACATGACACCAAATGTTACATTTCAGCACCCAACACAATGTCACGTTCGACTATTGTGGCAGTGACAGGGACTTAATGAAATAGTCGTTTTTTTGTTATTTTAATGTTGGTGGTTTGTGTGCTGTTGAACATAACCTAATGCACTTAGCAAAGTTCTGTAAAATATATTCACACCAATAGCTGAAAGGCACTCTGATGTTTAGGTTCAACTTTCCAAATTGAGGTTATTATTCTTGTGTGTGTTCCTTACCAGATGAAGTTCGTCCCCTTCCACCCAGTGGGTCCAGCCTCGACCTTCAATCTCTCCTTTCTGAACACATACCAGTTTATCTCCATCCCATGTGATTGTGGTCTAGAAGTATATAGATAGTGAGTAAGTAAGAAAGTAAGTAATGAGTAAGTAATCTTTATTTATATAGTGCCTTTCACAGGCCAGAATACAGATAACTTAATTTACATGAATGAAATAGTTGCCTCACATAGTTTCCAATTCAAATGCACCAATATATAGAGAACAAAAGGACTCACTGTCCTTTTTACATTAAGTAAAAAACTCTATGTGATTTCTTTAATACAGTTGAATATTCAATATGTTTCTATGCATATCCAAAAGCAGTAACTATTTTCCAAAATGATGTCACACTCATAATACACATACATTTGTTTATTATGAGTATTCCCTCTGAAATCTTTACAGTTTTTCCACTTCTTAATAAAAGATATCTTAATCCCCAATTAAAATTCTTGACCACACTTACCATACACTTCCTGTCATCCACACCAGACAGATCCTCCTCAAACTCCTTCCCCACATAAAAGTCCATGTTGTAGTTCTTAAAAGTGCTCAGGGTTTTGATGATGATGTGATCTCCGTCATGGGTGATGTCCTTGTCCGGTTTGAGCAATGTCGCAATTTTTCTGATGGCCACGTTCACATCTGCAAGTGAGAATTCTCAAAAATGATCTCAATCTAACATTTCCACCCCTTATTATTTCTGACACATCAATCAGTAACATTCAAACACAACCCTTAGAGAATGAACAAACGGCTGGAATATTTGTAGCTGAGACTTTGTACTTGGGTCTCCCTGTTCTGTCAGAAATGTATTTTCTATACATGATGGGGAGATAAACTACTTTTTTGATTGACAGTAGAAAAACCAAATATGTGTCCCTTTAAACAATTACAATTAGGGACTTCTGATTAATTCCCATGGTTGACTGGACTGACAAAGTGTGAGATATTGCGTTATTTTCATGCTTCACAAGCCCTGGACCTTCATAGCTCACTTGAGTAATCAGTTGGTTGATAAAATAAATAAGAAAAAAATGACGATGTGTGCTAATTAGATCAACACCCACAGCATGACGAAGCAAAAAGTTAGTAAACAACTCATAAAGCCAATATGATGCTATTGCTTTATACTTACCAAGGCCCTTCAAATATTCCTCAAAGTTGTCATTTGAGATCATTTTCCAGTATCCGTTCAGATCGACAGGCATTTTGGCAGGTTTTCTATTGTACCTTCTACAGAAGAAGGAGTCTGGGGGCTGCTGGCGTTTGGAGTGCACGACCCACTGTCAAAAATCCCAATTTGAATCCCACTCTCTCTAATCCGATTATACACACTGGCTCATTTGTTGTATTGAAATTAACACTTTAACGCCTCCCACACTCCACCCACAAAATACTTCACATAACAAATACAATCTCTTCTATATAATGTTTAGCGACACGTTTACTAAATAGTGAGTATTGTGTGGATCATGCATGTTGCAACCTTGCCTTGCCTCTCAATGGGATTAGTTTTGAATGCTCCTCCTTTGTTGCAGGAATTGTATATGGAATTCCACATGTTACAGATTTGCACTTGTTGAGTGGCTTTGAAAGAATAATTCGGAATACATTACCAACAAAGACCCTATATGAATAGAAATAATTATGAAGGTAGCTGAGGATTTATGCTATACGTAAATGAAAGAAAGAAATGTATCAAAAATCAGACAAAAAGGTATGGATTTCATTTCATTTCATTTTGTTTTTTTTGAAACATGTTTGCATACTTTATATATCATCAATCATACAAACAAAACCACAGTTCTATTCCATTCACAAGTTTAAAAGGGAGTAGGAAGAAGCAAAAGCTTATGTGGTCCTATCCCTCAAATACATTATTAGGTTTAGTTCACATCTAACTGTTATAATGCAATATGGTAGCCCAAGTGAAAAAGAGGATGGTTTAGAAGTCTTGTTGAAATAGCCTGTTAAATCTTTCTTTTCACTGAAATAACTAATATTAATTCAATAATATTTGCCATCGGCAGAGCTGAGGGAACTGACACAACAATGGAGCTCAGAGCCAGTGAACTGAGAGACACTAAAGCGACTGTAGCTGGGCAACTAATCCTGGAGGGAAACCACGAGCTAGCACAAACACCAAGTCATTTCAGAGTAAAGTGAATTCAAAAAGAATGAATGGGATACTTATTTATGCCATAGGGTAGGCATGTCCAAACTCAGGCCCATGGGCCAATAGCGGCCCGCAGCGTCCTGTTTTGTGGCCCTCCGCCTTGCTAACCCAAATTACCATTATAAATAATAATCATAATAGTAATGTATTGGTTGTATATAGTGCTTTTTGGATGTCATGTCATTATTCTTTCACTCCATACACTGTGGTGATAAACTACTACTGTAGCCACATGTACATACCTTTTATGTGGCCTTCTGACTTGCTAAATGAAAGTAAACACATCATAAACACTAATTGACCACGTCATCCATCCAACTTCATATACATTGTACCTCATTGTAAAGCTTGGAATCTCTAGAATCTCTTGGAATCTCAGCCATTTGGTTTATTTGTATATACTGTCATTAGATTCTGATTAGTTAAATGACAGTATAGCATTAGCTGATGAGATTTCATATTTAATCTACTTAGTTTTCTTGATGGGAAATATTTGTCATTCAATTAACTTGTCAACAGTTTTTCAATCTGGGTTGTTGGCCTCTGGATAAGTCTGGTTAACTAAACTGGCCCTTTTGCAAAATTGTTTGGACACTCCTGACCTGGAGCAAGACAGTTCCTCCACCATGGCATGATTGCAGAGAATGTGAAAGGAGTTTTGGCACAGATTTGCTTTGCTTCAGTTACACTTCTACAGGGCAGCAATAGCTATAAGATTAATATTAACGACTCTAGCTTAATAACCAACAAACAGATATTGGACGTTGTGTATTTCCAGACTTAGGCACAGAAAACAAGTCAGTAGTATGGCACAATTAGATATTTCTTTAGTTTTATTTCCCACATAAAGCTATATTTCACACAGAACATATATGATTGAAGTAAGATGTCCACCCAGTGTGACTGTGTATGGCTGAGACCAGGTGTTGCCTTACAAACATGTTGCATTTCATATGAGCTTCTGGTAACCTGTCCCTTAGTGCAGTCCAGTGGAAACAAATAGATGTTCCTGTGAAGTCACTGAGGCCTGAAGCTCTCCTGTGTTGTATCCATCACTGCTCAGTCATTCAGACTACGCACTGGATTAGTGGTCTGTTTGGTGATTGGCCTCAGCAGTGCTCCCTGGTTTCTCTTTTCACTATCCTGCGTGTAAAGATTGTGCTGGTGAATATATTGTAGAACCGAATCAGGGATGAGGTATTTGACACTGGCGCTCCGTCTCAAAGCCCTCCGGACCTCTGTGGCGCTGGTTTCATTCCTTATCCACTCTGTTACGAGAAATATATTATGTTTATGATGCGACAAAATGTCAGACTCGTGCACTGTTCTTTCAGGCTGCAGTCCTCCTCGGCTCACACAGACGAGGCCATAACGACCAGACACTTCCTCGATGTGCTCATCCAACCACAGCCCTGGGGTTTTAAAACTATCAAGAAAATCTGCTCCACAAAGAAGCTTCAGCTGGACAGTTGGACCTATGGACAGAAAGATATTTTTGGGGTTCCATATACAATACTGAAAAACATTCTATAAATCCTAAATAATGCGCACAATTAATAAATTGCACATTTATCTACATTTACATAGATATTTAAAGTGGAAACCAGAAGTTTACACACACTGTGTAAATAAATATAAGTGCTGTGTGAACTTACTCCCTACAAAGTCGGAAAACTACATATATCTAGTTAGTATTTACTAGAATTCCCTTTCAAACTGCTGGTTCTAAAGTTGTGCACCAGCTGCAGCATAATATCCCCACAACATGAGATAATGCAAAAATATGTGTCCGAAATGTTTACAAATTCAATTCAACTCTCACATGGCACAAAACCAGTGTTTTTAATTAACAGTTGAGTAATGTTTCGGCCTTGAGCCTTCATCACGTAGTGATTGACGTCTATGTGACTTTTCACCTTTCTCAATATTTGAGTATTATTACTATTTAAGATTAAAAATAAAAATAAAATACATCTTTCTTATAATTATCCTTAAGTTCATCTAATCCTTTTGTCACCATGGGCAACAGGGCAACATTTTAGAGTCTTCTGCACAAACACTTCATAGACAAGATGACACGAGTTCATGACCTGAGGTTCTTACTTGAGTTGGAAATGGGGTTGGTAAATGTCGAGCTTTTCTGTTGTTCCTGAAGAATACGATTGTAATGATATCTGCAAATCAAACTCAATAAATAGAATATTAGAACAATATTCATGCATAAAGTGTTTGAGTAAACCTTTTAACATGCCAATTAATGGCAAAAAGGAGCAGGTAATCTGTACACATTTTAGACATTACACACTTTATTTTTCTATATTTTAGATAAATAAATAATGTAAGATTTCACCTCACAGTGGTCTGTTACTTTGTTGTGGTAAAAAAAACTAAAATAAACATGTGATAATAAACATGTGAAGTTGTATAAGTACATCTGCAAGCTAGTGTATATACTGAATCACACTTGATCAGTCAAATGAATAATACAAATGTTAGACCATTATAAAAGTAATACTTTAAGGAAAGCCTCTTAGCCTCGAGGAGCTTTGCGTGTGAATGAGCCGGAAGAACCATAGTGACGTGGCTTGGCCCCACTCAGCCTGGGGACAACGGGCCACTTCATGGTGGATCAGCACTGTGGTTGTGCAAACAGAGCTTAGGGCAGTTCAATCTAGAGAGGTGTGCATAGACTTTGCATGTGACAAGAGGATACTGCATGTATGCCAAAGCACAGGGGTGTCCTCGGAAAGCTACGTCTTTGTTTAGATTGTTGAAAGGTATCTAAGCTGTTGATATATGGATGAAACAGAGACAAAGCTTTACATTGAGTACAATGGACATGATCCACATTAAATACTCTATTATTGGTTCAGTTGAGCTACCTTTTGGGCTTCTGCTTCTTCTAAAAGGTCAAAGGTCCCTCCAATCAGTATAAATGTTTCCCTTTAAAACATTATGGTCCTGACAACCTTTTAGGGCCAATTATTCAATGTGAATAGATTAAGTTTATAGCTGGGGAATTAAAGACAGTTCGACCTTTAAAAATCGCAACACTTGCACAATTCACAGCTTTGATAGAAAAGATTTTTGTGAAGTAGCATGCATACTTTATTTGTTCATGTTAAAGGTTTGCTATGGACTTATACTAAAGTAGCGGAAAAAAAGAAAAAATGAAAAAAAATTACTTCTGGGCATTTATAAATATTTATAGTGTAGTGTGACCAAGCAGAGTATCAGACCTAAAAGCACCACGGCTTAAAAGTATTTCTACAAAAATAGATGTTGCCATTAACCTCATGGTGACCACAGTCTCCATCCAGTCTGGTTGCTGGCTCTCCCATTCATCAACCGTAATCCAGTCAGAGGTCTTCAGAGCCAGCTTCGCCATGGCTATTCTGTGTCTAGCTGGAACAAGGCCTTGTTTTCTATAAGCATCGCTCACAGGAGACACGATTCCACCAAGCACATTGTACTGCCCTAAGAGTAAGAAAACATTGAGGAAAAAAGTATATTAAGATAAAATAAGAGAATGTGTATTCGTCCCATAGTGGCAACACTTGAGTGTCCTCGTTGGCCACATTGCAGGGCAGTAGGAATAAAAGAACCAAAACAAATATGTATTTTTCAAATGACAAAGTATAACCTCTAGTCTCTCATCAACCATAACATCACATTTAAAAGGCCCCCTCTATAAATATCAGCAATACAAATCTTACAAATCCAATACATTACGCTTTTGTCGCAAATATCACCAATTATTTGACAGATATTGAGAGCGAGAAAAGTGCACTAATTGTATTTTAATTTACATACGATACATTCACTAACTAACATTTAATCAACAAATAACTGATAGAATATATATTTGATATATGTGACAAGGTATATTAAAAAATATCCCTCACAAAACTAAAAATCATTTCTAATCCATGTGGGTTTGGTCTTTGCACTGACCTGTGCTATGCATATGGTCCCGGGCCAGCTCAAACAGCCTCATGTGTTGGTTTGTGATGGGATTAAAGGAACCACAGGCCAGTAGTACAAGAGGGATCCGGCAACTCGTCATCTTTTCACTCTGAACAAAGTAAAAGATGAACAGATAATCTTCCATTTATTAAAAGGTGCTTTATTGAAACTAATGACTTCAATGGCAATTATATTTTCTTGTCCCTATACCAAACATTATACAGTACAAAAATGTCATTGGCATTATTATACTGTACAACCTTTGTTTATTATCTTTTGCAAAGTTAACTTATATTTTATAATAGTTTAGCAAAATAATATTTGAGCATCTACATATTTATCAAATTCCATTATTAAACATGGCCGTTTGTAAAGATTGCATACATTTGACATCACATGTGCACAAAATTGTGCGTAGAACGCATAGTATAACAATAATATCTATGACTATGGGCTACAAGACCATAAGTAATCTTAAAAACACACATTAATAGCGTTCATCAGTTGACAATAAATGATACCAAACCAAAAAGAAGTGGAACAAGTCTGCTGTTGTGCTGATAAAATTCGGATTAAATTATACAAACACAACATTTCAATAAAACATTGCACATCAACAATAATCACCTCTCTGACATTGAGTCACATGTTAAACAAACGCAGAGAATGGTAAACACAGTGTGATATATCGTGCATGATTTAGCGCGTGGATTTTGGTCTATGTACTGTTGATATAATGCACTCAATAACAAATACTAGACAGCTGTGACACCTTTAACGCTACCTTTTAGAACATTGTTGTTGTTGATGCGCGATGGTAGTGCGTCATTCATCTCTTTCCCCTGAACACTGGGCTCCAAATGTTTGGTTCCTACTAGGAACAACAACGTTGGCGCTCCCTCTAGCGGACAATAATGTTATTGTTCACTGAAACTGTCCATGGTTCTGAAACAACTTTCTCTTCTGTAATTACGTGTTTAAATACGATATAATTAGTTCCACTTAAGATCTCATATCTGCCTAAAGTTGCTTTGTTTTTTCCAGAAAAGAACAACCTGTCTGAACTGAATTTACTGCATGTTGAAAATATGTAACAATGGTTTTACCAAATGGGTCTACAGACTGTGACTGTTTAATAACCTTTTTCCGGATGTTTACCAGTGCTGACATTTTGAAGCCCACAAAACGATGGCACAGTAGCGTTTTGTTTTATATGATTTTATGTAAATATAAACTCAGGGTTGAAGGGGATGCACAGATTGTCATCTCACATATTTCCCCCTAATTATCAATAATATTATATAATATATGTCACTCTTTACTGTATAAACCATGTTTGTTAAATATAATATTTATGAATTTACAGATAACTAAGATGCCACTAATTTTGTTAAATAAATGCTTAAACTTTTAACTGAATTTTGTGTAAATTATGGATTTCATAGACTGAATTAACTTCCACATGATGTGCAACTAACATAATTTCATGTTCTATCCAGCACAGCTGAGTGGCCATAACAAATCATACCTCTGGGGTTTCCTCTGAGCACCAGTTTTTTCTCTCATCAAAACAAGCATTCAAATATCAGGTATGTCATGAAGGGTCAAGATGTGCTTGTCCCTATATTGACAAGCACAAACTGTATCCGATATTGAACAAGGTAACAGAATGAAAATAATTTTGTCATTTGCACCATTCAACACATGAATGAAACATTGTTGGCTGTAATGAATATTACTCAGGATGTCAAGCTCATTATCTTGGTCTCTACTGAAGTTACAGCTGTAACTTAGCTGCCACTTTCCATTGAACTGCCTTGGGACAGTGAGGTTGTTTGTCAGTGATTTGTGTATTTAAATGTTGCCTTGCATGTATTTTTTTAGTCTCTGCATGCTGGCTCTGTCTTTATTATCCTCTTAACTCACTTGAGGTCTGCCCGTCTTCTATAATCCCACTTGCACTCCCACACAGTGAGAGCGGAGAGAATAAGTTTGAAATACACTGCTGTTGGAGACAACCAGTGGTACTGCCACAGGGTAAAATCTGAACCAGTCAAATCTGTGAGGGGGAGTACAGTAGTACAGCTCTGCCTTTTGGGCCATTGTTAAGAAGAACAGCTAAAACATTATGCCACAGCAGATGTACCCGCATTTCAGAAAGAAATGTGTTTGCAATGGCTGGCCTCATATTCAAGGGACGAAAACACATATTTCGGACTGAAGCATTTAATGCAATGCAGTCATCAAATATGTCAATTTATTATGAAACTTGTATTCAGTATTTTTATACACTGAACGAGTGTCAGTCACCATTCACATTTTTTTAAGAAAATATGAGATAAGATAAACCTTTTCTTTGCATATGAAACATGTTGTTGTCTGGTGGGGGCGCTGCCGATTTGAAATACTGGAGATATAAGCAAATATTATATATTAGACCACAATATTTACATTAAAAGTAAGTTAAAAGGCTGGTGACTACTCTCCACAGCGCGAATGGTGTAGTTGTTTTTCAAATGTAGATCTTGAGGTCAGATTGATCTGCCCTAAACCAGTTTTCAAATTCCATTATGTTTTTCTTACACAAAAAATAATCACAGATTTTAACAGCGTGTGTAACTTAGGACTGCGAAATGGGCGGAGCTCAGGTTTTTAGAATGTAACAAAATTCGAAAAAATGATTCTTTAAAAAAATAAAATAAATCAATACAACAACAAACAGATAACAGCATCTGTATTTTAGTGTATTTTTTCGAGTAAAAATAATGTTGATTAGAAACGTTATTCCAGAGGGATAACTTCGCTGCTCTCTCTCTCTCTCTCTCGCTCTCTCTCTCTCTCTCTCGCTCTCTCTCTCTCTCTCTCTCTCTCTCTCTCTCTCTCTCTCTCTCTCTCTCGCTCTCTCTCTCTCTCTCTCTCTCTCTCTCTCTCTCTCTCTCTCTCTCTCTCTCTCTCTCTCTCTCTCTCTCTCTCTCTCTCTCTCTCTCTCTCTCTCTCTCTCTCGCTCTCTCTCTCTCTCTCTCTTTCTCTCTCTCTCTGACTGCTCCAGCAGCGGAGGAGCTTCAGGAGCTGCAGAAGCGAGAGGACCAGAGAACCAGAGGACCAGAAAACCAGAGAACCAGAGAACCAGAAAACCAGAGGACCAGAGGACGTCTTCAGCCACACCGCTAAACATGTTGCACCGCGGGATACCTTTGCTTCTGTTTTGCCTGTTCTGGGGCCATCCTTCTGCATTCGCGGGAAAAGGTAAGAGGAACAACCGCGCCACGACTTAGTGCTATGTGCTTCTTTACATTCTGATCTAAAGAGTCGCAACTTTGTGGCTGTTTCCCGGAGACTTTTTACGCACTGTAGCTATCGTTCACTCTGATGCACTGACGAGGGTCGGTGCCTTTTACCTCAATGGAATACCATGCAACTAGAGAGGATCGGGCACCATCGCATTAAAAGTTAGCCGTGAAGTTAGCACCGTACAGAATATTGCAGATCCATCTTATATTGCAAGTTGTCTCATCTTTGCACCTTTTTCAAATTTAAAAAAAAGTATTTTTTAGAATTGATAATGTCTCAAGGCGTTATTTCAATGTCTTGTATTTGCACCCTCAAACTGAACAGTCACGGCCATCCTGCATGAATGGATTGTGTGGTATAATGTTATGACTCATTAGATAAATTAGAAATGATATATTTCCTGCTTGTTGCAACAAAGCATTGGTTAAAAAAATGTAAGGGACATTTGTTGTTGTTGGATCATCTCAGCACAGGAAAGTAAAACATTATCAAGTGTAGCATTATCAAGTGTGAATGTAGTTTTTGAATAATAGAAATACATAACTGGCAAAATGAAAACAATTAAAAACGCATGATCCATTTCCAATTAAGCAAATCATTTTACAATCAGGATTACTGCTCTGAAGATTTTGGTGTTACTAAACTTATTCTAAATTACTTGTCTCATCTGAATTAATTAGCACATTACTTTCTGTTCACATGGGAGAGATGATACAGTATATAGAGATGTTGGCAGTCCTTTCCTTAATAAATGTTGGCTTGTGATTTCTGACAAAGTATATTGATTGGTGTTTAGTGGTGGATGGGTAGTGGTTTCAGTGTGTTGTTTTCAAACACCATGTTCTTCCATATTTCTCTCTCTCTTGCACATGCACAGAGCCTGCCGACTGGTGTAGCCTCTGAAGTGCAGCTGCGGTTTACACTGGTATTAATTGGGTCTCTGGAGTGAGAGCGCAAAACTGACTGTCTGTCTGCTCAACCAAACATTATCATTATTTTTCCTGTTTATGACGGACCACCATATGGCTTGGAGCCAGCCTGCGAGGCTAACTATCTTAAGATTAAGGTGTGAGCCTATTTTGATTCTGTTTGCACAGGGAATATAGAGTGTGTAAGTGGATGGCGACACTGCAGTAATGAGGTTGTAATTTTTATAGTTTTGACATGGTGGACTTATCTTCGTTTTATGATGCTTTGCACAAAATTTTGTCCAACTTCATGTTGGCAGAAAAAAACATATCAAGGTCTTTCTTGGCTGGATGTGTGCATGTAATTTTGTATTTACAAGCTGCACCACATCAGCAGAATGTGGTGAATACCCCAGACTTTAGAAGAAAGGAAAAAAAAACCCAGCTTATCAATGGTAGAAAGCAGAGAGTGAAGAGAAAGTGGAAATGGAAAATCAGATCAGATTTATGGTAGTCTTTTCAACATAGCCATCGAGCTGCATTATCCACACTGCAACATAAATTGTGGACGCCACAGAGGCGGCAGCGGTATAACTCAGGCTCTGCTCTCCGCTGCAGAGACTGGCCCTGTCCATCTTCCCCTCTTTACCGTCAATCGTGGCCTTTATATTTTCTGTGTTTCTCCCTGGTTCCTCCTGTGTGCTCTGCTCCACTGAGCTGATGTTATTCAGAGGGCAAATGTCACACAGGCAGACCATGTTTCGTCATCCACTCCACTGTCTTTATTCCAGCATCGTTCAGCTTTCCACACCTCACTTCACTGACTTTAGAGCTCAACTGAGATGTAGAAAAGAATACATTTCTTTCTACAAATACAAAATAACCATAACCGCAAATACTTACATACTATACCCCCAACATACATTTATCTAAATAATTGATAGAAACAATCATTGCATTTCTGGTGTAAAAAGTCATCTCTCCATTACACTTACTAGATAAATGTATATCTGCTCTTTCCCTAATTCAAAGTGATGCGGTCTAAAAGTGCCCATAGAGAATGTGGTTTGTTTTGACATTTAGAGCATTGGGACATATCTATGCTAATGACAGCACATGTTAATTACTTATCTGGGCTAATTATAAACTGTGTAGAGAGGGCAAGAAGCGCAGATTGCACTATGATGATGTATGGGCTGTTATCATTGTGTCCACTGTGGGTTTAGACGCCACAGCTGCCCCCAGTCTGACTCTGACCGTATGCCAACAATGTGCTTGAATACAATTGGTGATGAAATATAGCTTATTAAGCAAAGGGTCATATAAATGTACCTGTGATGATGGTAATCGTATTGCGCACATATGACAAGTTTTTGTGATTTATTGTCTGGAATGAGATGGAATGTATAGAAGTCTTACTAACAGTTATTTTGATTTGTGATACAGTAAGTAATCTCTTTTGTTACATTTGTCTTTGTTGTAACTCTATTATTGTTACTTTCAGTGCAATGCGACTCTCTAGCAGTGAGCGTTGTCTCATTCACTGGAGCTGTCAAGTTTTTCTTGTGTATTTTGGATGAACATAAACTGACACAGAAGCAGACATACTCAATGATTAAACAAAATCATCACACCAGACTATTCAGAAGCAGCAGGCGGTGGCCAAAATACTTTCTTCTGTTTTCATTGGTTTAGGGTCGCACAATAATGTACTAAACACAAAGAAACCCATGTATTTTGTAAACATATTGCGTTTCAGTGTTGTAATGGGAGTAAAACACATTATATGAATTATTATTACATGCTTTTCTAATGCTACAAAGATGTGTGTGTGTTTCTGGGTAATGGTCAATGACAAAGTTTCTAGTTTTGCGATTAACAGGTAAATCAACCAATCAGAGAAATGCATGTTTCAGTTTGTGCATTATCAGTCCCTAAATGTCCTCACAAGGGTTGATGCTATGCTAAACACGCTCTTGCACAATGATCTTAATGATTAGTTTTGTGGTTGTGTGTGGGATCACTCCTTTAGGATAGAGGACAGATAACCTATGAAGGGCATTTTATTATCCAAGCATAGTTTTTAGTGGTTGGAACTGACAAACCATAACACAACGCTTTTTATTATCCTACAACATTGGTAAGTAAATTTAAGTATACTGTAATTCCCAGTAAGCAGAGTCAAGTGTCCTCTAAGCTTAGCCACTGTCACTTATTGTCTACAGTGGTCCTATAGACTTTACATTTTATAGTGTAGCCTATGGAGACTGATGATTGTGCTGAAATTATTATGAAGACATGCTCTAATGCACACAGCTTTAATTATAACTTAATCTTACATGTGTGTTTCTTTAGGCCGTGTGTGTGCTTCAGACCCATTTGAACACAAAGACATTCTTGTGCACGACACTTTTCATCTTCCACACAACTCAATTGATTCATCTCCTGGATCTGTGTTTCAAGTGGTCCTCTGTGGGGACGTTGTATTTTCAGTCTGGAGCCTTGAGCTGGCTTCAAATGTCTTTCTTCTTGATTTATTTGCTGAAGATTCTCACCGGGAAAACCCATAAAGTCTCATAGTTGACAACTCCAGTTTAATATAAATGAGGTGAAACTCATGAAGCTCAGGTACAAGTTGTAAGTTATGCCGAAGAAAAAGGCTGTACACTTATTTCACTTTGTCAACAAGGCCTACTAAGTACAAAAGGTGAGAGCTGCCTGTTCTGGTTCTCTGCATGCGCCTCGACACAGCTCCTGTAGTTCTGTGACACTTGGAGCTGAATATTTCTTGTGCACTGTACCTGTTCTTGTTTTAGCTGCACATGTGCTTGATTCTGTCTTCCCATTTATCTCTGTGTGAGATTGCACTTCCTCTGTCTATTTTTATCGTCCAATTGTCAGAAACTATATAAGACATGGTGTGCTTGCGTGTTCATATTGAACAAGCAAAACATGGTTGTAAGTACCAAGAATAATACTAACAAATGATTATTCACTGAATGCTTTTAGTCACAGATCACAGCACATATGGCTTAGTAAACTCCTCTTCTTTTGACACTGTACTTTGTGGTCATGCCTTGTAATGAGCCAGTTTCACCCACCAGCCATTTCTGTCGGCGCTGCAACATTTTCCATGGGGCCCTGTCACAGCAGATGAGCTTTAATTTTGACTTACTTAAATCTAATGACATTTTCTGTTTATTTTTACGCACGCTCTAGCGCCTTTGCTATTACATCTCTGTTCCCTGTCAGCAAGAAGTGCCATTAATCTTTCTGCAGGTTCAGCATTGTTTTAGCGTCTGATAATGCCGCTTATCAGGGCTTTTCAAAGCTCCTGTTATTAATCAACATTTGTCATCAAAAAACATACTTTATTGACATGTATTTGGCTCGTTTCTGTGTAAGATCAGAGTCATTTATTCAGTTTTTGTTTGAAGCAAATCTTTTGATGATTGGAAGTTGAAATCATATAGGAACTTCATATTAGAAGGTCTTTTTCTCCTATACGTTATGGTGATTGATGATTTTTTGTGTGCAAATGCTAATTAACCCTTATTGTTAATGTCATTATATCAGAGAAAGGAAAACCGTGACATAAAAGGAGTACAATCAGATGCAGGTGGAGGGTACAGACTCAGGCGGTGGGCTACGGCTTTGTTCAAAGTACATGAACCAAACCTGTTCGTTTCTATTCAGCCAGCCTTTTATGTGTAGCTTGCTCACCCCCATATCACTTTGCCACTCTGCTCTGTAATTACAGTCACTTTGCAGTCTTCACAAGAATACAATAGCTTTTGTATTGATTTAAAAAGACAACACAAACACAATGATGTATCCGAGATTAACAGAAATTTCTGAAGACAGCCAACACAAAGGATTCATCTCTGGTCATGCCAGTGCACTTAACATCCGAGAAACAAAATATTTTCTTTCTGTCTATATATTCTTTGCTTTATTCATTTGTTTAATTTATTTTGGGGACCCAATGAGAAAGTATTGTTATCAACAACTTCGTTTATAAGACGTTTCAGCAAGGTCCTGGGTTCT